GAGTCCAAACACTGCGCGGTGTTCGGTCGGCCCGCGGTGGCCACGTAACCATGGCGACCGGCCCCGGGGAAGCGGCGGCGGCGGCCGGGGAGGGAGTGGTTCCCGGGCCGGTGGGCCGCCGTCTCCGGCTACGGGGACCGGCCGGTGCTCGGTGCGATCATCCTCAGCGGACCGACGAACCGCCGTTTTCAGGACGGTGTGGGTGGGCTGAATATCACCGGCGTTACCGGCAGCTCGGCCTTAGAACTCCTACCGTACTCTGTGCGGTAGGGTGGGGTCAATTGTGGGCGCTGAGTGGCTGCTGTACCGCTGGTCTGATCTGACCGCTGGTTCTGGGCAGAACTGAGTCGACCCAGATCGCTCAGAGTCGAGCTGTGACTCGGGAGCTTCCGTGTATATTTATTGACATGTATAACCATTATTGCAACAGCTCCCGTCTCCGAGTTTTCCGAACCCGGGGCCGCCGCGGCTGTGTGTGATTTAGGCGATAGGGTTCGGAGCCACGTCACCGGCCCGATTTGTGGTTTCCCGTGTTCGTCGGAGATGGTGTTTGGCTCGGCGCGGCCGGGGTTCCGCGGAATCGGCCGCCCACCGTCCTTTGTCGGCCCCGTCTGTGTCGACTACTGGGGACCCGTCGGCGGAGGGGGGGGGGGGGGGGTCAGCGGCGGTGGGACGGCCAGAGCACGACGGTAGGTTACATCGGGTCGCAGATGGGACGGTGATGGGACGTCAGTGGCGTGACGGGTCCGCGGACCGTCTATCTGGGCTCGCGATAGGCGCCGCTCGCGGCACACGGCTCTGCTCTGGACGCCGTGGTCGACCGATAGGCCTCACCCACCAGACCTTCAAGGTTGGTATCTTATCGTTCGGAGCGCCCGGGGCAGGGGACAAAGCTCCCGGGGCAGCGGCGCGGCCGCGGTCAGCCGGCCGGCCGGTGACCACAGCTCGGATCGGCCGCGGATGAGGTCTCTCGGCCCACTCCGTTCCCGGCAGTGAGTCAGACACTGACCGCCCTATCAGAGCAAAACAAAGGGACGTGGCTCGGCGGGTCGCTCTAGGCCACAGCCTACCTCAGTGGCACATGATTAGATGTCAGTGTGTGTGGATAAACAAACGCGCGTCCCTCGCACTCAGTCCGGTATCAGCACTCACGCCCATCATCGACGTTACTGCAGTACAGCCGCAGCCACCTTCCCATCTACAAAGCGCACCGGCAATCCAACGTGTGCCTGGCCGGCCGCCATGGTGTATGGCCAACGCGCGACGTCAGTGCGGCGTCCAGTCGGGCGGCCGGTCACAATTTTACTCGGCCCGCTTTCAAGTCCGCCCGGCATGCGACTTATGAGGAAAGTCCGCCCGTGTTCTGTCGTCGGGTGTGTACTTTGAAATGCACTTACCGTGGCGCGGACGGAATGCCTGTCCCGCTTACTGTACGCCTTTCTGCGCACAAGCGTCAGGTCCGGCCCGGGCGGCGGCTGGGGGACCCGTCCTTGTGTCGCCTCTGTCGAGGGTCTGTTTCGTTGGAGCTGATAGGTGCCTCCAGGCCTGCATTGGTTCCTGGTTAGGTTCTTGGACATTTATTTACGGCAAGAAGTTGAAGTTGTTGGTTATGACATTTATAAATGCATCCCTATTGTATCCGTTTTCATGCGCATATGTTATTGCAATTTTCGACTTTTTGATCCATAGAGTATGCACTATGCAGTTATGCATTATCTTGGAGATAGAGAAGAGTAGAAAGAGAAGGGTGAAAAACAGCCATGGGAGTTTGGAACATTTCCGATTGTTTGAATACACCACAAAATATCCCTAATTATATTTCCGTTTGCCTGCGTCTCGCGTCCGTGGCCATCCCTGTCCTTTGGCTGATTGCATCCATAGCTGAGTGCCCACCGCCCAGTACACTTGAGTCTATCCTACACCCGGCCTTACCCGTCGTCCGACCTCATCCCGTGGTGAGTGCACTCCTCCGGTCTGTGTTACCCACGGTCCTGTCCAGTGTCCAGTCTGATCCCGATCTGAGTGCACTCCTCTGGTCTGTGTTACCCCCGGTCCTGTCCAGTGTCCAGTCTGATCCCGATCTGAGCGCACTCCTCTGGTCTGTCTTACCCCCGGACCTGTTCAGTCTGATCCCGATCTGAGTGCACTCCTCCGGTTCCCGTCTACAGGTGCTCCTGAGCAGAACGGCCGAGGGACAGCTCACCGCCCTCATGCCGCGACCACCGCCCGTCCACAGTCCACGGCGTCCACCGTCCGGCCGCCTCAGGTGGACGGCCCCAGGTGGACGCCCGCTCCCCACCCGTGTGGATCGCGCGGGCACCGATATCAGGTGACGTGGCCCCGGTGGACGCTGGACGTTCGTCTTTGGACGTGTGTGCGCCTGTGCGACGAGCGTCACATTAGTGCTGGTTATTGGTTGCTGTTCATGAAGAAACACATTGTTGTAGATTATTTATCTTTATACATTTATAAAAATGTATAGTTTGGTACATAGGTGATAAAAAAGTCATCCTGCCTTTACTCGTACAGCTGCATGCGTGATCGAGTGCAAATTTAACTTTGTACACACACTTACATTTTTATATTCCCACCGTTTCGCCGGTGGGAATATAAAAATGTATTCCTCAGTTGGTAACAGTCAGTTGGTATAACCTCAGTTGGTTGGATGTAGGCTGCAAGACCGTGAGGTGGCTGGTGGGTGGTTCTATCCCCTTACGATGAATTTCGATCCAATCGTAGGCGGCTGTAACCTGACACTCGGCACATTCTATAGGTGGAGGCGCATCGACACATACTCTGTGTCGCGTGTTTGAGTCTGTCTCGGGGCAGCCCTGTCGACCAGGACGGCACGGGTCTCAGCTCTCGGGGCAGCCCGGTCGACCAGGACGGCACGGGTCTCAGCTCTCGGGGCAGCCCGGTCGACCAGGATGGCACGGGTCTCAGCTCTCGGGGCAGCCCGGTCGACCAGGACGGCACGGGTCTCAGCTCTCAGGGCAGCTCCGGTCGACTGCGGTGCGTTGATGTCCGGCCGCCCCCGCTGCCCATTCCGCCGCAGCCAGCGCTGCAGGCATCGTCACTCAACATTGCTCAGCTAGTCGGTATTTATGGGCTCTTTGGGCTTCGTTGATAGCAGCATATTTGGTGATGATAAGATTGGATGTCCTAGTCGTGATTTGTGACCCCACTTGCAAACATTCAGAGGGCTAATCCTGGTTGTCGTTAGCACTTCATGCCGACGGTGATTCTGGCTCGCGTAGGGCCAATACTCAATGACATTGTTGATCGCTTACACTGCCGTGCCATTTATGCGTGAGGCTCAGATCACGGAAGTTTGGTCCGCCAGTCGCCACCGCTTCGTTTGGTATTTGACACGCTGCTGCTCGTCGGTTTGCCCATTGTCAGTTCGGGCTGGTATTTGCCGCTATCGGTCTACCTCGCCGACTGACTGCTGCGCTATCGTCGGCCCGGAATGTGATCGGCAGTGCCGGCTCGGAGGTCCGCTCCCGATCGCAGCGGGCGCCGACATTCCTCGTTGATAGTGCTGTGGACTCGGCACTCGCAGCGGTATCACCCTACCTGGGCGGGGCCCGAGGAACCCAGCAGTCTGGCCGTGTCTAGGCGGGGCCCGCGGAACCCAGGCCGCGTCTGGGCAGTGGGCTGGGTCCGCGGAATCCAGCAGTCTGACCGTGTCTGGGCGGGGTCCGCGGAATCCAGCAGTCTGACCGTGTCTGGGCGGGGTCCGCGGAATCCAGCAGTCTGACCGTGTCTGGGCGGGGTCCGCGGAATCCAGCAGTCTGACCGTGTCTGGCGGGGCCCGTGAAACCCAGCAGTCTATACGGGTGCCGTCCCGTAGAACCGGTCAAGGGCGGCGCGGTGTGCTCGCTGCCCCGTCCCCTTCGGTGCCGGCGCCGCGTCGTACACGACTCGCTACCTGGGGCGTCTTTCGCCCTCGGCAGCGTGGACACTGGACAGGGAGGTGTCGGTCCCGTCGCACTGAACCGCTATTGACGGAGCGCCCGTCGTGGCTCACCGGACGCTCCGAGCAAGCCCCACTTGAACCCTGACCCGGCGCCGCATTCTCCGGGGCTGTCGGCTCAGTGGAGGGGGTCGGTCGAATCCAGGACTGTCAGGGCAGATAAGGCTGTCACGCTGCGGGAAGGTGCGACGTAAACGAGTGGTGCACATCCGAGAGACACTGTAACAAGCTGAGAGTTTTGACTTCAGAGCGGTGCGCTCGGCCTCTTTGGGGTTCAGCGATTGTTTGGCCACAGTGTCATAACTACAGCAAGCGAGTGTCACCCTAGGTCAACACGATAGAGTTTGGGACTGGGGGTGTTTGATGCCGAGCTCACTGCTCAACAGCTTCTTTTGTTTGCCGTAGAAGAATTTTAGCTTGTCGAGTGTCGAGCTGTTCAAGCTCGGCACAAGAGGATACTGGACTGGACTTGTTACAAGTGGTGTTCCCTGTCGTTTTTCGGCCCAGAAACCAGGAGCGTCGTGCTAACGCTGGTATCTGCTCTGCGTGCAGTGGTCCCGGCAGCAGACAGCCACTGCCGTGTACCGGCGGAGCTGCGGCGCGGGCTGCGGCGCCTGTGATCGACGCGCGCCGACCGCCGCCGCGCGCTCCTCGCAGTTCCCCGCGGCTGGCAGGCAAGGCCACTAGTTGGCCGCGCCGCCACCAGAGGGTGGGCCGAGCGCCGGCGCGGCTTCCACAGAGGCCTACCCGCAGCCTTGTCAAGGTCTAACGCCGCAGAGGTAAGCGGCGCTTAATGTTGGCGCCCCGTGACCTTTGGGTCGCTACGAGAGAAGCGCGCTGTGTCGACAGATTTCGTTTTTGGTTTAAGATTGTCCAAAGGTGTCTTTATCGCCTTATAGAGCTGTCTCCTTTATTGCATTGTTAATTAGGTGTCGCCAAAATAAGTTGCGTCCAAGGTGGGACGGCCTTTGGTCATTGGTGTCTACATGGGTGAGTTTTTACGTGGGTTCGGGCGGCGGCCGGTCGCTGCTCGCCAGTGTTCCGAGAGGCGAGCGCGCGCGGACGTGTGGTGAGACTCTGCCTCGATCGGATCCGAACTGACCTGACACCTGGAGCGACAGCTGCCTGGAGCGCGCTGTGCCGTACCGCCCCGGCAGGTAGGTTGGGAGCGCAGGCTGCCCCGTACCTGTGTGTCTGTCGGTAGGTGGGCTGTGACGTCACGCCCGGCGGGGTCAGACGCCGTCGGACGGCCCGGCCCGTTAGCCGCGCTCAGGCCGGGGTCGGCCCGGCCCGGTATCGGCCCCGGCCCCGGCCCGGTCACAGGCTGGCTGAGAGCCCGTCAGGGGAACGGGCGGGGCTCACCCGACTGGACAGCGGCGCGGCTGTCGGCACTGGATACTGCTCACGGGAGCTTTGTCCCGAGTACCTGCAGTACCGGGTGATGCATTTCAAACCCAGAAACAGCGGCATCCTGGGGGACGATCTGCTGTGGTCGGACGTATCCCTTCGTTTTGCCAGCGAGGTGTGACCGTGGTAGGTATGTAGGATACGTTGAACGAACTGACCGTCAAAACGCTGTTCCGGACCCTGATCCGGTCTCTCCGCTGTGCCCCTCGCTCTCTGGGGGTCTCTGAAGACAGGGTGAACTGACTGGCGGCCGGCTGGTACGCTGTGCCGGGCCTAGTCTCCCTGAGGTGCCCCTTTCTCTGGGGTCCTTGTACGGTGGACTGACGGCCGTTTGGGACGCTGTAGTCTGCCCTGCCCTGTCCCTCCCTGGTGTCTCTGTACGGTGGGTGGTGGGCGGGGCGGACAGGGGCGCCGCTCGAGGAGCCCCGGCGTCTCGGCACGCGGGGTGTATGCACATACGCCGGTGTCCTCAGGTGCGGCCCGCCGATAGCGTATCGCGGCGACGCCGGGCGGTTGTGTACCGAATGCCGATAGGGGCTGTCGACATTCCACCCTCGGCCGCGACCGGCGAGCCTCTCGGCGCCCTCTGGCCTCTCGGCGCCCTCTGGCCTCTCGGCGCCCTCTGGCCTCTCGGCGCCCTCTGGCCTCTCGGCGCCCCCGGCCTCTGGCCTCTCGGTGCCCTCCGGCCTCTGGCTTCTCGGCGCCCTCCGGCCTCTGGCTTCTCGGCGCCCTCCGGCCTCGGGCTTCTCGCCGCCCTCTGGCTGCGATTCTGCATGGTCATGTGAACCAGCTCGGCCGAAAAGGGTCACAGAGCTGAGCTCTCCTTGGAATGATGCGCCATGCTAATGGGTGTCTCATCGCCGATGCCGGTATTGCAATGCCGTCAATCGGGAACTGCGTTGGCCGATTAGCGGCAAAAGACTAGAGAGGTGTGTCAATGTCGCCTGAACTTCGATGCATGCTACTGGCTAGACATGTGTCTTTGCATACGTTTTTCAGACATTTTTCTTGTTCTTATGTCACCATAATTTTCGAAAATGTTTTCATGTTTACTGTTGCTGTAGGTATTTAACTCTATCCTGTTGAAAGATACAGTGAAGCGTGCTCGTGGCTCTCTGTAATCGTTTTGGACCTTTGATTATGGCGAAGTCAAGATCTCTGATCACTTTGGCTGTCAGCTGCTTTGACGGCTCGTTTAGGTCGTGTTGCACGGCTTTGGTATGCCATCTTGATGCCACCTCTTTGTGTACTGAATTTCGTGATGCGCTTTTGTGTTTTTGTTTCCCCAAGACGCGCTTCTGTTCGGATGGCACCGCTGCCTTGAAGCCTTCGAATATGCACCAGACGATGCAAGCTGAGAAGGCTCACGACTTTTCGTTAGGACTCTCACTCTTCCTCAAAATTTTCGTGCAAAGACGAGCATGCTCGTGCAAATGCTGCTCCACCACACAAATCACCTGCGTAATCGCTGGGCCTCCATATCTTCTGAGCACTGAGCAGCATAACTTAAACTCTTTTGGAATCCTCCTTCAACCTCATGACAGTTGCGCTTACAACCGATTATCTCTTTCTCGCAGTATTGTGCACTCAATTAGTTGTATGATAGAGTAACTGAACAGCCGACCTTTCTATGAACGTTGATGCAGAAGGGCGTTAGGTTTTCCTGGCTTTGGCCCCTCGTGTTGACGCCTGCCTCCTTCAGTGGCGCCTGTGCGGTGGTTCGTGAGCGGCGCACCTCGTGACGGACTGTGCTATCCTGCAGGAACAGTGAAGGTCTGTGGATTGTTTCAGTTCTGGTATGATGTGCTCGTAAGCAATCTGAAGCGGCCGTCCCGATCGGGTGCCGTGTGAGACGGCCGACTCGGCTGTCCGTGACCAAATCGAGTGGTGTGGTCGGCCCAACGGTGTGAGGTCACCTTGGCGGTCTCGAATTCAGACGCTCTAGCGGTCGCGCCGGCCGAACTGCAGTGGCGAAACTGGCAGCTCTGCGGTGCGGTGTTCGGGCTGCCGTGAAGCTGGCAGCTGTAACTATCTGTGCAGCCGGCTGACAGTGGCTCGGAGCGGTGCGCACCTGTGGTGCTGATTCGGACGGTCACGGCCTCCAGCAAACCGGCAGCTCCAGTGGCCGTGACGGCCGGTCCCGAAACCGGCCGCTCTAGCCGGCGGCGCGGCGGGCCTCGCTCGCGGGATGACGTGGCGGCGGCGGCGGCGGCGGCGGCCGGGCAGACGGCGCGGCTGCCGCCGCCGACCGCCGTGTCATCAACCCGCCGCGCGGACCGACCGACGGACGCGGAAAATGGCGGCCGGCGCGAGCTGCGCCGAGCCGGGCCAGGTCCGGGCGGGCTGGGCTGAGCGGGGCCAGGTGTGGGCTGGCAGGGCTGAGATGGGCCGGTCCAGGTCCGCCGGCCTGGGCTGAGCCGGGCTGAATCAGTTTCGAGATGGGCTGAGGCGGGCTGAGCTGGGCCTGGTCTGGACAGTCCGACCTGAGGGCCTGCTGGACTTCACACCACGGCACTGCTGAGACACCGGCATAAACGAGCGACGGGAAGTGAGCGTTCCATGAGGAGTGGCATTTCCTGATTGTTGAGGGAAGCGGGTCTATTGAGGGAATATCAGACAAGCAAGCAAGCTGGTCCACGTGGCAGGGTGGACCGGTACAAGGACAAAGCCTGGGTGCCTGGTTTGGTCCGGTCTAGGCATTTACTGCTGCTCTCAGTAGTTCTGGCTGTCTTAGCAAGACTCAAGCAGTGACAATTATCGTGCTCAGTCGTATTTTAGGCCTGAACTGCCGATACATACTGCCAGGTTTAGGAAGGGAAAGTATCCTTCGCCTCGAGCATACAAAACAAAATCTTGGATAACTGCTAGGACGGTGTTCTGCTGAAGGGCGCTAACCGCTGGGTCTGATTGTGGGGTCATTGGTTAGGCACTTGGTTAAGCAATAGGCAGCTTGGGCACTTAAACTGTGCTCAATCTGTCTTTTTGAAAGTGATGACGGGCTGTATATAAAACGCATCTGTTTCGCTCTGTTGCCTCTCTGGCTGTCCTGTGTCCATGTGGTGTAAAGCAGACACTTGTAATGGATATTATTACTGCACTATTTCGTCCGATATATGTGCGTCATTCCCTTGGTCGTGTTTCCCGTGTCCGTTTGGCCTGCTGTACAGTTGGCACAGGCATTCATCGGGCCTGCGACCTATGTGCTCAGTGCCCATTCGTCCAACATCAAAACCTCTCATGAAAAGATCGACTTTCTGCGCCGTATGATGCTTTTCGTCGCGATCTTCCCCGCATGCTGCTGCGGGGATGGCTGCGCCTGCCATGCCGACTCGGACCGCCACCGGAGTGGACCTGCCGCCGCCGTCAGACCCCGGTCCCATCCGGAAGTGGTGGCGTGGCCCAGCTGTGGCGCTCGCCGGCCCCTCTCCGTGCGGCCCTTTGTGCGCGGCGGGGGCGGCCGGTGCCCGGGACTCCACGCGGCGCCCGTAACGGTGCCCTCCTCCACTGTCCTCGCGTTGACAGTACGAGTCCGAGCAGCGCCGATCTGCTCAGTCAACAGAGGTGGCACACAGACGCCGTATTTCAACACTACTCGGAAAGCCGTCGATACCGTTTGCCCCTGGTCCCCACGGATGTCCCCGCTAGCCGGCACCGGTGGCACGCTGCTGGTGTTACGGCGGCGCCGGTGAGTTTATCGACGCTACCTCATATTATCTGTCAGCTCTTGTCTGTTTCTGCGGCATCTCCGTCCGGCCGTGGCTGCGGCGGAGTTACTCGTCCCGCCTGCCCGGGCCGCCTCCCGGGGCGTCCTCAGCCCGCAGGTCCCGTTCCCTACCGGCCGCCCTGTCACCCTCCCCTGCCGGGCAGATGTCCGCTGGCCTCCAAGGTCGCGCGCCGCGGAGCGCCTGGCTGCGCCGATCAATGGGTGCCCTTTGTTCCGGGCCAAGGTGCGCCGGCCGCGCGCGTGCGGGGACACTGCGCCCGGCGCCCCGGGTCTTTGAACGGCGCGGCTCCTTCTCCCCAACACTGGGCGGGGCCGGCGGCCTCCGAGGGCGCCCTTGGAGGACACGCCGGCGCACCGGAGGAGCGGAGCGCTTTGTGGGCGCGTGCGAGCCGTCCGGCCTGACCTCGGCGGGGGGGATTAGGGGATTGGATGTTATCGCTGGATTACCTAGTGTGTCGAAATTCGGTGTTTGTCCGCCGCTGGCTGACTAGGAAATGGGCGGCAATCGGCACTGTGGCTCGGAGGTTTCAGCACTGTTAGCTGGGCGCAGTGGACAGCCGCCTATGTTTGCCTGTGGATTGTGCAGCCGCATCCGCTACCAAAATCCCCTGCTCGGTCAGCCGGAGCTATCAGCTCAGTCTGTTAAAATTGGCCGCGGTGGCATTGGGGCGCTGATTGGTCACATGCTTCCACGTCATGGACTGTCGGACTGCGGCGTCCACCCTCCACCTGATGGACTGCCGGACTGCCGCGTCCACTGTCGACCCGTGTCGGACTGCCGCGTCCACCTCATAGACTTCCGGACTGGCTCGTCCACCCTCCACCGCATGGACTGCCGGACTGCCGCGTCCGCTGTCCACCTTATCGACTGTCGGCCGGCGCTGTCCACCTTATCGACTGTTGGCCGGCGCTGTCCACGGTTCGACTGCTGGCCGGCGCTGTCTGCCGTTCGACTGCTGGCCGGCGCTGTCCACGGTTCGACTGCTGGCCGGCGCTGTCTACCGTGCGGTTATCACACTGCGGTGTCGGCGTCAGCTGCTGACTGCGGTTATAGAAACTGCTCAGCTCTCCCGCTGCAGCTGTCGATGGCCAGAGGCCCGGCTCGCTGTGCTAGCTGCATTTTGTCACATATCGGCTCCAAGAGCGATCATGACGGGTTCCGCGATTCTTGCATCGAAAGCTCAAACCAACATCGGTGCGTGGACTGGGTTAGTCAACCCTCCTTGGGTATGTCATCATTGCTAAATACTGACAGTGGTGTCGGCCGTGTGGCAGACTGTGTTGTCAGCCGGCCGTGTTTCATGACAGACACTGCTGTTGGTGAGTCAGAGGCCCGCTCGCCGGCCCTGTGACACACTGGGGCAGCTCGGCCACCCGGTGACACACTGCCGGCGCGGCGCCCTCCGAGCTGCTCGCCGGCGCGGCACCCTCCGAGTGCGAGCTGCGTGTCCGGAGCTGCCGCTGAGTCACCGCTGCTCTGCCTTCCCCCTCTCGGCCGCCGGGAGATGGACAGGGTGTGATGGGCGGGCACGGTGACTAAACGCTGCGCCCACCCCCGCGCGGACGAGGAGACTTGGTTCGGATGGACGGGAGATGGGATGGCTGCGATGGCTACATGGCGCCGCTGACCTGAGAGGGGTCGCTGGGCTGGTGAAGCGGTGGGTAGTTGAGCGGCGGGGTCCACCGTCGGTCCATTCCTGCAGTCCACCCCGCGGCATGCTGCCGTGCCCTGCAGCGGCGGCGGTGTGACTCAGGAGGGATCGATCCCCGGTGAATCACTCCCCTCGGAGCCTCCCACCTCCCCGCACACACACACATACACCCCATGACCCCAGTGGCGGGGGTGATTCACCCACGGCGCCCACCCACCCTGACAGCATCGATCGGCCGTGGAGTGACTCCACTAGTGATGTCAATTTCAGAAATTTTGGAAACCAATACCAAACCGATACCGACCAAAACCACTGAGAGTATACCAAAACCGAACCGATTTGCAGAAATAGGGTGAAATACCGACTAGGTACCGAATTCAGGGAATCATCAAACAAATGCTTCAATTTTTTTTTTTCAAAACAAATGATAAGCATTGAAAGGCAATACTTTAAAGTAAGGCCACCAAAACAAGTCAGGAAATCTCTAAATTATTTGCACTGCAAAAAAAATATAACTGTACCTATTGTGTAACTATGAACAAATATCAGGTCAGTAACTTAACTGGGATGTGGATTCAAGTCATCTGCATGAGGTGATATAGGACAAAACTTGAACCCTGAATCTCATCCATGCGTGAACCATCAAACGTCCTTTCAATTCAAGTCATTCAATTCAAGTCCAGTCAGACAGGGTTACGTGTGTTATCATGATCCAAAATGGTAACCAATGACAATGATGGGCTGGGCTATACCATTAATGTAAACAAATCCATGATACCTACAGTTCAACTCAAGTAGCGATGGTGACGATAGTGACGCAGCCAATTTTTCATCATAAACAAATGTTTAACTTAACAATCTTAATAAATAATTACTTACGAGGCACACTGATAGATAGCAGACACCACTGTAATGATATCGCGATGAAAGCTAACTAAAATGTCCATAATTTTACGGAATCATTGACACGTGTCACGTGGTATCTCTTCCACAATGGCAGCCTTGCAGCGGCGGCCATTTGCATTTAGGCACGAAACGCACGGAACTGCATAAAACAAGTATTTTTCTTTTTTGCTTAAGAATACTTCAGTTTTAAATATGATGTTCATATTTTGGCATCTAAAATTAATTCAAGAAGATTGTAGGCTGTTTATTGAAAAAAATGAAGAACCAAAAACAAAGTTGCTCAATTATTTTTAATTAGTTATTGAGCTACATCGGGTTTTGGCGCAGCTGCGACATTAAAAAGTTCTAGTTGTGTTCAGTTTTTAAACTGCTATTTGCGAATCAAGCCAAGACCAATTATATTTTAGGAATGCTTTTGATTACATTGCTAGCGATTTATCTGTTAGAGAGCAGAAAAGAACACTAATTAAATAAAATAAATTATCCACAGGACCTTTTTGAAGTTGAGCGAAGTTGAGAATTTGTGTGGGGTGATGATAAAGTGATAAATGCTGCCTTCAGTATTAGATGATAATGGTGAAGCTAGTGCTATAAAAAACAGGGTTTTGACTTTTGGATAATGTAACTGCATTGCAGTGAAATGGAGAGCAACAAGGTCAAGATCAATCACAGACTCATCAAAACAAAGTCAAATTTGTTACTAATGAATGCTTTGGAAATTTTGAGTAAGGTAGTTAAAGTATGTTTTCCAGTATACAGTGAGTTAAACATTGATACATGTTTATGTCTTGCACATTAGTTTTTTGTAAGATAATTATCCTCATGGTAGTGGAATTTGCTAGCACTGATAGGTTGCCATTTAACATTGGTAGACTGATGTGTTTGATGTTACAGTTAACATGTTTGCCCATTTCTTATGACATCATGCATTTGGGAGAAATGTGTCATGATTGTCCTTTTTCTTCATCCAATGTCATTTAGCAAATCAAATTTGAGTTCAGAAGGTTTATAAAAAATGTTTTCAATTTTTTATGGCAGAAGTTGACTTTCATAATACCAACAAAATACCAAATGCTTTTGGTATAAAATACCGAATACCGAATCGGTATTGGTTCGGTATCGGTATACCGAAATTTTGGTAACCGATTGACACCACTAGACTCCACTGTCCTGCGAGGACGGCCAGCGGTCAGCGGGCCCATGGTGCCCAGTAGCCGGGACTAAAACGGAGCCCGGGCCGGATTTGAACCGCGGGAGGCGGGGGTCGCTTGCTCGGCTGGAGGTTTTGGAGGCCGGTGGATGGTTGAGGATGTGCTGTCGGTGACGCGGCTGCTGGCCGGCCAGTTGAGCTCGTTGACGCACACGCCGATATGGACAATATTGCAGAGCGGCGGTTGGCGCGGGTCGCCCCTCTCTGAGTCACGCTGACATCTACTGTGCGAGTTCTGTGACCGTCGGTGGACGGCCTCGGCACAGCAGGGAGGGCCGCTCACCGGGTGCCGCCTGTACCAACTACCAACCCGAAACGGGCGACTGTGTGAGGCTCTGTGAACTATCGTGAGACAAATGTGTCCGTGACGCTATTTTTATTTGACGTCTCTTAGCCTCGCTACTGAAGTGATACACCTTCAAGTCTTCTTCATTAATTACAACAGGAATGTGTTACGTAGGTAGGTATGTGATGTGATGGGCTAAGCTGTTATAGATAAATATGTTCTTTTTCTGTTATTGCGCAGGATTGACGTGAATTTTCATGTCACAAGTAAATGCCTTTCAAATATTTTCACACATTTTGCATGATATAAAGCTGAGTTGGACCTGGGTTATTAGGTATTGACGCGGCCAAATATAAACATAATGTCTTAAAATAGCATGTAGTTGCATTCGCTCAGGCAAGAAGTACCTATATCAATTGCACACCCGTTTTTCACGAGCTACTGCAGCATGCATAGTCGGAGTATGAGGATCGACCTAGCGTTTTCCCCAGCTGGGCAGTCCCGAGTCCTTGACCGTTGTCCCTCCCGTGTCCTTTCCGGTCAGTGTCGTAACCTTCCCGGCGGGGCGGGGCGTTAGGGAGGAGGTGGGGGAGGGGGCGCGGAGGGTGGCTGCCCCGTCCGACGGTCGATGGTGGCCCTCCCTGGCAGCGCCGCCCGCCGCCCCGGCTGGCGCCCCCGCTCCGCGCCACCGCCAGTGTGGCCGCGGACGCCGCCGGGGTGGCACGGTGCGACCGTCACCGTCACAGGTCACTCGTGAGGGTGTGGGTGATCAGCAGCTCCCCGCAGTCGGCGGACCTCCTCAGTTGTCCGCCAGGTGAGGGTGCTGCTTAGGTGGTCGATTTACAGCCATTATTGCCCTCACATGATCAGCAATATTGTTATCCTTTCTGCTATTCTGATATCCAGTCTTACGTGATATTCTTGCATCATAAAGAACGTTAGACGCGATGGGTTTTTCGTCCAGTATCTCGCCGAGTCAACTCGACTGCACCTTGTCCGCCCACGGCCGTCACTCCCTCGAGCCGTGGTCACGGTCAGCCGGTCTCCCCTCTGGCGCTGTTCGACCTCTGGTGGCGCGCTCCTGACCTGTCCACCGGGCTGGGCACTGCGGCAGGCCCGGCCGGTCACTGGGGCAGGCCCGGGCTGTGGACCCGACTGCTGAGTCGACAGAGGAGCTGACCGAGGCTGCAATGAGCCGGCACGGAGACCGACAGCTGTGTGTGGGGGGGCCGGGAGGGATTCCCGATGACACACGCGATGGCCCGAACCGCCAAACCCCTCCCTCTGGGTACAATATTGGTGCGACTTCAGTAGCGCTAAAGAACGGCTCGGCAGGAACTCGAGTACGACAGGGCGCGCGTCCTCCGGTCATGAGATGCCGGTGTGGTGCCGTGTCGTCGTGTCCTCTCTTCCCGTCTGACCGTCACCGTCTGCCCGCGCCGGAGACGGGTGGTGACCGTGGGTTTGACGCCGGCGGCAGCTGAGAGCTCGGCAAGCCGACCCAATTGCTTCCGTGACCGGTGTTGTGACCTCCTAATGTGTACCAACCTCAGTCCTCTGTTTGGACGCATATCTTTGCCAGCCGGGAGTGGGTGGGGTGTCGCACTCAGGCTATCAGGCCAGAATGTGTACAGGTTGCGGACATTTTCCCTCGGAGCTGTAATCGAGCCCCGAGCCGCATTGTGTTCAATATTCCGGTATCAGCTGCTGTGTTCTGTACTGTGCGCCGCCGCCCCTATGTTGTCTATGTTGTCCCTGTGCCGCTGACGACCCTGTCTGTCACTGTGATTCTGATGTCTGTGCCGCTCCCGTCTGTACCGCTAGCGCTCCTGTTTTGTGCCTGTATATACCTGGCTGTGTCACTGACGCCCCTCTCTGTCTCCCGCAGGTGACCGCGTCTGGCCGTAGTTGATCGCTCACCGTCTCACCTCCGCACCTGGGCCGGCGCTGGGCGGAGAGTGTGACCGGAGTGCGGAGATGGGCCTGCGGGCCGCGCGCCGCCCTGCGCTGTCGGCCGGCCGCCGCGCCCGGCCCGCCAGCTGAGCAGCGCTCCTCGTGCCGCCCACACGCGCCCGGCCCCCAGTGCGCCGCGCGCCGAGCGGCAGCGCAGCCGCCATGAGCGCCATGGATGTGAGCGAGTCGCTGGCAGCCATGGAGACGGACGCCGCGGCGGCGGCGGCGGCGGGTCCGCGGCCGCTGGACCTACAACGGGTCAGCGCAGGTCAGTCCCCGGCGCCGGCCGCGCGGGCAGCGCGCGCGCGCGCCCGGTACCGTTAGCGGGAGTCTGAGCGGCGGCCGCTGCCAGCAGGCCGCCCCACCGGCAGCGCTGGCTGTCCCGCCAGAGCGGGCGGTGTGGGACCGCGGGATGTGGGTTGACGGGGACACGGGCTCGAACGTGGTGGAAGGGAGGGACCACGGTGGGTGTTCTGGACATGCCTCTGGTCACACAGTGGTGTGGCTGGTGCTGGTGCTGGCATGGTGCTGGTGGCGATGACGGCGGTGGCATGGTGGTGCTGGTGGTGGTGGTGTCTGCCATGTTTCAGGGAAGCTCTTTGCCCTGACGTGTAACTGTTGATGTTGCTAGTGCGGCCTTCTTCTAATTTCTGTTGTAGACGAATGGGGTTTGGATGGACATTTCAGCGAAATAGAAACGAAAGTGCGGACGTTCGTAGCATATAATCGCTCATATGATCTTCTTATAAACTTTTCCGGTTAAGCTTATTTACACCGTTCAAGTTTACTCAAAATGTGTGGGCGAATCATTTAGGATTTGAATACCTACATGTTTGGCAGTTCACAAAGGTTCGAGCAGTAAACCTAAAGCACTTAAAGCTACGCCACACGAGTTAGGAACACAAGCCCCAGCTGCTAGGGACCCATTGCATAGTCGCGTTTATTAACGTTAAATTCTAAAGGCTCACTTTTTCCTTTTTTCTTGAGAGGGGTGGTCTCCATTACCTATCACCCTTGATATTGTTACTCATTTATCAACCTTGCGATTGTTTCCCCGAAATGCATTGTCAAGCGCTTAAAAACATTGTCAAAAGCAGTCTCGAGCCATGCATCACAGTGAAAAACGTGCGTGGATTTCCGAACCAGAAAGTCGACTGTTTTGGTCTGCGCTGTTTTGTCAAACAGGTTACATAATCCCTGGTCATAATGCACACTATGCACAGTATTTAAACGAGCGTGAGGCATGTTGTCAATAGCCACATCGTTATATTTCATTGATATTGGGCGGCTTTCTGGCTCTGCATTGTTAGCATGCTGATAAGAAGTTTCAATTATTCTCCCAATGCAGTTGTTTGATTGGGTAATGGCTTGTTATTCTAAAATAATCCTGTTTAATTGAGCGTCATATTTCAGTAGGCATACATATGAATTATTGGAGCTATCCTGTGATGGAGTGGAGCTTCTGACACCCAGCCGGGCGTGGGGGAGCTGTCGTCTGATCGTGGTGGGTAGTCGGGAGATCCGCGGCCCGGTCACACCTCCACTACATGGCTGCGTTATTCCTCTGAGTTCTCCGCGACGAGTCTCAGTTTTGCTACGTCTACCTGGCTATGCGTCACTTGCTGGTGCCTGCCCCGCCGGCGCGCGCATAAATAGGACCGTCGAGGACTCAATCCGCCGTGTCTGGGAGTTGGGAGTGGGAGTCATGTCTGCGACTCTGTCTGGACTCTGGAGCCATCGCGGGACTGTCGTGTCTGAGACTGTCGTGTCTGGGACTGTCACGGGCTCTATCCGCCATGTCTGGGGGACTGTCGTGATCTCTGTTCGCCATGAGCACTAGCAGCCCGTGGCCTCGCGCCGTGCCCGGCGGCCGCTCGGCCTCTCTCCCGCGGCGCCGGCCACAGCGCCCTCCGCTGGGAAGGTCAGGCTCCCGGCTGGCTATCTAGCCAGCCCACACGGCGAGCTAGCTGCTTACCGCCGCGCCCAAACGACGTGCCGCCCGGCCGGCGGTTAGGCGGTTAGGCGGTGTTTAGGCAACGTTAGTCACGGCAGCGAGCCTGCGGCGGGCCGCCGCGTGCGACCAGGCCTGAGCCGCGGCCCAGTCGGGTATATGCACTGCGAGGGATGTGAGACAGGAGTGTCGGGGCGGGGACAGCAGAGTCGGTGGCGGGGACAGGAGAGTGTCGTTCTGTGTCGACTGTCCGTGTCTGTGGTTATGTGCATTGTGCAATGTGCATGTTTGGGTGCGAGCTGCTGGATGTCCGGGTATGTGTTCTCTATGTTGTGTTTGTTGTGTGTGCACTGTGTTGCGTCGGGAGCCGGGGCGGTGCGTCGGTGACGGCTGACGTCTCCCGTACAGACTCGACCAGTGTCAGCCCCCAGCCGAGCAGGGAGTCGCCGCGGCCCTCGGACGACGGCGCCGACCCCGACCCCGGCGCCGACCCCGACCCCGACCGGGGAGCGGGCGCCGGCGCCGGGCCGGCCGACAGCGGTGCGTTCTGCACGCCGGCTGTGTGTGAATGTGTGTGTTTGTGTTCGATGTTTGTCATGGGTGTTGTGCCTGCCCGCGCCGTGCCCGCACGTGATCTGCGTATGAGAGCCACTAGAGCCCCTCCCTGCCCTGCACCCATCTGACCGCCACTGCCCTGACTGCCTGTGAGGGCGGAGCGCATGGCATGACTGTGTGCGATGACACACGCACTCGCCGGCTGTCAGTGACGGACAGTATGCCCCCCCCCCCCTCACCGGGGCTCTGCTCGGGATGCCCGTCCCGCTGTTCAGCTGTGCAGTGTGCACCCGTCCCCCTCCCCTGCACGTACCGGTATTGCCGCCCGCCGCCTGCTGCACCGGCGATACTCGGACCCACTGTTTACTAGCGGAGCTCCCCTCACTGGAATGTGATGAGTGCCTCAGACTCACACGTCGCTCTGGTATTGAGACATCTTGCATAGTTGTTGCTTGTTGTTGTTGTATTGTATTATCAAGTGATCTTGGCCTCTGGAGTACTAGAGCTGAGTGGCTGATTTCCCTGGCGCATGAGTGGCTCTGAACCTGGGATGTCCGAAGCAGTGTGGATCAATTAGGTTCTGTTAGCTATATCGCAAAGGTGACGCCTGTGGCCGTAGGGTCGCTCGAGCGCTCTGCAACTGGACGGCGCGGCATCATGCTCTCGGACCTGACCGGTGTCATATACCCTGACCTGCCCTGACCGGTGTCATACATTAGACCTGTCCGGTGTGGTACTCGCCGTCCGGTGACCACGCCTCGCTGACAGCTCTCGCACGGCGCACCCGGGGCCGTCCCGTGCCTGAGTCAGCGGCCACCGACCGACTCGCGGCGGCCTTTCACTGCCGTCGGCCGGCGGGCGCGTGTCGAAAGGCGCGCCGGCCGACACGGGCGACATGGGGAGACCGACCGGGACCGTCGAACGGTACGGGCCGACAGGACGGTACGGAATACGGGACGACCGGGCGGGGACCGTCTACAGAAGCCGGGCTGTCCCTGTAGATCAGAGACCCGGGACCGGCGGCGGCCGGTGTCCGTCCGCTAAATATAGGTCTTGTCTTGCAGGCTGGTCGGAGTGGTGATACCGGTGCGAAAAAGTTCCGGGCGGCGACTGGCGTTCCCTGATGACTGACTGCTGGGCGTCCTGTCGGGACGTCCGTCTGCGCTGTGACTGTTTGGACTCGTCCCGTCCTGTTCATGTCGTTCTGACCGACCTCTGTGCTGGATGCATTTGAAGGATGCAGCCGGTGCGCGCTGTGTCGCTTGTTTGTGGGTTGGCGACTGGCGCATTTTAGTAGCCCACTCTGACATTCCACTGGGGCCTGTGCGACCGCCCTCCGATCCCGCCGGTCCAGCGGTAGACCTGCCCGGTTTGGTAAACCACCGCCAGTCGACCTACCAGTTCGTGTCGAAGCGGAAGCCATAGCGTTTGTAGCAGGGGCGCCGGCTGGCCGGGCCTTCCCCGACCCGGTCGACGCCGTGTCCGTTTGGTCTCACTGGCTCTGCTGCCGCTCTGCCGCGTTGGAGGGACCTGCTATGTCCTCATTATCTATCGCCAATGTCATGTCTTATAATCGACGGCTTCCACCGGTGTGTGCCGTTCAGAGCCGCCCGACCGGCCGGCGGCGACCGCCAGTCGCATGCCATAACCACATAGTTCCCTGCTCAAAAGTGTGTATTTTGGTCCTTGATATGCAGCCTGGCTGTGCTGGACCGGTTTCGTCGGTGAGCGGCGCTGTGCCGCCGACTGTGCCGCGCGTGTGCTCCGTGCTGTGTGCCGCTGGCCCTGTGCTCTGCGCCGCTCCGGACGGGTGGGGCCCAATGGAATGCAGAGCCGCTGCCGCCGCCGCGGACCAGGCTCTGTTTCGTCACGCGCCGAGCGGACGCATCTGCCGGCCGGCCGTCGTGACGCAACGCAGCGGCGCTGCAGCCGCTGACGGAGCTGAGCCAACCTTCGGGAATGCGCGTCATTGCCTCACCGCCGCGCGGCGCCGGCCGCCCGGACCAGTGTTATCACTCACAGTTGGGTTATTTAATTCCCACTGGCCATGAGGTGAGAGGAAACTGCTTGGCCGCCCCGGCTCACTGTGTGGAAACGTACCTGGCCAGGGCGCGCCGCCGGTGCGACCGTCGTGTTTGACCTTCGCGGGAATGTCGGGGCGCGGCAAGGCCGGCGCTACCTGTCGACATTCCCAGGGCCCAGTGCGGTCGGCCGGCTGTGGATTCTGCGCCACCGTCCGCCGCCTGGCATACCCAGGACCCGGTGGCTGGATGTTCGGCTCTGGAGTCCGCGCCACTGTCCGCCGCTCAGCCGGGGACGGCGCCGACTGCGTCCGAGCTGGCCTCCTTTCGGACACTTTTCCATGTCCCGCAGGCTAGCACGCAACAGTTGAGAATGCGCCGAGCCGCGGCGGCCGGCGTCCCGTCTGCCGCGCCGGCCGCAGTGGGACCGGCGCTGACGGCGGCGGCGGCCGTCACGACCTCCCGGTACCGCGGCGCGCTGACGTGCCGCCGGGCCGGATTTTTGTCCGGCCGGCCGGCGGCGCACGGCAAGGTGCCGGACTCGGTGCGCAGCGGTGACGATCAGCAGACCTGTGCCGCACGGAACTGAGCAGCGCGCTGGCGAGCGCCCGGTCCGCCCGACTGTATTGACACGGCGATTGGCACGGACGGCCTGCCGATGAAGGGCGATGTGGTCACCGGATGTGGGCGCTATCTTCACACCGAACGGGCTGCCGGTGTCGCAACCTGACTGATGGATGCATGTTGCACGCGCCGCGCTGATGTTGGCCGATGTAAACTGAGCTCGAGCATACGGCGCCCAAAGTTGCACCTGCCCCGCCCAGCCACATGCATAGCTGACTGTTGGTTGTACCCTATATCGATGTTTGACAAGTTCCTTGTCGCTCATTGAGAAACCTGTCCCTGATGGGTGATGTCCGGCGCTGGTTGACGGGTGGCACCCTCTAACGGTGACCTGTGCGTTTCAGCCTCGGCGGTGTGGCGTCCCGGTGGCAGCTCTGCCGAGTCGCGCGGCTGGGCCGAGCGGCCCATGAGCTGGCAGGCCGATCCGGGCGAGCCGGCCTCCTCGCAGCTCGAGGCGGCCATCAGCCAGACCCACCGCATGGTGAGTGGAGTGCGGCGGCCGGCGGGGACCTCAGACTGATGTGGGACTGTCAGAACTGATGTGGGGCCTGAAAGGGGCGGAACATGACGTTGACGTGGGGTCTGTGTTATGCTGATATGAGGGACGTCACACTGATCTGGGGCCGCGGAGGGCAGTAAACCTCTCACTGATGTGGGACTGATGACGATAGGACTGAGACGCGGGGCGGACAGGGATGTGGCTGTGTGGTCGCGAGGCGAGGCGCTCGTCAGACATCTGTCTGTTTTCCGGTAACGCCAGGTGGCCGCCGTACGTATGTGGTGCGGTGACTGGCGCTAACAAGAAGCATGTGGATGTCGGACTGTGTTTGATCATAACGGCTGCTATTGTCATGTGCCCGCCTTCCTGCCCCTCCGTTCCGTCCGTCCATCCGTCCGTCCACTGGTGGCGGCGCCTCTGAGGCCGGCCGGGCGCTCCGTCCAAGGCTGGCGGTGGTCCGGCCAGCCTTGGTCGGCCGGCCGCGGCGATCGGCGGCGCGCGCGGCCTGAGCCGGCCTCGGAAGGCCGACCGGGCGGCGCGGCGGTGGCAGCGGCAGCGGCGGCCACCTGACGGCCGCGTCCCACGGCGCGCGCCGATAGCTGACGTCAGCGGACGGCGAGGGGCGCCCCTGGCGGGGTACTGACGGCGCGAGGGGTGCCTCTGATGGGACACTGATGGCGCGAGGTGTCTGATGGGTTACTGACGGCGGGGCCGCCTCTGATGGGACACCACTACCGGCGCGAGGTGCTGGCGTCGCGTCGCTGGCCGTCCGACAGACTGATGGACCGGTGCTGTGTCGGCCGCGGCTCGGGCTGATTGACGTCCGACCAGTAGACAGACAGACGGGCAGGCAGCCACGGCACGGCCCAGTGCGGCAGGCCGCGGCACGTCCGGGCCGGCCGGCGCTCTGCCGACCGCGACCGACTCCGCCGAGTGTGCTCCGTGGTAGCCGCCCGCGTCGGCTCCGTTGTTAGGCCTCTATCTCTCCTTCCGTGTCACCGTCTCTCGTCTCTCTGTTCGTATCTCTACCTCTCGATAGGTCAGTGTCTCCGCCAATCGTCTCCTGTATCTCTCCCAGTGGCGGATCCAAGGGGGGGGGTCACATGGGTCATGACCCCCTCCTTGGGGCTCGGGGGCACCACAGGCCCGCCAGGGGCACCACAGGCCTAGCAGGGGCACCACGGACCTGTCAGGGGCACCACAGGCCTGTCAGGAGCACCATCGGCCTAGCAAAAGCACCACAGGTCTGCCAGGGCCACCACAGACCTGCCAGGGGCACCAGAGGCCTGCCAGGGGCACCGCCGGCCTCGCAGGAGCACCTTGGGCCTGTGGGGGCACTTCAGGCTTGTCAGGGGCACCACAGTCCTGTCAGGGCCCAGGGGCAGCAGTGGCTTAGCAGGGGCACCACAGGCCCGCCAGGGGCACCACAGGCCTGTCAGGGGCACCAAAGGCCTAGCAAGGGCACCACGGGCCTGTCGGGGGCACCAAAGGCCTGGCAGGGACACGTCAGGCTTGTCAGGACCCAGGGGCACCACAGTCTTTCCAGGGGCACCAGAGGCCTTGCAGGGGCACCACAGGCCTGTCAGGGGCACCACAGGCCTCGCAGGGGCACCTTGAGTCTGTCAGGGGCACCACGGGCCTGTCGGAGGCACTTCAGGGTTGTCAGGGGCACCACAGTCCCGTAAGAGCCCAGGGGCACCAGCGGCCTAGCGGCTAGCAGAGGCACCACAGGCCTGCCAGGGGCACCGCAGGCCTGCCAGGGGCACCACCGATCTCGCAGGGGCACCTTGGGCCTGTCAGGGGCACCACGGGCCTGTGGGGGCACTTCATGCTTGTCAGGGGCACTACAGTCCTGTCAGGGCCCAGGGGCAGCAGTGGCCTAGCAGGGGCACCACAGGCCCGCCAGGGGCACCACAGGCCTGTCAGGGGCACCACAGGCCTAGCAAGGGCACCACGGGCTTGTCGGGGATACCACGGGCCTGGCAGGTGCACCTCAGTCTTGTCAGGGCCCAGGGGCACCACAGTCTTTCCAGGGGCACCACAGTCTTTCCAGGGGCACCACAGGCCTGTCAGGGACACCAGAGGCCTTGCAGGGGCACCACAGGCCTGGCAGGGGCACCACAGGCCTGCCAGGGGCACCACCGGCCTCGCAGGGGCACCTTGAGCCTGTCAGGGGCACCACAGGCCTGCCAGGGGCACCACAGGCCTGCCAGGGGCACCACAGGCCTAGCAAGGGCACCACGAGCCTGTCAGGGGCACCTCAGGCTTATCAGGGCCCAGGGGCACCACAGTCCTTCCAGAGGCACCACAAGCCTGTCAGGGGCACCAAAGACCTAACAGGGGCACCACAGGCCTGTCAGGGGCACCACAGGCCTGTCAGGGGCACCACCGGCCTCGCAGGGGCACCTTTGGCCCGTCAGGGGCACCACGTGCCTGTCGGGGACATTTCAGGCTTATCAGTGGCACCACAGTCCTGTCAGAGCCCAGGGGCACCGGCGGCCTAGCACGGGTACCGGCCTGCCAGGCGCACCACCGGCCTCGCAGGGGCACCATGGGCCTGTCAGATGCACCACTGGCCTGTCGTTGGCACTTCAGGCTTGTCAGGGGGCACCACAGTCCTTCCAGGGGCACCACAAACCTGTCAGGGGCACCTGCGGCCTAGCAGGTGCACCACAGGCCCGCCAGGGGCAACACACACAAAATAAAATATATAAAAAAAAACAAAAAAAAAACGAAAATAGGGCACCACCAAAATGAAGTGGCCGAAATCCGATGAGTTTTTAATTTTGGGTATAGGTAGGGGCACCACTTCGATTCATGACCCTCCCCTTGGAATTTTCCTGGATCCGCCCCTGATCTCTCCCGCCTCTCTTCTCTCGATTTCCAGCTGTCGGTCTCCGTCTCTCGTCTCTTTGTTCATATCTCCCCCTCTCGTTTCTAGGGTGTGCGGCGGTCGGTCGGGCGGGGGCGGCGGCCTGCTGTCGGAATCCGCTGTATAAACAGTGCCGGCACCGCGCACCGGTCGGCCGCGGGCGCGCGACCCCCGCCCTGACCTTGCCACTGACATTGGAAGGACGCGCCGCGGCCGCCGGCGGAGGACGGGGGGGGGGGCGCCGATGACGCCACGTCATTATGGTTGGCTGGCGGCGCGGTGCCGCGCGGCGGCGGTGGGCGGACCACGGAAGTTGGCCGGTGCGGCGGACCGGCCGCCCGCCGACCGGTGCCAGCCGGCCGGCCGTCCGACGGTCCGCCGCGCGCGGCCGCCCAGCGCCAACCTTGGCCGACCTTGCGGCGCGGCGGGCCCGGCCGCGCGGCCTTGGTGACCCCTCCGCCGCCGGGGACCGGCCCGCAGCGCCGAGGCCGCCGCCGCCGTTTTTGCCAGTCGCCAGGTGTGCGTACGGCGCCTGCTCTCCGGAGGTGGCAGCCCTCGTAGTTGGAAACGGTGGCGCCGGCGGCGCCGCCGATACCTGGGAACTCGTGCCCGCGGGCCGGACGAGTTATGAGGGGTTTTGCGAATGTTGGAGGGTAGCGGAGGGAGCCGACTGATATTTATCGATGTTCTTAAAAACAATATTTTATCTTCGGTCCTCGAGTGTTCTGGGAAGAGAGCATTGCTCCGTTTTAAATTGAGGGACAATGCCAATAAGGAGAAATGCGATGCAGTATATCCTGAGGGTGCAAACATTTTTCTTTGTTTTTGCTTCAAAACCTTTTTTCTTACATAATCACATAATTACTAACCTCGCGGCTTTGCCATCGATAAGTGAGATTTTATGTCGTTTCTACAAATCCGTTTCATATTCTAAACGTTTAGGGAGTAAATCAGGGCGACCTAACTGACGAAGTTTGTCGCGCTCCAGCGCTGTTTTGGGACCATTTCGCCACTGTGTCGGTTCCGGCTATCGTCGGCTGTCGGTCAGCGGCCGGAACCGGGTGGGATTCAGTCGGCCGCCGGGGCTGTTTATCACGTGTCGACGCTCGGCGCCGGTACCTGACCCCGGCCGGCGCGCCGCCGCGTCGCCGGCCGTCGACCGTGCGCCGTTCCACGCCGCCGGCGGCGCGCTGTTTTGCCGTCCGCGTGCAGGGCGCGTATTGATCTCCCGATACGATCTGCCGGCGCGGCCGGCCACGTGGCCGCCGGTCGGCTAAAAAGGACGCCGCGCGCTGACACCGAGCCGTGGGACAGAGCAAAGGAGGAGGGGAGAGAGCACCGGGGTCAGCTGGCAACATGGTCGGTCTCGCCGATTGCCGGGCCGGGACGGCGATTCGGCAGTCTCGGTCGAATGGGAGGGAGCTGACACGGAGAGAACAGAGGCACCACACAAAGAACAGTGCTGGTCGGGGACAATAGATAGCCACTAGCCAGGTGTCTATCAGCGACATTTACCCCTGTGTCATGGTTAAAAGCACGTCACACACTGTTTTCTCTATGCACGGCGCCTGTTGCCTCTGCCGCTCGCCGTCCGTCGGTAGTCAGCGGGCAGTGGTCGAGTGGTCGTCAGTCGCCTGTTGCTGGTGCCCACTGCCGCTCCCTGCTCAGTCTGGTGGCCGGCACGTCCCTTCCCAGCCGGAACAGTGACGGTGTGGCTGCTCGGACTGCCAGTCTCTCCAACTACCGGGAGTGGCTGCTGCACTGTATGGGTGGCTGAAGTGTGGCTAGGAGGAACTTTACACGGGCCCTGAGTGAGCTGCTATCTCTCATTCCGGTGAATGCCATTCCGCTGTCCTGTGAGACCTGTGTGTCACCCTCAGCCTCTACAGCTTCTCTGCCGTCGCACGGCTCTGCGGTGCTGTTGGCCTGTCTCTTGTGCTTGTGCCCGTGACTCTGACTGTGATCTCCGGTCCCTCTGTCCATCAGGTAATCAAGCTAGAGGTTAATGAGATGGTGACCAGTCCGGCGGCGCTGTGTGACTCTGTATGACTCTGACTCTGACTCTGACTCTGACCTCCGGTCCCCTGTCTGTCCGTCAGGCGATAAAGCAGGAGGTGGATGAGATGGTGACCAGTCCGGCGGCGCTGTGTGACTCTGTGTATCTGACTCGGACTCTGACTTCCCCTGTCTGTCCGTCAGGCGATCAAGCAGGAGGTGGATGAAATGGTGACCAGTCCGGCGGCGCTGTGTGACTGTGTGACTCTGACTCTGACTCTGACCTCCGGTCCCCTGTCTGTCCGTCAGGCGATAAAGCAGGAGGTGGATGAAATGGTGACCAGTCCGGCGGCGCCCGACAGCCACCACCTCTCCTCCGACACAGAGTCGGCCACCGCCAAGGTATGTACGCGTGGGATAGGGACAGTCTAGGGTAAGGCCGTGTAAGAAAGACTGGGACTGAATGCACTCATCACTGTATGTTGATGTATTCGGACATCGCATACCTAATTTTCTGTTCTCAAGTTCGATATTTAGAAACTTGGTGGCGATAGTGACGACGCCGTGTTTGATCGAGCATCTATAACATGTTTCGGCTGGTAATAGGGAGGCCTTTTATACCAGGCCCGTGTGTTTTTAATGGAATGTGACGCGTTGCTGGCGTTGTTTGAAGGCTGTGGTATGTTGTTGTGCACTGTCGGCGCCGTTTCTGTGTACTGTGTAGTACGACTACACTAGATCGGATGGCTGTGCCGTGTTTACGATAGTGTCTCCCCGGGGACAGATGGGTCGCTGTGCTGCCACCGCGTCTGTCCTTACAATGACGACCTCGGACGCCCTCATGCCGATAGCGTGTGGCCTCTAGGCTTGGCCTCTAGTCTCCGTATTTTGACGTCTCTGTGTTTGTACCGTCTTTACTGTCTGTTGGTCTGTACGGTGACTTCTTTGTGTCCGCACAGTGACGCCGATACCGTCTGCGTCGTACTCGTCTCGTCTGAGCGTGCCGACTGCCTCGGGTGTTTGTGGCGGGCTCTTACCATGTTTGTTCACATGTTTGTGCCCTATGTGAGTGTACCCCGTGTGACCGCTCCTGATGTGCCCTGTGTGACCGTTCCCTGTCTGACGGCCCTCTGCTGTTCCCCGCAGACGGACGGCGAGCGTCCGAGCAGCGCCGGCCCGGCGCGCAGCGACTCGGGCTGCGAGGTGAACCACTCGGGTCCGTTCACGCCCAGCGCGTCGCCGCTGCTGCCGCGCTCCGGGCACGGCTTCCACAACTCGCCGGAGCTGGGCGGCGGCGGCGCGGCCGGCCGGCTCTACTCGCCGACCGCCTCGCCGCTGCAGGCGCGCCACTTCTCCGGCTACTCGTCTCCCTACTCGCACACGCCCAGCACGGGCCTGTCGCGCAACAACTCGGACGCGTCGCAGTACGGCGGCTCCCAGTACTCGTGCTCGTCTGTGTCCTCCCCGGGCGGCCAGTACTCGCCGGCGGCGTCTCCGGGCCAGAGCCGCCACCTGTACCGGCAGAGCCCCATGCTGGGCCGGCACATGGAGCACCTGCTGGGCCAGCACCCGCTCAACCTGACCCAGTCGGACTCGGAGAGCTGTGACGACAAGTCGCAGCTGGCCGCCGAGCTGGCCGCTCACTCGGCGCTCTCTGGCCAGTCGGGCATCAGCCGGCAGCAGCTCATCAACAGTCCCTGCCCCGTCTGCGGCGACAAAATCTCCGGCTTCCACTACGGCATCTTCAGCTGCGAGAGCTGCAAGGGCTTCTTCAAGCGCACCGTGCAGAACAAGAAGAATTACGTATGCCTGCGCGGCGCCGGCTGCCCCGTGACGATAGCCACGCGGAAAAAGTGTCCCGCCTGCCGCTTCGAGCGCTGCCTTAACATGGGCATGAAGCTGGAAGGTGAGGAGCCACAGGCGGCGGTGTGGAGGGAAGGGGAGGGTGTGACGGGGGATGCTCGAAATGGTCTAGCTGAGATTGGGGTGTGATGATTGACGGGAAAGACCGACAGAGTTTATAGGGGGATGTTTCACTAACGAAAGTGAGATCAGTGCACGCAGGGTGCTTGTCCAATGTCCATGTTCCGCGCCACTGCGGGAGGTGACAGCGGTAGGCGTACATTGCAGCGGGCTTTTCGCGGCTCATAGCTCTAGCCACCGTGTAAAGCGCCGTCCGCCGCTCTTATGCCAACAACGGACGGCCCCTTTCACTATTGACGGCGGTCTGTCCGGGTCCATCACCACAACTCGATATACTGATGTAACCAATATCCACTACACAGAACACACGCACACTGGGACCTAGCCCAGCGGCCGCGGCCACCATCCTAGACGGCCCGTCGGACCGGTGGCCGCGCCGAGCCGAGCCGAGCCGCGCCGCGCCGCGCCGGCCGGCCCTACAAGGCCGCTCGGCACGGCGGCAAGGTCGGTCGGCCGGCGGCGCACGGACGGGGCCGCGCGGCGTGTCGCAATGGCGGCCGACTGAGTCAGCGCGGCCGCTCACTGCAGACGGACGGACGGACGGACGGACGGACGGACGGACGGTCGGACGGTCGCCGAGCCAGGCTTTGTGTTGTGGGCGCTGCCGTCTTACCGAAGGGACCGTCCTCAGGGGTTGACGGGGGGGGGGGGGAGACGGCAGCGTTCTGCTGCTGCAGGGTGCCGCCTGAATTCTCGGAGACACGTCACTGACGGCTGGACGCGGCGACACTTTCCTCCTGCACGTGCCGCTGATAGTTTTGCCGGGTGATTTTTGTCGCCGGCCGGCTGATGACACCGGCTCGTTGTGGCCTGACGGCCCGGGTGTGAATCACGGCCGACGGACTGGGGCTCACCGGCAAACGCTGCTCTTTGTACTTGGCCAGTCCCGGGCGAGACTGAGTGCTACTTGTCCGCCCGTGACGGGCATAAAGTCTACCCTCGTGATGGGAGGGCAAACATACTGGTCGTAAAAGGAAAACATGATCTGTCTCGGGAACGTTTGAATATGGCACAAATATTGTTTTCATGAAACTTTACTTTGATGGGAGGATAATTGTTCATAGGCCCTGGCGCGTCAGTGGAATGGCACTGTTGCGTGTTGCATGAGACTTTGATCTACATCTGTTATTAGTAAGATCGTACTAACCTGGCCTAACCTGACCTGTTCCTCTCGGCAGCGATCCGCGAGGACCGGACGCGCGGCGGCCGCTCCACCTACCAGTGTTCGTACACGGTGCCGCCGTCGCTGGTGGCGCCCTCTGCAGGTGGCGCCACCAGCGGCGGCCCGGCCGACCCGCTCCAGGCGGCGCCACACGTCAAGGCCGAGCCGAGCGAGGGCGGCGCGCCGCCGGACGGCCGGCCGGCCACCCCGCCCCTGCTGAAGGTGAGCCGACCGGTCCGGTCACGGAGTAGGGAGGGGTGCTGTGGACAGGGGTCACTGCGGAGGGACCGGGCAGGGACTGGGTTCATAGAGCGGGGACCGCGGTCACTGCAGGAGTCGGGCCTCTTTGCTCTGGAATCTTGATATTATGCTTGAGTGTCATTGACTGGTCGTATGGACCTGAGGCCGGTAGTGACTGGTAGTGTGTGGAATCATGGTTTAAAACACAATTATGGGAAGCTTATTTTGCTGCATTGGAGGCTAATATTCCCTCGCCCTTCACCCCTGACACGTCGCTCGGCGGTCCGGCAGCAAATAATGTCAGTGGAGCACCTGTGGCAGCCGTCTCCGGCGGACAGTGTGCCCTCGCCGGCCTCGCAGCAGCCGTCCGGTCTGGCGGCGGCGGCGGCGGCCGCGGCCGCCGGCGCCGGCGACTACAGCAGCCTCTGCCACATCGCCGATCACCGGCTCTACAAGATCGTCAAGTGGTGCAAGAGCCTGCCGCTCTTCAAAGAGATCCACGTGAGTCGCGGCGCCGGGACCGAGAGGGGGCAGGGACAACGGGCCCACTGACAGTAAACGTTTTGATCGAGATGATAAAGAAAACAATCTATTTGGGTGTATGTAGATAAATAATACAGGAGTTTGGCGCTAGCTAGCCTTTTTCGCTGTGACATGCCTCCGGGCGCATATTAACTTGCCCGTTAGACCGAACTACCGTGTAAGCCACTATATACCGTCCGGCGTCCGCACAGCCTACTGACTACCTCGAACCCGGGTCCTCCTCGCACTCGGCCCGCTTCACTTGGAAGCTCCTTCTCTGACCTGTGCCGCCCTTCCGTCCCCTCGCCGTGTGCGCTGTGAGTCTGACCGCCGCCTTGTGTCCTGTGTCGAGTCTGACCGTCTGCCCTCTCTGCCCTCCGCAGTTGGACGACCAGACGGCTCTGTTGATCAACACGTGGTGTCAGCTGCTGCTGCTCAACTGCTGCTACCGCTCCCTGGACACGCCCGGTCACATACGGGTGTCGCGGGGCCGCTCCGTCAGCGTCCAGGAGGCCAACGCCATCGGTACGTCACACTGACACACTGACACTGACACAGTGACACCGACACACTGACACTGACACACTGACACTGACACTCCCGGCCACATATGGGTGTCGCGGGGCCGCTCCGTCAGCGTCCAGGAGGCCAACGCCATCGGTACGTCACACTGACACACTGACACACTGACACTGACACTCCCGGTCACATACGGGTGTCGCGGGGCCGCTCCGTCAGCGTCCAGGAGGCCAACGCCATCGGTACGACACACTGACACACTGACACTGACACACTGACACTGACACACTGACACTGACACACACTGACACTGACACTCCCGGCCACATATGGGTGTCGCGGGGCCGCTCCGTCAGCGTCCAGGAGGCCAACGCCATCGGTACGACACACTGACACACTGACACACTGACACTGACACTGACACGCCCGGCCACATACGGGTGTCGCGGGGCCGCTCCGTCAGCGTCCAGGAGGCCAACGCCATCGGTACGTCACACTGACACACTGACACACTGACACTGACACTCCCGGTCACATACGGGTGTCGCGGGGCCGCTCCGTCAGCGTCCAGGAGGCCAACGCCATCGGTACGACACACTGACACACTGTCTTTGACACATGACTGGCACTGATCGCTGTGTGGTATTGTTATCTGGCCTGTGTTCTGGCTGGCAACTTGACCAGACCTGACATCCAGGCGTGGACCGTTGCGTGGTAATGCTGTCTGTCCTCTGACCTGTGACCTGACCTCTGACCTGTGACCCTCAGGCGTGGGCCGCTGTGTGGAGCGTATGGTGGCGCTGACTGACCAGTTCCGGCGACTCCAGGTCGACTACTACGAGTACATCGCGCTCAAAGTGATCGTGCTGCTGTCTTCCAATGGCGGTCAGTGATACCCCTCCCAGACCGGGACCCCTGTGACACTGCACGGTGGCCGGTGCTTGTGCCGAGGTCACCTGTGCTAGGATAGCGGGCGGGCATTGTGTTGTGGGGAACACGGGAAGCGTGTAATCGTTGAATCAGGGTAGCGCGTAATCAGGTCGCCAGGTTTTAATTGATCGGGTTTTCAGGCTGTTTCTCAGTCAGGCTCATGCTGACGAGCTGCTGCATGCTTTTCGTGTAGTCCACCGGTTAGTGATTCGCTGTGATCTCCTACCTGTGCGCCCTCTGATCCCTTTATCCTACCTTCCACTCCGACCTCGCCTGTCGACCCTTTCTCCTCACACCCTTCACCCTCTGACTCCTATACCGTAATGCTGCCTAAAGCCCGTCAGTGCTGGCGGGCCTCCACCCTCCTTCTGCTCTCTCGGACTCTCCAACTCTGTCTTCCTCCTGTAAGTGTAGACTCGCCATGGTTGGCCTGCCCAACCCTCCCCTCTGCTGTCTCTGACTCTGTGCTGACTGAGCCGCACAAGGTGCCGGTACTGACTCTCTCCTCCCCCAGACCTGTCGGTGCTGACCCCCTCCCCCCCGTTTACAGACCCGTCGGTGCTGACTGAGCCGCACAAGGTGTCGGTGCTGACCCCCCCCCCGCCCCGTTTACAGACCCGTCGGTGCTGACTGAGCCGCACAAGGTGTCTGTACTGACTCTCCCCCGCCTCGTTTACAAACCCGTCGGTGCTGACTGAGCCGCACGAGGTGTCGGTACTGACTCCCCCTCCCCCCCCCGTCTACAGACCCGTCGGTGCTGACTGAGCCGCACAAGGTGTCGGTACTGACTTCTGACTCTCCCTCCCCCCCCCCCCCCCCCCCCACAGACCCGTCGGTGCTGACTGAGCCGCACAAGGTGTCGGTACTGACTCCCCCGCCCCGTTTACAGACCCGTCGGTGCTGACTGAGCCGCACTGGGTGTCGGTACTGACTCCCCCCCCCTCCCGTTTACAGACCCGTCGGTGCTGACCCCCGCCCCCTCCCCCCCCCCAGACCCGTCGGTGCTGACCGAGCCGCACAAGGTGTCGGCGTGCCGGGAGCAGGTACTGCAGGCGCTACAGCAGTACACCATGTCCCACTCGCCGCAGACGCCCAGCAAGTTCGGCGAGCTGCTGCTGCGTATCCCGGACGTGGAGCGCGCCTGCCAGCTGGGCAAGGAGCTGATCGCAGCGCGCAGCTCGTCCGACGGGCCCACCTTCGACATCCTGCTGGAGCTGCTCAAAGGCGACTGACCGGCCGCCGGTGAGCGTACGGGGCGGGGCACGGCAGGGTAGACGGCCGGGTGTTAGAGTCACGGATAACGGGAGCTGGCAGGGTATTGTGAGTCGGTGAGGGGCTGCGGTGGGTAGGTAGCAGGGAGGCCGCTGCACTTCAAGAGCTTGGAATCAAAAATAGTTTTGAAGGGAAGAAAGACTGATTCTAAATGTTTCAACGTGATAAGTATCAAGACTGCTTTGCGCTGCATCCTGCGACGTTATTACGAAGCAGTTGTCTGGTTCAGTTTTTTTTTTTTGTGTTTGAGGAGAGTGTCTCCTCGTCTGACGCTGCTCTCGTCTGCCCGCCAGGTCGGCCGGTCCGCCGCCGCCGCCGCGCCTCGCTGGTCGAGTCGCGGCCCACCTACATTCCACTCAGTTGAAGCGCAGCTCAGTGCCAAACGGCCGGGGCGGGAGCCGCCGGGCCGCCCTGTAATCCAGCCCACCGTGCCGGCACGCCGGCGTCCATCGCCGGACGCCGCGCCGTGCCGCCGCCCAGACGGCGCCGCCGCCGCCGCTCTGCGCGCTACTCGGCGCCGAGCAGCGGCGCAGAGGCGACGGCGGCGGCGCGCCGCCACCGACCCGACCGCCCAGTGCCAGCTCGGTGATGGCGCGCCGCGCCGGCCGCGCCGTCACTTGTTATTTATTGGGAGGGGCGCGCCCGCCAGAGCCGTCCAGCCGCCAGCAGCTACCGCGCCGCCGGCGCCAGCCTTACTCATCGGAGAGAGAGTGACACCGAGTGAGAGAGAACGGGAGAGGAAGGGAGAGTGCAAGCATCGCCTGGCTGAACTCTTGAGGAGGCTAGACGTTTTATATTGTTTGCTACTTTGTTTGTACAAACTGGTGTTTGTTTTTATGAAGGTGTGCTAAAGAGCCAAAAGCCATTTTATTAATACATTTTTATATTATCGTACACATCGTTTTGTAATCCAGCTGTCAATTGATCGGCTTATGACCTGGAGCAGCGCAAAAGGTTTACCAGAGCAAATCACGTGGATGCCTCTGAACTGAAGCGGTGCCCTGTCTGCTAGGAGGCGGACACCCCACAGCACTTGCTGACACGCTGCCCGACCCTGATTGGGACCCGCCTGTCCTATATGCCTGCTGGGGTCTACTCACCCTCAACTGAGGGGCCTGCGCCCAGCGGAGCCGCATGGCTCCGGCCGGGCGAGGAGGGTTCATTACGTACAGTGTCATTGCCTAACAGCTTCTGACCGACTGCCGCTAAGTCTCATCAGCTCGTACCGTTCACAGTGGCCCGGAGATCACATTTGACGAACATTCTCCACTAATCTGAGTGGCGTCCCCTCCCCCTCCGTCATTCCCGTGTCCCCAGTGCCCGCGGGCGACATAAGCGCTACCGCTGGAAACCACCGTTCCCCGTTCCGGACAACAGAATGTCAGAGTTGTAACGGCTCCGGCGACCATAGTCCTGGGCCCAGGACCGGACTAGCGCAGACCCGCGCGGCCGTGTTGCCGCACTCTCCCGCTTGAATCATAAGGGATCGGCAGTGCCCCACGTCTGCTCCGTACGAGCGTCCCGGCCTGACCCGTCAGATGGGATGGTGGCCATTTTCACAGTGGCTCCACCCGACTGGCCGGCTCCACTGATAGCCAACCGACCACCTGCTCCCATCAACCCATCTGCACTGCTCCGGTAAGATGTGTGAATGAAGTTTATTTACGACGGCAATATATAATATAACAATATAACAATACTTCAGATATAACAGAACAGCAGTGAATTGTAACGAGTGTGTCATTCGGATGGGCGGTTCTAGGTATTTCTAGCACAATCGTGACCGCTCGTAATCGTGATTGTAATTGTAACGACCATATCCCACCCGGACGCAAGAGACTAGGGGTCTAATTCACAATCCCCTGCATTCCATAAAAACAGCACCCACCGGCCGTGAATATATGAACATGCCGCGCCAGCTCCTGGGCCACTAAAATGGACCCTGCGGCACCCGTGTAAAATCGAACACCGACTCGAGGCACCCACCCTGATAGCGGCCTCGGACACCCAGATTCACGTCCCCGCGCTCCGCACAGAGCTCCCCCGGCCGCCCCACTCGCCCCTCCCTCTGGAGCGCCTACCCCAGTCCGGCCAGTATATCGTCCACCACATCCACCTCCTGTTCAGTGAGGAACGGGTCGTGGTCGTCCGTACCGTGACCGTGGTCGTGCTCGTGCTCCGGATGCTGTCCGTCCCCTCCCTGTCCATGTTCGTGTCCGTTCTCCTGTCCTTGCTGCTTCTCGTCTTCCAGTTCCTGTTCCGGCTCCTGTCCGTGCTCCTGTTCCGGCTCCTCTCCCTCCTCCAGCTCCTGATCCTGATCCTGCGTCCCGTCGGCGCCGTCAGTCTCCTGGGGTGAAGAGAGCGGCTCCTGCGGCGGCTCGGCGGCGGCCGGTGCCGCCGGCAGCGGACCGGGCACGGGCTGCGCGCCCGGCGCCGCCGTGGCCGGGATCTCGGTGACCGCCGGCGGCGCGGCCGGCCCGCCGTCCACCTCCTCGCCGGCCAGCGCGGCCAGGAAGCAGCCCAGGCTGTGCGGCAGCGCGCGGCCCATCTGCTCCACGATGCCGGCCGGTCCGGCGGTGCCCTGGCGGCGCGCGCGCGGCGCCTTGGTCAGCCGCAGCCGGGACAGCTCGGCCAGCGGCGCCATCAGCTGGCGCAGCTCGCCGGCGGCGAAGCGCAGCTCGGCGGCGGCCAGCTGCCGGCAGACGCGCTCCAGCTCGGCGCGCTGCAGCCGGTCCAGCGCAGACACAGCCTCGAGCACGGTGGTGCGCAGCCGCGGCCGACTCACAGACAGCACGCGCACGTTGCGCTCGCGCAGCAGCTGCACCAGAGAGGCCGGCCGCACGAACGCGCCTAATATCGTCTGCCAGACGCGCCACGTGTTGGCCACCAGGTCGGCAGCGCGCAGTGTCACAGAGCCGCTGTCGGAGGCCCGCTGCTGTAGAGCAGAAGGGCGGAGAGAGCGTTAAAACACGCAGGTGAACGGAGTGCAGACGTCGACACTGCACGGGCGATGTAGATGAAATGGTATCACATTATCGCACAGGTTATCAGTCATGAGTACTAATACTTTTAAGTTATACTACGAACAAAGTTACACTGCGAAAATGTCTATCCACATCACAAGCATCATAAGCGCAGACTATCGTCGAATTGGCCACCTACCCTGACGGGCGGCCGCGGCGGCAGCTCCTCCGGCGCGGTGTCGGTCGACTTGGCCTCCAGGATCTCCTCCAGGTGATATCCCGGCACGTGCTCCACGAAGCAGGCGGTGAGCGCCACCACGGCCTCGGTCAGGTTGTGGTCGTTCCGCGCCTCGGAGAGCGGCACGCCGCCGGCGCCTGCCGCCAGCAGGGCGCCCAGCCGCTCCAGCGGCGCCATGTGCTGCTCCAGCACCAGCAGCGGGAACTGGTAGCGGCCGGCCGAGCCGCGCACGGCGCCCATCAGCCAGCGCATCTGAACACTGACCGACGCCGGGCCGACGGCCGCCGCCCGGCCAACCGACAGCGACGAGAACACCGGGTCCGACTTGAACAGGCTGAAGAACGTCAGCCCCATGTCGAACAGGTCCTTCATCAGGACCTCCAGGTCTCCGAGCACGGCTGGGTCGCTGTTGGCTTCCTCCAGTAGCTGACACCGAGCCAGCTCGGCCGGCGGCGGCGGCGGCGGCGCCGTGGGCGGCGACGGCGTGCCCCAGGCGTCGGCCGTCCGCCCGCCGGCCAGCGCCGCCGAGAAGCAGCCCAGGCTGTGCAGCAGCGCGTAGCCCATGTGCCGGATGACGGCCGACGGTCCGGCGGCGATCGCCTGCCGGCCGGCGGCGCCCGTGGTGAGCAGCAGGTCGGTGATATCGGCCAGGTAGTCCATCAGGTGGCGCAGCTCCCCGACGGCCGGCTGCAGCCGCGAGTCGGCGCCGGCCAGCGCGGCGCACAGCCGCCGCAGCTCGGTCAGCTCGGCCGGCCGCAGCGCGCCCACGGCCGACAGCAGAGCGGCGCGCAGCTCCGAGTCGCGCAGCGAGAGCACACGCACGTTGGTCGACTGGTGCAGCTGGACGTCCGTGGTCGGACGGACGAAGCTGTTGAACATGGCGATCCAGTTGGTCCAGATGCGGACCATGATGCCAGACAGGCGGGTCGCCACAGACGACTCCTGGGCCGGCACGTTCCTCGCCTGTAACCGGCATACACACACGGGTCACGGGAGGTTTAGAGAGGTCTCATGGAAGAGACCTAATCGACGTCATGAATTGGTGACAAGCCATTACTTATCTAGGAGTCTCGTGAGGGCAAAGCTTTCGGCAAAGCTGGAAGAAAGAAGCTGGAAGAAACTATGACTATTATTTGGCAGAGTAGCATGCATCCGCTTGACCACAAAGACTACCACAAGATAACACTCACAGTAAAACCAGACGCCTTCCCGCCGTGAGTCTCACCTCGATATCGACGGTCTCCATCCGGCTCACCACGGAGAGCGCCGCCCGGGCCCCGGCCGCCTGCTCCAGCTCGAAGCCGGGCACGTGCTCCACAAAGCAGGCCGTCATCAGCGACACGGCCGCGGTGAGGTTGTGGTCCTGTGTGGCGGGCTCCGCGGCCGGCCGGTCGGCGCCGGCCGCCAGCAGCGTCCGCAGCCGGTCCAGCAGCGAGATGTAGTCCTCGGCGGCGGCCAGCGGCGGCCGGAAGCGGCCCGCGCTGCCGGCCACCACGCGAACCAGCCGCTCCGTCTGCAGGCTGGCCGCAGAGGCGGCCGCGTCCACGCGAGGTACGGCCGCCGCCCGGCGCGCGCCTGGCTCCAGGCTGAACGCGCCCGTGAACTTGAGCCCGATCTTATAGAGCATCTCGGCGAACACGGGCATGTTGTCGAGGATGGCCTCGGCCGAGTCCTCCAGAGACGGGCAGGTGGCCGGCGCCGGGGCGGTCGGCGCGCTGAGCTCCCGACTGGCAGACGGCGCCCACGAGCCGGCCAGCGCGCTCAGCAGGCAGTCCAGGCCGGCGAGCAGCGCGTCCCCGACGTGGCGCACCACGGCCGCCGGCCCGGTCTGCACGGCACCGCCGCCGCCCGGCCCGGAGGTCAGCATCAGATCACTCATGTCTGCGAGCAGCGCCATCAGGTGGCGCAGCTCGGAGACGGCGTGCCGCAGCTCGCCGCTGCCGGCGGCCAGCGCGGCCAGCAGTCGGCGCAGCTCAGCCCGCCGGGCGCGGCTCAGCCCGGCTACGGCGCGGCGCAGCTCGGCGCGCAGCTCCACCGGCCGCAGAGACACCACGCGCAGGTTCTGCTCCGAGCGCAGCTGCACGCTGGACGCGCGACCAACGAACGTGTTGAGGAGGAACCGGTACAGCTCCCAGACGCGCTCCAGGGCAGAGGAGAGGCGCAGCGTCACAGAGCTGCCGCCGTCCGACCGCTCCTGTCGGCAGCAGCGTGGGGTGGGTCTCACAAACAGCGGATGGTGAACAGTTGTAAGGGCACAGATAGCATTTCTGTTCTACACCACAGAATACTTGCCTAGGTAATAAGTCGGTCGTAATAATAAACCGATCACGGCAAGTTAAGATTTACACGACTACAGTGCCATCAGCTGTAGGGACTGTCGCTAGCCTCAGAGACGGTAAGCGCCTCACTGACCTGCAGCCGCGCCGTGTTCCGTCGGATCTGGGCAAACGCCGTCCCGCCGTCCAGGTTGTTCTCCACGCTGAAGCCGGGCACGCCGTCGATGAAGCAGGAGGTGAGCGCCGTCACCGCCATGGTCAGGTTGTACTCGGGGCCGGCCGGCGCGCGGCGCCGCTCGGCCCCGCTGCGCAGCAGCCGCCGCAGTCGGTCCAGCGCGCCGGCGCGGCCCTCCAGCGCCGACAGCGCGAACTGGAAGCGCACCTGACTGCCGGCCACGGCCCGCACCAGCCGCGCCATCTGCCGGTCGCCGCTGGAGCGCGCCCGCAGCCGGAGCGACTCGGGCAGCGCCGAGCGCGCCGCCGGCCCGTCCGGCCGCACCGCCTGGAACAGCTCCAGACCGATCCGGAACAGGGAGTCGGCCAGAACGCGCGCGTCACGGGTCAGCGCCTGGCGCGCGGCTGCCTCCTCGAACGGCGGGCACTGCGGCCGGTCGGAGGCCTGCTGCGACCTCGCCGCCGCCGTGGATGGGGCTGGAGGAGCCGTGGAGGCCGCTGGAGGTTCCGTGGAGGCGGCTGGAGGCGCCGTGGAGGCAGGTGGGGTCACAGCGGGGGTCGACTGTAAAACACCGGCGGACGAGGTGATCGGCACGCCTTCGGAGACCTCAGTAGGGCTGGGTGTAGACGCGCGCGCCAGGCCCCCCGATGTGTCTTCTGTAGTGGGAGTTGAACTGTCCTCCGTACTAGGGGTAGTAGTGTTGGCTGTCGATAAACCGGCGGGGACGTCCGTTGGACTGGCCGGTGATACGTCCGCCCCTCCAGTTTCCGCACTCTGGGGGTCTTCATCTGGATTTGTGCCTTCATCTTCACCACCTTCACCTCGTTTCTCAAACTCATTCGCTTCGTCAGGATAATCCTCATGGTCGTCATCTTCGTCTGCGTGAGTGGGCCGGTTGTCCCGCGATCCCATAGCGGTCAGGATGTTGGCCACGTACTTGAGCTCGAGGTCGAAGGTGCGCTGGATGGCGCGCCGCTGCTGCCGCAGCTGCTCGTCCAGCCGCTGGCGCTGCTCGCTGAAGAGCGCCCCCAGAGCGCTCCGGTGCCGGTCCATGATGTCCTCCACCAGCCGCATAGCGTTCAGCCGGTCGGCCGGCACGGCGGCCGGCGCCAGGGCCGCGGCCGCCGGCCGGTCGTCAGTCAGCTCGCCCATCCGGTCCATGATGAGACTGCTGGCGTGCCCTCCGACCACCCGGTGGGCCGACCCGTCGGCAGCGCGGCCCGACAGCCCGGCCGAGGGGAGTCGCATCACCAGCGCGGCCGCCCGCTCTCCCTCCTCGTCCTCCGGCCCGTCCTCTCCTCCCGCCGGCTCCTCCGACGGCAGGTCCTCCGCTGTCACCGGCGGCGACCCCATCATCCCCTGCGCCCAGCCCGACAGGCCCGGCCGCGGCGGCACCGCCCAGGTCGGAGAGCCGTGCGCCGGCGGCGGACCCCTCCCGCAGGCGGCCTTGCCGAGCCCGTAGGCGGCGGCCAGCAGGCCGGCCAGCCGGATGTGGTCCTCTGTCAGCTGGTACGGCTGCAGTGGCCACTGCGGCAGCGCGCCGGCCAGGCCAGCCAGGTGCTGCAGCGCCTGGCTGATGTTGTGCGTCTGGTGGTCGGCGCTGGGCAGCAGCGGCGCGCGGCCCGGCGGCCGACGGCGCGGCGGCGCCTCCTCGCGCGGGGCCATGTCACCACGGAGCGGGCCGCGGCCGGGCCCGTCCGAGCCACCCCCCTCCTCCCCGGCGAACATGGCCAGCACCATGGGCGGCCGCTGGCGGTCCGGGTCCGGTGGCGGCGCGTCTCGGCACTCCCCAGAGACGGTCTGCGTGACAGTGACGGTGGTGGAGGACGGCCTGGTGGGCGTCGGCTGCACCCGCGGACCGGCAGCGAACGGCGTCGTGCCGGCGGGCCGCTCCGTCGTAGGCAGCGCCCTGGTACCGGTCGTGCTGGAGACTGTCTCAGCAGTGTCAGCCGTCGCAGCAGCGTCCGTAGTCGCCGCAGCAGCGTCCGTAGTCGCCGCAGCAGCGTCCGTAGTCGCCGCAGCAGCGTCCGTAGTCGCCGCAGCAGCGTCCGTAGTCGCCGCAGCAGCGTCCGTAGTCGCCGCAGCAGCGTCCGTAGTCGCCGCAGCAGCGTCCGTAGTCGTCGCACCGTCCCTAGTCGTCGTCGCAACGCCGGTGGTCGTCGACGCAACGTCAGCTGTCGTCGCAGCGTCAGTAGTAGCAGGGCTGTCCGTCCTAGGGCTGGCTGTCGTAGTGTCAGCCGCCTTAGTACCAGCGGAGGTAGTGCCAGCGGAGGTAGTGCCAGCGGAAGAAGTGTCGGCGGATGTAGTGCCAGTGGTCGTTGGGCCGGCCGTCGTAATACCAGCCGTCGTAATAACAGCTGTAGTAGCGTCAGCCGCCGTAACGCTGACTGTTGTAGTGTCAGCGTAGGTATTGCTCCTTGGTACTGCTGTAGTGGAGTCACGCGGTGTAGTATCGGCTGGGGTGGTGGCGGCGGCTCCTATTGACCAAGTAGGAGTTGTACCGCCTCTCGTAGTAGTTTCACCGCTGTCAGGAGTGGCAGCGCTGGGTGTTGTCAGGAGCGAGTCGGACTCGGGTCGGCGCGGGCTCTCCGGTATGAGCGTCCTCTCCCGCGGGGCGCCGGTGGTACTGGCTGTCCCTGACGTCACATCGCCCCCTATGGAGTTGGCTGGCTGACTCTCAGTCCCTGCCGTCACATCAGCGGTGCTCGACGTCACCGCTGCCGCCTCTGGCGTCACGGTGGGAGATTCCGTCTCGGTTGCAGCTTCCGTAGCAGCAGTCGCCGCTTCAGTAATTGCAGTCGCCGCTTCAGTTTCCGTAGTCGCAGTCGCCGCTTCCGTGCTAGTCTTCGCAGCCTGCGTGCTCGTAATCACCGCTTCCGTAGTTGTAGTCGCAGTCACAGCCTCCACGCTCGTAGTCTCAGGTTTTGTAGTCGTAGTCGTGGCTCCCGTGCTCGCGGTTGCCGCTCCCTTGGTCGTAGATACATCTTCCGTGGTCGTAGTCGCAGCTTTCGCAGTCGTAGTCGCAGCTTCCTTGGTCGTAGTCGCAGCTTCTGAAGTCGCAGTTGCCGCTTCCGTACTCGCCCTCGCAGCCTGCGTGCTCGTAGCCACAGCTGCCGCGGTTGTAGTCGCCGCTCTCGTGCTCTTGGTTGCAACTTTCGTGGTCTTAGTCGCAGGCTGCGTACTTGTAGCCGTTTCTGTAATCGTTTCGCCTTCCGTAGTCTCGGTTGCGGCTCCCGTCGTCGTGGTTGCTTGTTCTGTTATTATGGCAGCTTCTGTCGTGATTGAAGCCTCGTTAGTCGTGGTGCTAGCTTCCTCAGTCGATGTCTCGGTGCTCGTCACGGGTGCCGGTTCGGTGATATCGACTGCCGGCGTCGTCTCTGGCTGCGCTCCAGTCAGCAGTGCTGCGGTGCCGGGGTTACCAGTGGTGGTGGTCCCGGTACTGGCCGCAGAGGTCCCCAGACTCTCAGCAGAGGTCCCCGGACTGGCAGCAGAGGTCCCCGGACTGGCCGCAGAGGTCCCCGGACTGGCAGCAGAGGTCCCCGGACTGGCAGCAGAGGTCCCCGGACTCCCAGCCGAGGTCTCGTGTCCCCTGGCGCCCGGCGGCGGCATTGCCGCGGTCGTGGCCGCCATCCTGGGCCCCTCGTCGAACGGCGCCTCTGTGGTAGTGGCAGTACCGGCTCCACCAGCCTCACACCGGCAGCCGGACTCGATGTCCATCAGGTCAAAGACGAGCCGCCGGCCGTCGACCCGCAGCAGCATCTGGGGCGCGTACACCTGCCGCGGGGGTACACGGGCGTCAGAGGGTAGCAGAGGAGTAACTCTGGGGCGCGTACACCTGCCGCGGGGGTACACGGGCGTCAGAGGGTAGCAGAGGAGTAACTCTGGGGCGCGTACACCTGCCGCCGGAGACACGGGCGTCAGAGGGTAGCAGAGGAGTAACTCTGGGGCGCGTACACCTGCCGCGGGGGTACACGAGCGTAAGAGGGTAGCAGAGGAGTAACTCTGGGGCGCTTACACCTGCTGCGGGGGTACACGGGCGTCAGAGGGTAGCAGAGGAGTAACTCTGGGGCGCTTACACCTGTCGCGGGAGTACACGGGCGTCAGAGGGTAGCAGAGGAGTAACTCTGGGGCGCTTACACCTGTCGCCGGGGTACACGAGCGTCAGAGGGTAGCAGAGGAGTAACTCTGGGGCGCTTACACCTGCCGCCGGCGAACCGGGCGTCAGAGGGTAGCAGACGGGTGATGGGGACGGTAAGGAGTTACTCTGGGGCGCGTACACCTGCCACCGGAGACACGGGTGTCACGACACGGGAGCGGTGCAGGGAGAGGATGGGGACCGGTGTAGTGAGAGGCGAGTTGTCGGTAGGGCGAGAGAGGATAGCAGCGAAACCGGGTGACGACGAGAGGCGGCGGCCGTTCTAATTGAAGTTCAAGTTGAAGCTGTCCATGGAAAGAGGCCTCTTTCAAAGGGCCTGTGACTTCCTCGCTTTCATTTTTACTTTCCTTCAATCGACATTCCTTAACCCTATTCCTGGTGGGGGGGGGGCCTTTAAGGCCCCCCTTCAGGTTTTTCTTGTGCCATTGCCAAACGCCGCAAGACTGAAAGCTCATACTCGGTGACTTTTTCTAAACATTCATTACGCACATTTTGACCAAAAAAAAGTTGCCGGGTCAGGTCAGGTCAGGTCACCAGAGGCGGTTTGGTGACCCCACCTCAGAAAAGTTTGCAATCACGCCAGAGCTAGAGTTTTTGACCGATCAATTTCTTCTCTTCAGGTTTTAGTTAGGGTACCAGTATGTGCAATTTGTATATCTCAGAAGTTTCATATCTGTGACCTGAGGTCAGGCCAGACTCGTGACCTTTACATTGCAAGCCTATGGGAAAATATTGAAACGCCTCCTGCTTCGTGTAAACGAGTCAAAACCACCCAATTCTTTCAGTATTATGAAAGAATATCTCATCGGTGATGATCCTGGTGTCGCTAATTGACAGGGGCACCGGCAAAGGTCATCTGAGGTCATGTGACGTCATAAATCGTTTTTCTGTCAATAAATCACGACATGATGGTGCTAAAGACTTGTAAGTGGCACCAAACTGCTCGCCTGGTCAAGGCACGTCGTTTGGTATGCAGCATGACCATACCCCACAACCTCATTGATGAATGACCTGACCTTGACCTCAGGTCAAATTTCAACTTGACCTGTGAAGGTCATCACATACTTATTTCGCATCGCCTCGGCGAGAGCAACAAAAAATGTATTGGTTTTATGTCTCTATGTTTCTTAGTTTAAAAGTTATATAGGTAACTAATTCCAAAACATTTTATCGTTGATGACCTCTGGTGACCTCAATATTGACCTGACCTGAAAATGTTTTATGTAAAAGTTGTAGATCTTTAAACGACCTATCAAAAGCCGTTTGCCGTTTGTCGCTGCGATGTGTAGTTTTTGAGATCTAAAGGGGGGCCGAATCGCCCCCCCCCCCGCCCAGTTTCTTGTCCCGGCGGAGCCCGCCAGGAATAGGGTTAAGAGTATTTACTTCAGAGTATTTACGAACTACTGAGGCTCTTAAAGGCGTTGTAATCAAACCGTAAAAAGATGCATGCCAGAGCAATACAGTAGACGTTTATCGCGCAATTAACGCTTATTGTAGGCCATGCTATTTAATGCAGCTATGAGATCTCCCCCCGCAATGGACTGCAAGAAAATATTCTTGGAACATTCAATGCTGGGAACATTACATGACATGTTCATTGTCCAGCACCAACACATATGCTGGAAGTCGTGGGTCCGTTGCTCGAGCCGCCGGTCTCACCTGGGTGCACGTGGAGTTTGTATGCGGACACCGGTCAGAGTCGCAGGAGGCCATCAGGACCGGCTGCACGCGGGTGGGCGGCGCCTGTGCCACCGCAACGCGCCGGCCTGGGGACAACAGACAGCACGACTCATCATCAGGGCGACAGACAAAATACACACAGGACTCACCAGGAACCACGAAATGAGGAAGCCCGATACACGTCAATCATCGGCGATAAGACTAACTCGAAAATGCACAGCTGGTCATAAGTAACCGTAAAAATAAGATAAAGAATATGCAACATAAACAATACATGTCATGAACTGCTTTTAATCATAAGAAGTTAAGGCTTTGGAACCGGATATGCAATTCAACTTTAAGCAAATGCCGGAGACATTAATACATTGCAGGTCAAAATGCTGACTTCATATAGCCAGGCCTGAGAAGTATTCGTAAAAATTATACGGGCGATCTTAATAACAATCCAGTCATATGCCTAATCGCCTCAAAATGCCCATAAATATGTGTCGCGCTGCATCTAATAGCGCTATGTCACGGTAAATAAAAATACAAACATGCTCCTGCCATTAACGGCGTCTATGCCCAGGAATGTTCAATATGCCGGCACGACTCGCAAGTGGGGTTCGACGACGGCCGCCTCCGGTCCCGAGAGGGGACCAGGTGGACCCCGGACGGCTGCCGGCTGCCTCGGCGGCTGGCGGCCACCAAACGGCCGTCCTTCCTCACCGGAGCCGCACGACGGCGGCGACACCAGCGACTTGGGTTTTCCAAGGCGGGGCGAGGTAGTCCGGCCAGCCTCGCCCTGCTTATTCTTCTGGCCGGAGACGTGGAGCGGAATCCCGGTCCTTCACGCTGCTCCGCCTGCGCAAGATGGATGACCAGGAGGAGTGCACGGCGGAGAGGCGGGGACTGGGACCTGATCTGTGACGCCTGCTCCGCGGGCTGGTGAGGCTTGGCGTCCCGGAGCCGCCGGAACCGGGGATCGGGGGGCGCGAAGAGGGCCCTGCCCCGGTGCCGCCGACGCCGCCTCCGGCGCTGGACGTGCCGGGCCCCCCGGCTGGGGGCTCCGCGGCGGCCCCGCCGGTCTTGACCCCCCACCTTGACTGCCGAGGAGGAGGGGCTCTGGTGGGGTCGCCGGTTGCCAGGCCGGGGACGAGAAGGACGAGAAGAGCGGAGCGGGCGCCGCCGCCGACCCTGGCTGCGCCGGGGCCCGCGCTCGGGGGCGGCGCGGCCGGACCGCCGCAGCTGACCCCGCAGGTGCGGGAGGTCCGCCCGGGCGGGGGCCGGCGCATGCTGCGTCGTTCGGCGGTGCGGGGCCCGGTGGCGCCCCCGGTCCTGACTACGCCGGGACCTGCGCTCGGGGCTGCTCAGGCTGACCCACCGACTTTGACACCGATCCGGGGCGGGCGACGCCGAGGGGCCCGTGGGCCTCGGGTGGAGCGCCCGCCTCCCGGGACGGGCCGAGTCAGGGTGCGCCTGCTCCAGTGGAACGCTGACGGCGTCGCCTCCAAGAAAGTGGAACTAACCAAGTACCTCCATGATACTCAACCGGATCTTGTTGCTATACAGGAAAGCAAGCTGAGTGATGGAGATGAGTTCACCGTGTCGGGATACCATGTTATCAGAGCCGACAGGCGGCGGGGGCGCCGGGATGACACACAGGCCGGCGGGGGCGTCGTCACGCTGGTGCGCGAAGGCATCGCCTTCAGATGCCTGGAGCGCCCGTGCGTGGCACCCAACGACCGCACCTCAGACTGGTGTGTCGTCGAAATGTGTGATGCCCCGAAAATAAACCTGGTCAACATGTATGTTCCACCGATCCGGAGAGGCGACCTGACAGACACGCGGGTACAGAACTTCAACCCAGACCACTGGCCGGCGGGTGAGCGCACCTTCATCTGCGCGGACATCAACGGCCACAGCCCGGCCTGGGATCGACACACCGAAGAGGACGAGCTGGGCAGAGCCGTTGGCGAGTGGTGCGACGGAGCCAACTTCATGGCGGCAAACACCGGCGAGCCGACACGACAGAGCAGGGCGGAGCCCTACACCCTGTCCGCACCTGACGTGACGTTGCACCACGTCAGATGGGCGGGCCGGGTCGCGTGGCACCCCCAGGATGCGCTCTCATCTGACCACCGACCGATCCTCGTGGACATAACGGTCGGAGAGAGGGCCCCGCGGCAGCAGCGTCGTCGCCGGCGGCCCCGCCTGTCCCTCGCGAAGGCGGACTGGACGGAGTACGACCGCCGCGTAGAGGAGGGCGTTCGGGCAATGCCGCCATGGACGGAGCACACTTCGCTGAGGGAAGCCAACGACGAGCTCACAAGGGTAATACTGGAGGCAGCGGAGGCGGCGATCCCGAGAGGGGCCCGCAAGACTCCTAAACCGTGGTGGAATGAGGAGGTGGATGCAGCTGTCAGACGCCGGAACCAGCTGCGCGGCCTGGCCAGAACCGACCCCGGCCAGGGAGCGGCATGGAGAGAGGCAGAACGTGAAGTTCGCAGGCTGATCGTGGAGGCGCGCCGAGCCTCATGGCGCGACTTCACGAGCCAGCTGAGCCTCCGCACCGATGCAAGAAAGGTGTGGGACACGATGAAGGCCCTGGACGGCAAGGGCGCCCCCATGCGGCAAGACGAGGAACTGCGGGTTGGCGCTAAGTCCTACTCCTCAGACAAGAGGAAGGCGGACGCCTTCATGAGGGTGTACGCCGGGGCTAGCCACCTCCCCCCACGGGTCAAGAAAGACCGCCCGTTCCGACATGACCTGACCAAATTCATGAAAGGGCAATGTGCGGGCTGCGATGGAAACCGCGCTGGCTGCTGCACCCCCTTCGGGAGAAGGGAACTGGACATGGCCATCTCCAAACTCGCCGGACGCAAGGCCCCCGGATCTGACGGGGTAACCAACGAGATGATCGTGCACCTCGGCGACGCCGGGCGGGAGAAGCTGCTTGAGCTTGCGAATCTCAGCTGGACCCGGGGTGAACTCCCCTCGATCTGGCGCAAGGGCACAATCGTGCCGATTCTCAAGAAAGGGAAGCCCCGTGACCAGCCCGGCTCCTACCGCCCCGTCAGCCTGCTCAGCTGCCTGGGGAAGGTGGTCGAGCGGCTGGTCCAGGCGCGCCTCTACTGGCTGGTCGAGCGGAGGAACCTGTTGCACCCGGCCCAGGCGGGGTTCCGGCGGGCGCGCTGCACGGAAGACCAGGTGATGAAAGTCACCCAGGCTGTCGCGGACGGATTTCAGAGGAGAAGGAGGACGGTCATGGCCCTGGTTGACTTCAAGCGGGCCTTCGACCGCACGTGGCACATCGGGCTCCTATGGAAGATGGCTGACCTCGGACTGCCGCGCTGCCTGGTGGCGTGGGTCCGTGCTTTTCTGGAGGACCGGCAGGCGCGCGTCCGCTTTAACGGCCAGCTCGGAGGCTACCGCTGCGTGCGGGAGGGCACGCCGCAGGGAGCGGTGCTCTCGCCGCTCCTGTTCCTTCTCTTCATCAATGATATCGCCACCGACTTCCCGCCGGGAGTCGAGATCACCCTCTTCGCAGACGACCTGGCTATCTTCGCCACTGAGAGGACCATCGCCGAGGCTGAGACGAGGGTCCAAGCGGCGCTCAACGAACTGTTAAAGTGGGCGGACCGCTGGAAGATGGAGGTCAGCGCGGAGAAGACCGTGGCCACTGTCTTCACCCTCGACCCTCACGAGGCGAGACGGGAGGCCTGCCTGCACATGAGGACCACCAGGCTACGACACGAACCGACGCCGACCTTCCTGGGGGTCACGTTCGACCGCACACTATCCTTCAAGCAGCATGTGGCCAGCCTCAAGGCCAGGATGGTCAGAAGGTGCAACGCCCTGAGAGCAGTTGGAGGTAAAGCCTGGGGAGCGAGCACCACGGACCTGAGGACGCTCTACCTGGCTTACATCAGGGCGTGCGCGGACTACGCTGCAGCGGGCTGGATGTCAGGAGTGGCCCCCACTACGCTGGAGCAGTTGGAGGTCGCCCAGCGCCAGGCATGCCGGATCATCACCGGCTGCCTCAGGTCCACCCCGGCGCCAGCGCTGGAGCGCGAGGCGGACGTGATGCCGTTCGCGATACGGCGGAGGCAGCTGACGGCCGCGGCGACCCAGCGGCACCTGAGGGACCTCCCGGGGGATCCCCTGCAGCCGGTGCTGACAGCGACGAGGCCCAGACAGCGGCTCCACCGAGATCGAGGCTGGGCCGACACGGGACTCAGTACGTCCTCGGACGCTGGTCTGGGGGACCTCCCGCGGGAGCCGGTGCTGGTGGTCCCACGGACGCCGCCGTGGGAGAGTGCCGCGGGAGGCGTCACCATCAGCAGTGCTGTCGCGAGACCGACAAAGAGAACGGACCCACCGGACAAGCGGTTGGAGGCGGCACAAGAGACCCTGGCGGGACTCCCGCCAGCCGACTATACCGTATTCACAGACGGATCGGCCACAGACGGTGTCGAAAATGGCGGGGCGGGAGCCGTTGTCTTCCGGGGGGCGACGGAGCTGGAGAGGATCCGGACCCCTGCAGGCCGCTGGACCTCCAGCTACCGCGCGGAGCTAACGGCGCTCGACTCTGCCCTCGCGTCCCTCCTGAGGGGCGCGGAGGGCCCTGCTCCGCGGGAGGTACGAATATGCACCGACTCCCAGTCGGCCCTGCGTCGCCTCGCGGAGGGCCCGGCGGCGCAGACGGATGTCCTGGCGGACAGAGTCTGGCAGAGGCTGCTGGACCTAGCCGACCGCGGGACGCACGCGTCCCTGCAGTGGGTTCCCGGCCACGCCGGGCTCCCCGGCAACGAGCTGGCCGACGAGATCGCACGGGAAGCCGCCAACCTGGAGCAGCATGACGTGCCGATAGACCTCCCGTCAGCAAAAGCCAGGCTGAGGAGGCACGCCCACCGGGAGTGGGAACAGCGGCTGCAACCGACCCGCTACGCCCTGCAGAACGGAGTGCGCCGCCCCCCTACGGCTGAGCGCCTGGGACTCTCCCGCCGGGAGTGCGTGGAGGTCGCGAGACTCCGTACCGGCCACTCACTGATGCTGCGGGAGTATCGACACCGAATTGGCCTGGAAGATGACCCCACCTGCCCGGAGTGCGGGCTGGAGGATGAGACATTAACTCACCTCCTGACCGTCTGCCCCGCCCGGGCAGATGCGAGACGAAGGATATTCGGAGAGGACGAGCCGGAGATAAAGGAAGCACTGGGAGACCCGACGAAGCTGGTGGAGCTCCTGAGGCGGCTGGGCCGCCTGTGAGGCGTCCCCCCGTATGGCTTCCAGCCAAGGGCCGGAAACACTTCAACTTCAACTTCAACTCGCAAGTCGCAGCATACTGATTTTGTTTATGCCAATCATGACGAAAAGGAATCATTCTCTGCGATATTAAATTCCAATAATTATTTTCACATTTGTTATGACCCCTTCCCATGAATACATGGCACAATGGAAGCACTCTGAAGTCCGTTCTCAGTCGAGCGCGCCGTGCGGCAGCGGTCTGGAGCCGCGGTCTGGTGCCCCGAGCAGCCCCGGTACCGACCTGTACCGCTGGCGATGGCAGACAGAGGCAGCATCACGTGGATGCGTGGCTGGCAGCAGGGCGGCGACCCGTCCCGCGCGGGCTGCTCCCCCTGACCCGCTGACCTGCGGGGACGGACAGGACGCAGTCTGCTCAGTCGTGGACAGTGTCCGGTGGCTCAACGGTTCAACAGCAATGGCTAGAAACTGGGACGAAATTATCCTGCAAGGCATACAAAGAGATTTTGCCCGACTATCAGAGAGGCAAACTTAGAGTACGAAGATCACAGACGCGGGAAACAGGGCGACAGCTAATGATCCTAAATACGCCGTAAGTATTGTAAAAGTGTACGGAATTCCAATGGAAGCACCTAAAGATACCTGCATTAAAACGACAGAGCTATTCAGTGTTAATAAACAAAGTAGTCCCACCCATCTCCCATCACACACAGCCCGGCGGTGACAGTTCGAGTCCCCGCTCCCCGACCTTTTCCTCCTGGCCAGGTGGTGGACGTGACTCCTCATCCTCTGCACGGTGCGCAGCGACACGAACTGGCGCCACCTGGCGAGCAGCGCCGGCGGCGCGTGGCGGTACTCCTCGCCGGCCACCGAGCAGCTCGTCTGGTTGTCGGCGTGCCCGCGGGCAGAGCCGCCGCCGGCGCACGGCTCGCCGGACGCCCACACCGCCATGGGCAGCAGGCAGACCGACTGAGGGGAGGGTGGGAATTAGCACGGCTCAGAACTCCACACACACACGGCGCTGATCAGTAGGATCAGTAGGTAGTACGACCCCGAGACAGGCCGCCCAGACGGCACTCATTAGAAGGCTGACGACTTTGGACGGAATGGGACTTAGTACCCCAGGAGACTCCCCAGACGGCCTGGCTCAGAAGGACAGACTGCAGATGGAAATGGAATCAGCACGGCCCAGAGCTCTCCACACACAAACGGCCCGGCTCAGTAGACAGACGGAATGTGGGCGGACGGGGTGAGAATCAGCACGGCCCAGAACCCTCCCCACACAAACTCTCGGTAGACAGACGGGCTGTGGATGGAGTGGGACTCGGCACTGCACGGAGGCAGACCGCCCACATGGTCCGGCTTGGCAGACAGACGGACTGTGGACAGCAGCAGGGTGGGACTGGCACGGCACGGCACGGCATGGACCCCTCCTCTTCTACACACACGGCTCGCCAGGCAGACAGACTGACTAAGAAAGGATGGGGATCAGTGGGGCACAATCAGCCTGGCGGCTGGCAGATGACAGGCGGTCGGTAGTTGCATAAAAGTGCGGAAATACGATACAGGGAAGTACAGAGGCAAGTGTAGAGCAGAAATGGCGCCGAAAATGCCATCAGTCGCATGCCATAATCAGAGTTCCGCAATCGTAGGTCCTCTCACCTTACATCTAAAAACCAAAGAGGGCCCAGAGGTAAAAGCCAGCGGACAATATGCACAGAGTTTACAGATTATTTATCAACAAAAAGACCTCCTAACTTGATACGAGTGACCCCTAGCACCCCAACCCGTGTCACTCACCAACCATATGACCGCAGGGCTGGCCATTCCGTCCTCACTCGACACAGTCTGACGGGCCCGGCAGCGGCACCTCGCACACCCCGCCGCAGCCGCCGACTGCCGCCGGCCGCGGCCTGACCCCGTGACCTGGCTCTGGTCAGACAGTGCCCCGGGCGCAGTCAGCTGACCTGCCGGACCCAGACGAGACGCACACAGGGAGGGGAGGGGGCGGGAGACGGCGGGAGACATACCCCGCGCCCGGGGCCTCTCGGACGACGAAAATTCTACGTCGTCCGAGAGACTCCGAACGTGGGGTCTCTCGGAGCTCACAGTCAGCCCGAGGCTGCTATCTGCCCGTCAGACGGTTAAAAACCCGAATATTACCAATAACAACCGGTGAAATCAGAAAGTTCACAATGAACGTGGTCAGATCATTAGCATGAAAAGACACTGACCATGCTTTAGCATTGTAAGTTTACAACTTCGCAACTTTTCTGGGACGCTCCAAAACAGTAACATCACACCTCGGATGGTGTTGGATATTCGACATTCATTCGTCAGCAGTGTTCAAACGTCTCAATTTTCACGAGATACGATCGTTTTGCGTAGACATTCTCCAGAAAAGGTTCGATATCTGAGCCATTCGCATTGAATGGACTGGCATTCCCTTGCCACCATGCCATAGGTCATCATTTCAATATATCTCGAATGTGTTCACATATTTCGTCGGATCGTCACGCATTTCACTTAGCCCAAACGTCCATGTCACTCGGGTGTGCGAGTGGACCAGGGCATTTAAGTAAAAAGCGAACACAATAATACAAACATCTCAGAGGGATACTTTTCAATGTTGAAAGCCATCAGCTGAACTGAGCCATTCGAGGGTTCAGAAACTGCTTAGGCTTTTTGAATGGTTGGGTAGCTTTACGTGAAATCGAAACATTCAACTGGGTGCGAGTCGTGTTGACAAAAAAAAAAAAAAAAAATGATCCTGCAGTCAGACCAAACCCGTCAATGACAAGATGACCAGTGACCACACAGTACCAGCGTATTCCACTTATATCTCAGAGTTATTCCCAGCCCGTTACCACCAAACACTGGTTTAGTCCCTTCAGTGATGGTTTGCCAGTGTATTCATAATCATTCCAGTAACTAACAAAACAACTGCAGCAACTCGAACCAACAATCTAACACCATTTGGCCCAGCGGTCCGTGCTGCCGTCCGGCGGCGGTCTCAGAGGCGGCTCCGGCGCCGCCGCCCGCGCCCCGCCGGCCCCGCCGCCCTCAAGCTCTGCGCGGCGGCCGTCCGGCTCTCACCCAGGGCTATGTGTGCACCGGCCCGCCACGGCGCTCCGCTGCCGCCGCCACCCTAAAGGACACTCACGCACACACGGGCGGTCGGCCGGCGCCCGGCGCCGCTCGCGGCACTGGAAGGCGCCGCCGCCGCCACACGGAATGCAAGATTATCACAAACATAACGCTACTCGGGCAGGGGTTGAGGAAGGCGACCCGCTCTGGGCACTGGGCGCACCCGGCCGCCCCTACCGGCACGCGGCGCCGGCCGCCCGACTAGTACAAATACCCGCCCCGAGCGCAGGCAGTCCTCAGCGCGCGAGTCACACCATGTAAACTGACCCCGGGCGCGCCGCGCACGCCCCGTCCAGCGCGCCATTATTGCCGCCGGCCGCACTCGGTCTGATATCACGCGCGTCCCGACCGCCGCCGGCGCGCTCACAGTTGGTACCACTTTTTGTCCTTGTAGCGCATCATGAGCTGGTGCGCCGTGCTAGAGAAGTTGTCGGCGTCAGCCATGAGCTGTTCAGTGCGGTCCTCCAGCTTGGAGAGCTTCTGGCCGCGCTCGATCATGGCCTGTCGCGCGCGTCCCACGTCGCCGCCGGTGGAGGAGACGCGCGCCTGCAGCTGCTCGGCCTGCGCCGTCGGGCCTGTCAGCAGCTTGGCCACGCTGCGCGACGCCTTGCCGGACGTCTCGCCGACTGACGGAAGAGGAACAGAAAGGGGCGTCAGAGAGCTATGGAGCGGGGCGTCAAAGCGACTGGTAGGGCAGAGGCATCAGAGAATTGTGGGGGACGTCAGACTACTGGGGAGGGCGTCAGACTGACAAAGAACGCCAAACTGCTCATGGGGAGAGAGTCAAAAAGCTGTTGGCGACGTCAGACTTCTGAGGAGGGACGTCAAACTGGTCCGGCGGGCCGTTTCATGTGACTCTATGTATGACCTATCTCCAGAGATCCGACTGGGTACTCAGACTCACAAAGCTCCTCCCGGCCCAGTGAACGCGGAGGTCTGTCCCTCGCTCCGGTCCCTGCGGCCCCGTCTCGGTACTCACAGAGCTCTTCCCGGTCCAGTGATCGCACGCCGCCGCCAAACAGCCCTTTGAGGAAGCCCTGCTGCGGCAGCTCCGGCATGTCACAGGCCAGGAACAGCTCTCCCACCATGTCCTGCAGCTGGGTGCTGGCGGCACACACAGACACACAGTCACACACACAGTCAGACAGACAGACACACAAACAGGCCAGGAACAGCTCTCCCACCATGTCCTGTAGCTGGGTGCTGCCGGAACACAAAGACACACAGACACACAGTCAGACAGACAGACACACAGTCACACACAGACACACACACGGGCCAGGAACAGCTCTCCCACCATGTCCTGCAGCTGGGTGCTGCCGGCACACACAGACACACACAGTCACAAACAGACACACAGATGCGACACAACCGACAATAGTGAGTGAACACTGAACAATGGATAGTTGGTGTCTGTATGGAGACTGGTAACGTCACCTATTTCGTTAGCAAGGCGTTAAGTAAGGAATGGATCCACTGGACCACTGATGCACCCTCTACGGTAACATACGGCCCGCACCCTCTACCTAGTCCACAGCCGGTGGCTGAATCTGGTTTGGGCCCAGCTGCAGGTCAAACGAGGCGCCGTCTGTACATCCGAGCCAGGACTCGGCAGAACCTGCGAAATCCTCTAGGACTCGACTGGACAGAGCCCAGAGTCATCCGAGCAGCTCTGACTAAGTCCAGTCGCGACTCACCAGAACTCTGATGAGATGGTGAACTTTTGAATCTCGGACGGCGAGCACAGGTAGAGGCCGTGGCCGTGGTTGCTGATACAAAACGTGCGCGCCATCCTGGTGGGCACACAGCGTCACACGGCGTTACAGAGCGTCACACAAGGAGCACGACAAAAGCGTCACATACGAGCACCGTCACACGATATCACACAGCATAATACAAGCGTTCTGCGCGCCCCATTCTCGGTCACACGGCGTCACGTAGCCACACGTGTCAGACAGACGATGCACAGCGCCGCGGAGAGTCATACGCACAGGCCTAGCTGGGCGCTACAATCGTGACACAGCCCGACTATTCAACGGCGGAGGAAACGGGATATTGAAGTGAACAATCAACAGATGGATAGCTCGGGCGACTCGGTGTTCTTTCCTCCTTACTCTTCAGAAAAATCGACATCAATGCTTACTACTGTTAACTGTCTTGTAGACACGGTTTGTCAAAACTGGTTTTTGGAACTAAATACAATCGAACTAAGAGAGATTCTCAAGAAGAATTTCAAAGCTTCAAATATATAAATCAAAACGACACCGAACATGATGTCCACGAGTAGGAGCAGTTTCCGGCACCATTCGATAGTGTTTTCGATAATTAATTGGTTTGTTCTAGCGAGCCAGCAGCACCAAATCTTCGACCATCGCAAATTCACAGCTATTATCTCCAACGACGAGTGGACATGATCTACAGGGACTTAATCTGCCTGACCCGCCTTACCTGAGCTCCAGGGGTCGGAAAACTCACTGGGACACTACTGAACAAAGTCGCTGCGGTAAAACATACGAGCCAACCGGAGCATCCACAATTACCGGCGCGCACGGCGCAACACAGCGGTCATGGTTTGGAGTCATTGGGGCCACGAGTCAGGTGGTAGACAGCACAGGCACATAGCACAGGCGCAACATGAGGGTTTCTAACTGTTTGGAAATATCCGGAAAGGATAGCAAAAGGTGGTCAAAACACAGGACGTAGTCACCTTCCTTAATGCTACAATGTTCGAACAAAACATAGACAGTAAAGACAGTAAAGAGTCGAGCATGTTTGTGATAATGTAGATTGTAGCAATGTATATGTCATAGGGAAGACATAAAAAGTACAGAAACTACAGCCCACATCAATGTTGAACAAACACAGTAGCAGATGTAAAAAGTGGTCCGTGCCATTTACACGTCACCGACAACATAAAATGCATCGATAAAGACCAAAATACAAAATGGAGGAGAAGCATTTCACGAGACAAAAGCAGCACGGTGTTCTATATTAAATCAGATAGCTAGCACTGAATTTGAATAAGATTGTCCACAAAGGGATAAAGACGACAGTCATGCGAAACGCGAGTGAGAGAAGACAAAATAATAGAAGATGAAGAGTAATCACCAATAAACTCAGCAACAACATTCAAAAGTGCACGATAACAGGAATATATATTATGCCAAGATGAATCATGATGCCAAGGCATCATGACTGTGTGATGATTATGATATGTTTGTGTAAGTGTCAACCTTCATGGCATCGTAAGAGCTCTGTCAAAACACAAAGTGATGGAAAATAGGTGCTCACGAGTCTCCAAGAACACTGTTTCAGGCTTCAGCTTAGTTCCTAAACACCAGCGCAAAAATGCTTCTTTTATGCTTTTACCTTAATTAAATATATGCCTCACAGATCGAAGAGCAAAATTGCAGCAGTTAGATCTTGTCCTAAGTTTCACAGTGCTTACGTTGAATTCACTTGAGATTCTTGTTATACCTACCATTTTGTGGAGCTCGCAGATTTGATGCTGCATGACTTCCTACCAGCTCAGGCGATAAGAAACAAACAATAGGTAGCCTATATAGCAGTGGTCGGCAGGTCATTCGGGGTTGTGCCCCCTTTTTAGGCGCCAGGCAGGGCCATTACCCCCACCTACCAGACCCCATTGCTGACACAACCAAGTTTACTGAAATTCCATACCTACCTTTCTGGAACTCTTTGGGTATTTCTGCATTTCCGATGCATCAAATTTAAAACATGACACTTCCTCCACAAAGCATTTAATATATCCCATTTAACCCTCGTACATATAGGGGCGGCGGGTGGTTTTTCGTTAAAAGCTCACGTAAAAGCCGTTGGATCACGACCAAATTGTACCCTCGAGCCAATCTTTTTTTTTTTCTGTACCTGCCGGGGAAAACCTGAGGGCCAGTTTTACCAACAGAAAAATAGCCGCCTGCCGGAGTTTTTGCCTAAAAACCGCTTCACATACGTAAGCCGTAAGCGCGATGAGCATGTAAGTGGATAGGGCTTTACCGTTTACGCTCCTTATGTGAAGCGGTCTTTAGGCGAAAAATTCCGGCAGGCGGCTATTTTTCTGTCGGTAAAACTGGCCTCTGGACCCATAATGATCATTGGCTTATGAGCTTTTTCTGGAGATCATCTTGAGCCATAAAATATCACTTCAAGAAGTTATGGTGGGTCCCGATTTTCTCGACATTTGACCTCCTGAATGAGACGAAATGACCAAGGACCTTAAAAATGGGCAGCAGCGGCTTCCTATAGTCACGGGTAATACGCCCGTTTTTTATGCACAGCTCCATCTCAGAGTCCGAGAGGCCGCGGGGGTCCGATCGACTCCTTCCCCTTACGTTAGCGGCTGAGGAAACGCCAACAGACGAGCGACGGTTAAAAATTGCAGGTGCTTTTGTACGGCTGTACGGAGCCGCGGTGAGATGGTGAGGCGAGCAGTACGTGAAAATCGGTATCTAATCAATGTGTGCTTTGCCTTTGACCTGGGCTAATCTTGGGATGCAACAGTCACGATGGTTTCATCAATGGAGCCACAAACTCTAAAAAGATAGGTTTTCTCAGAATCCCTCATTACCCCCACCGAAAGGGCTCCATTACCCCCAAAGTGGGCATGCCCCACCATTTGCCGACCCCTGCTATATAGTCTGCATCACACACTGTACGGAAGGCGCGCCGTGCGGTCATTCAGCGGGCACGGCTCGGTCCGACCGGTACGCCGGCTGACCAGCCGTCAGTCTGACAGCAGCTCGACGGGCACACGCACAAACACGCACACAAACGCAGCTCTATGTGCAGCGGCACAGCTCTGAGGCGCGGTCAGCGGGCCAGCGCCGGCCGGCGACAGCGAGCCGAGCGACGGCCGGCCGGCCGAGCCATGCGAGTCGGCCGGCCGGCCACACAGCCAGCCAGGGACAGGTGCGCAGCCCGACTAACTTACTGCGTCGCGTCTTCGTTAACAAACATTTGTTGGCCCCATATGGCCAGCATGGGGTCGGCTATGGCCGATTTGGTCGTCTGAAAACTGGGGACATACGGGGCGGGTCGGTGTGAGGGCGGGTGCGGCCGTCCGTCCGCGGTCGGCAGACAGACACGGACACACACGAATACAGACAGTGTTGAGTGTCGGGGCGCCGCGCGGCTGCCCGCCAGCAACAACAGCTCGTGTGGTGTCGTGTAGTGAGAGCCCTCCGATATGTCATGCTCATGCCTGTCTCCGGTGCCGGCGGGGCGGGGGCGGGGCGGGGTCGCGGCGAGGCGGGACGGGGGCGGGCCGGGGCGGCTCACCTGAGGTCGCTCAGCGGCAGGAATTCCACCTCCATCAGTGGCCTCAGGCTGGGCAGGCTGTACGAGTTGAGCCGGCCGTTGGCCAGGTAACACACCAGGCACACGCTGTCTGTGGATAGATAGAGGCGGCCGATCAGCTCCTGTGATACACTGACAGACCCCCCGGTAACACACCAGGCACACGCTGTCTGCGGATAGATAGGGGCGACCGGTCAGCTGATGTGGCACACTGACCGACCCCCCCCCCCCCCCCGGCGACACCCGGCGACAAACCCCACAGTTTATCATCAACGCACCCATGACAGCTCAGACGTAATTCGGCATTCCACCACCGCACCAATGCGGCAGCGCATTCAACCATTGAATAATATATCGTCGCCCACCTTAGAGGGACACGATCTTGCCGTCCACCTTTCAGGAAGACGAGGGAGCTGCTCGTACCTTTTAGTGAGATGATTTCGGCGCGCACCACGAACGAGGTCTCTGTGATCTGCAGTTTGCAGAGGCAGCTGTGTGACGGCGTGGCCAGGACGCGCGCCTGTTTATCTGAGACGAGTACCAACAGCTGGCCGTCGCCGCCGCCCGCCTCGCTCAGCGAGCCACACGAACTCACCGTCGGCCGAGACGGGGTCCCTGACGAGAGAGGGGAGGCAGGGGTCAACAGAGTCCGGACCGGGCCGCACGAGCTCACAATCAGTTGAGACGGGGTCCCTGACGGCGGAGATTAGGGGGGGGGGGGGGGTCAGCAGAGACCGGACCGAGCCGCACGAGATCACAATCGGTTGAGACGGGGACCCTGACGGCGGAGATAGGGGGAGGGGTCAGCAGCGACCGGACCGAGCCGCACGAGCTCACCCTCGGCCGAGACGGAGTCCCTGACGGCGGGGAGAGAGGGGTCAACAGACACCAGATCGAGAGAGGAGGGAATGGGCCAACAGAGAGCGGACCAGAGGGAAAGGTCGCCTCTCTGAAGACGGGGCACCGGGCCGAGGGAGGAGGAAAGGCCTGTCGGCGGAGACAGTGTCACAGCCGGGACCACGCACAAGAACGGCGTGGGTAAGCACGCACTAAGACGCCCAATACTATTTCGGCTGCTGAGGTAAGTTACGTCCCCGTCTCCCATTGAACACTGCAGCATGTTGACTTATGAACCGGCGCCTCTGCCGACCACAAATCAGCGGCTGTTCTCCCGTTCCTTGACTACATTGGACCCCAGTCCTTCCCTCCAATTCATCACAGGAGCGATGTTTGCTGACAACGTTCGCGGGTTCGCTTTTTGTTCCTATGACGTCCCTCTACTCACGTGTTCGTTCTTTATTCCCATCTCGCCAGGTCTCGGCGGCGGCCGGTACCCGCCCCCGTCCCTTCCCCCCTCCCTGTCCCTTCCCCTTACTCACGGGTTCGCTCTTTGTTCCTATCCCTTCCCTCTACTCACGTGTTCGCTCCTTGTTCCCGTCCCGCCAGGTCTCGGCGGCGGCCGGTATCCGCCCCTCCTCCCGTCCCGTTTACCCTCGTTTACTCACGTGTTCGCTCCTTGTTCCCGTCCCGCCAGGTCTCGGCGGCGGCCGGTATCCGCCCCTCCTCCCGTCCCGTTTACCCTCGTTTACTCACGTGTTCGCTCCTTGTTCCCGTCCCGCCAGGTCTCGGCGGCGGCCGGTATCCGCCCCTCCTCCCGTCCCGTTTACCCTCGTTTACTCACGTGTTCGCTCCTTGTTCCCGTCCCGCCAGGTCTCGGCGGCGGCCGGTATCCGCCCCTCCTCCCGTCCCGTTTACCCTCGTTTACTCACGTGTTCGCTCCTTGTTCCCGTCCCGCCAGGTCTCGGCGGCGGCCGGTATCCGCGCCCCGTCCCGTCTCGTTTACCCTCCTCCTCTACTCACGTGTTCGCTCCTTGTTCCCGTCTCGCCAGGCCTCGGCGGCGACCGGTATCCGCCCCCGTCCCGCCCCTGTCCGATGTTTCCGTCCCGTCCCCTTACTCACGGGTCCGCTCCTTGTTCCCGTCCCGCCGGGTCTCGGCGGCGGCCGGTATCCGCGCCCCGTCCCGTCCCAGCTGTCCCTGTCCTATGTTTCCGTCCCGTCCCTCTACTCACGGGTTCGTTCTTTGTTCCCGTCCCGCCAGGTCTCGGCGGCGGCCGGTATCCGCCCCCGTCCCGTCCCGTTTACCCTCGTTTACTCACGGGTTCGCTCTTTGTTCCCGTCTCTCCAGGTCTCCGCGGCGGCCGGTATCCGCGCCCCGCTGCAGTCGAGCAGCGCGATACACTGCATGGCGCCGTTCAGACGGAAAATCGACCCTGTCGGCGGACAGACAGGGCGGTCAGTCACAGTCATACCGACAGGTGTAACACTGATTCTGAACATCAGAGACACGGCGAAGTCACTGTGAGTGATACTACATCCAACTGAAGCGATTGTAGGTAGGTAGGATTGCTGGCTCATTTGAAATAAGCACTTCCCGCGCAGCATTTCCAGGCTCAAGTGTTTTGCAAACATTTCTGCGGTAGCCTCTGGTCTGTGGTCGGAGGGTGACCCCTGGATACTGACCTGTGGGCGCCACGCTGACGGCCTGGGTGGCCCGGTCGGCGCTGCGCGGCAGGGCCACCTGCACGATCAGTGTGCTGCCCAGCGAAGTGCCCACCAGCAGACACGGACATGTGGAAGATTCTGCCGCAGACATACACAGACAGGGTCAGACACACAGCAGGCTCGCAGACACGGCGCTTGCCTGTGTTCAGCACGCAGAACACAGGCACCCTGGGCGCAGCCAGCATGTGCCGCTGATTCACTTGGGTACCTATCGGATCAATCAGTCAGCCTCGGTCGTCGAGTCTAACTGCTGCTCAGCACCCCGTGCTGAGCGCGGCCGACAAAGGGTGCGCCCGTGAGCATGCATAATTTGTTGCCGCACGTACTGGATTTGTTGTACGGAATTCATATCCACACGTATCGGATTACTTAACGGACGTACCTTATTTACTGGGGAACGCACCGGATTTGTAATAGCCGCACGTACCGGATTTGTTGACGAACGTGTCGGCGAACTGAAGGCAGACGATGGCCTCTGAGCTGATGTTCTCCAGACTGCTCAGACTGCTGCTGCGCGAGGCAGTCTGCTGGGTGTCCAGCCGCTCTGCGGGCGCCGCCAGGGTCGCAGGTCATACACAGCTCACCGTACGGGACAAATACTGATCAGACGGGTCACACACATAGTTACAGAGGGCAACACACGTGTCAGACAGAGTTAGAAAACTAAGACACATCAACCACGCATGTTGCATACGGGCTGAACGAAGCTGATTTGCACGCAAGTCATGATAAAAGTGAATGCACACATTGCCACGACAGTTGATTATTAGATAAATTGGAACAATCGGAGCGGAGCTTGACTGGAAACATTAAAAGTACGTTACTTTACTGCTCCATTGTTATCATTATGCCACATTTCCCGAGTCATTATTAGTAGGTAGTTCAGTAAGAATACACCCAGAACCGCAGTTGAGCCTAGCGCGACACCCATCGAGTGCATTAGTGGCGGCGCGTCTGAGCTGTCCGTTGGTACTGTACAGCCACCGGGTGGCGGCGGCGCGGCGGGACCCGGCCGGCGACACGGAACACGCAGTGGCCGGCCGGCCGGCGCTCCGGCTGTACAGCCGCCGGCCGGCGCGGCGGGCAGCTCTACACACAGTCTCGGCGCGCCCGCCCGTATGTACAGCGGCGCCGGGCCGAGCTCCGCCGGGCGCCGCGCTACACTGTCCGACTGGGCGGGAGGTCAGTGGGGAGGGCAGGCAACGACCGGTCACCGGGGACACCGACAGGGAGCGACCCGACCCCGGCGCCCACAGCTACCCTACACCCACAGCTACCCTAGAGCCGCCGCCTACCAAAAAGGTCCAACGGGTACACAAAATATCTGTACACTAGTCGGAGACAGCTGAGGTCATGCTCGACAGTGACGCACTAGCGTTAGGAGTTGACACTGAGCACCCCGGAGTTAGCCATCCGCCGGCGCGACACGGACAGTACGGGTCAGGGAGTGGTCTCGCACCGCCACCGAGCGGCGCTAGTCCAGAGGCTCCGCGGCGCCGGCCTCCCACACGGCGTATGTACAGGCGCCGGGCGCGCGACCAACACCGACGGGGCAGGGTGACGGCGGTGCAGTCCGACAGCGGCCCACTACGTCCGGGCAGGGAACACCACAGCCAGCTCGCGCTCCATCCAGTCCTGTACCGAAACTCTTGCACTGCCTGGCGCGCCAGACGCGCAGGTGGGGCCCGGCAGCGGCGGCGGCGGCGGCGGCCGTGGCCGAGAGCTGCGGCGCCAGCGGCGAGGTGGGCTCCTCCATCACACTGTGCGCCTTGACCAGGCGGCGGCCGGTACCTTGTGAGCGGGAGCGCTGCACGTCGCGGCCGCGCGGCGACACGCTGCCCACGCCGCCCTGTTTGCCCGCCGTCGGCGACAGGCACAGCCCGTTGATCTGACGGCACATGGCAGGGGCAGGGCGGGTCAGTCAGTGGCACACGACAGGGGCACGGGGTCAGTCAGTGGGACATGGCAGGCGCAGGGGTCGGTCAGTGGAACACGAAAATGGACGGGTGGGACACAGAGGGTTCGGGGGTGACAGACAAGGGAGGGATCACGGAGACGAAGTCGAGCCTCTCCTAGACCTACTACCGTCCCCTTCTGTACCTGTTCGGAGTCGGGTGGCCGGCCCAGGTCAGCCCTCTGTCCCTCCCGTCCCTCCCTGGTTCCCTCTCCCCAGTTCACCTGTTCGGAGTCGGGTGACCGGCCCAGGTCAGCCCTCTGTCCCTCCCGTCCCTCCCTGGTTCCCTCTCCCCAGTTCACCTGTTCGGAGTCGGGTGACCGGCCCAGGTCAGCCCTCTGTCCCTCCCGTCCCTCCCTGGTTCCCTCTCCCCAGTTCACCTGTTCGGAGTCGGGTGGCCGGCCCAGGTCAGCCCTCTGTCCCTCCCGTCCCTCCCTGGTTCCCTCTCCCCAGTTCACCTGTTCGGAGTCGGGTGGCCGGCCCAGGTCAGCCCTCTGTCCCTCCCGTCCCTCCCCGGTTCCCTCCCCTGCCCCCTCTGTACCTGTTCGGAGTCGGGTGACCGGCCCAGGTCAGCCCTCTGTCCCTCCCGTCCCTCCCCGGTTCCCTCTCCCCTTCTGTACCTGTTCGGATTCGGGTGACCGGCCGAGGTCAGGCCTCTGTCCCTCCCCCTCTGTACCTGTTCCGAGTCGGGTGGCAGGCCCAGGTCGGCCCTCTGTCCCTCCCGTCCCTCTCCGGTTTCCTCTCCCCTTCTGCACCTGTTCGGAGTCGGGTGACCGGCCCAGGTCGGCCTCCTCTGCCCGCTGTTTGGGTGACCGCGGCGCGCGCTGGTACGGGTCGGCCGGCCCGTACAGGTCCGGGGTGCCCAGGTTCAGCAGACAGGTACGCTGAACAGTGTCGACGATCACCAGGCCGCTCTCGTTACCGTACGCCAGCCTGTCGACCGGCGGGTCACAAGAGTCACAGGTCAAGGTCACATGAGTCAAGATAACCAAAAGATATCAGGTCACATCAGAGTCAAAACAGCAGAGCGCCACTATGGGCACTTGAAACTCGGTACTATAAACGCTGTGCTCGGTAGCTTCTACATCTCATAGTCCGTGCGTAGGCCACGTTTTTCTGTCCCAATTTCAGTATACACCCCTCCATTCCACCACTCACAGTTCGTAGGCCTCGTTTCTCTAAATATCCCCCTTCCCACGCCACTCACAGTCTGCATGCCGAATTACTGTAAACACCCCTCCAATCCGCCACTTACCAAGGCCCTAAGACATAGCTACTCACAGTCCGTAAGCGGAGTTGACGGCCACGCTGGAGATGACGCCGGGCGGCTCTCCGTTGACGGCCGGTGTGATACACACCAGCTCCGGGTGAAAGCCGGGGGGCCGCCGGATCGGGCCCGACCGGCACCGTACCGGCAGGGAGAGCTCCGCCTGAAACAGCGGGTCACAGGGGTCAGCACAGGATCAGTAGAGCGTCACAGAGGGTTACCAAAGGGCCCGACCAGCACCGCACCGGCAGCGACAGCTCCGCCTAAAACAGAGGAATACCAGTGGGTCATAGAGATCCCTAAAGGATCACAAAGGTCATCAGAGGGTCACAACTCAAGGGTCGCCCTATGGTGACAGAAGCCGACAAAGAGACACAGGGGTAACCAGAAGGTTACAAGGGTCGCCATAAAGATCACCAGAAGCCACCAAAGAACGTACCTTTTTGTCGTCGACCCTAGTGATGGTGTCCGCCGGTGACGCTCGGGTCTGGGTCGGGCCAGGTCGGGTCAAGTCGGGTCGGGTCTGGGTCTGGGTCTGCGTCGGGTCTGGTCAGGGAGAGGTCTGGGTCTGGGGTTGGGTTGGGTCGGGTGCTGTCCGTACCTTTTTGCCGTTCACTCCTGCGATAGTGTCGGCCGGCCGGACGGTGACGGCCGGGTCGCCGCTGGGAGGGTCCCGGTCCGAGTCGCCGTACGTCTCGTACACGATGGGGATCTCCAGACACTGCGGCAAACGGACGGCCCACAGCGTCACACAGTCGCACAAACAACAAACAGCCACCGAACGCGGCACAATCACCACTTATATAGATCTACGCAGCCGACTGACGGCTTTATACGCCTTTTATGGCCCAAAGCACAATAGCCTGTCGTAACTCCAAATAATGAAAATCAACGGAGCCTTTCAATCGCGGCCTCCGGGCGGAGCGCCGCCGGCCGCCCGGCGGAGGCGCGGCCGGCCGCCTCTACCGCCTCGGTCGCCTGCCCCTCGGGACCGCAGCCCGGTCCGGCCGCCCCGGTCGGCCCACGCCGCCCGCCAGCGCCGACAGGCATTTCAGATTTCAATTTAGATGCCAGTCGGGTTCGGTCGCCGCCGGACAAGTTGCGTCGGCCGACCCTGGGGGACCGGTCGGCGGGGAAGGAGGGAAGAGGGATGGGGGTAACCGATGGGGACTACAGGCCGAGGAGCCGAATCAGGGCCGGATTCGGAGCGAGCCGACTACTGCAGCTGACCGGCGGACTCGCCCTCATAACACGTTAGTCGTAAGTACCAGTGACTTACAGCTACAGTACAGCTAAGTTTATCTGTCTACAAAGTGACACCCAACCTAGGAGCCCATAGGACATGGGACCCAGACCCGCTAGCCAGGACGCTGCAGGGGGTACGGAAACCTTTGCCGCGGCTCCCGTAGGCAGAAGGGGAGGCTGGAGCTACTTACCGGCACCTCGGCGTTCTTTTCGTTTCTGCTGAAGCGGAAGTGTATGACGTAGGATGCTCCGGCGACGGCCAGCTGCCGGCTCTCGGGACAGAGCACCACCTGCTGGACGGCCAGCTGGTCCTCCGTGTCGCCGTCCTGCCAGCGGCAGTGACCTCAGGTCAGTGACACAGTCACAGGTCACACAGGACACAGGTCACAGAGCACCACCTGCTGGACAGCCAGCTGGTCCTCGGTGTCGCCGTCCTGACACAGACACAGGTGACACAGGTCAGTGACAGGTCACAGGTCACACAGGACACAGGTCACAGAGCACCACCTGCTGGACGGCCAGCTGGTCCTCGGTGTCGCCGTCCTGCCAGCGGCAGTGAGCTCAGGTCAGTGACAGGTCACAGGTGACACAGGTCAGTGACAGCTCACAGATACAGGTGACACAGGTCAGTGACAGGTCACAGGTCACACAGGTGACAGCGTCAGTGACACAGGTCACAGACACAGGCGACACAGGTCAGTGACAGGTCACAGACACAGGTCACCGACACAGGTTACAAACAAATATCACCAGAATATACCACCAATGTATATCAGCACAGCTCGTCACCAACCAAGCCACCAAAACGTTTCAAAGCGCCGCACAGTGCGCGACCTCAGTTTCCCAGCCGGTGCCGTGTACCGTGCCGTCAGCGGCAGCTCTGCCTATCCTCCCGCCCCGCCGACTCCAATCACTGAGCGCACCGCGACTGTTTACCGATCGCGACTCGCCCGGGCGCACTTCAAACGGCCCCCGGGAGCTGCCACCGAGTCAAACGGCACCGATCGGGCCGCGGGCCGCGCACCGACTCGGCGTATTGCAGCGCGGTCACCGCCTCATATAGCCGCGGCGCGGGCGTTGGCAAACAGCCGGAGGCGACCGACACGGATTGGATGGCGAACGGCTGCCGGAGAGAGGAGAAAGAAGAGAGGAGAGAGGATGAAAGAGGAGAGGAGAGAGAGGACAGAGTGGATGGCGAGCGGCCGCGGAGAGGGAGAGGGGAAGAGGAGGACACAGAGCGGATGGTAAATAGCCGTGGCACGCCGAGAAGGGAGAGAGGAGATAGAGGGGCCAGGACAAGAATCAGAGAAAAGGGAGAGGTCAAAATGAAGTAGAGGAGAACCAGAAAAGAAGAGGATTATAAAAAGAGAGGAGACTGTGGGAAGAAGGAAGCAGAAAATGAGGGTGGAGTAAAGGGAGGACAATGACATGAAGGGATAAAGTGAGGAATGGAAATGAACAGGGAGGGATGGAGACAGGTTGAGATAGTTAGACACAGAATATCCGGACATCCAGCCACAGACCGACATACAGAGACAGAGGGAGGACGCCAGGGAGAGGCGTGCGACTCTGACCTGAGACCGGCGCTGTCGCTCCAGCACCCGGGACACCTTCAGCTTGTACAGCACCTGGAAGCTGACGGCGGTGGCGTCCCAAAACTTGACGCTGCCGTCGGCGTGGCTGAGGACATGGCAGGGGGGTTAGTGGCGCGTCCCGGCTCCGGACAGAGGAAACGTCACAGGGGCCCCGGCAACCACGGTAGTGACGCTGCCGAGGGCAGGGACTCCCCGAAACTCGGGCCGGAGAGAAGGGAAAAGTTATCCAATAAAAAGTCAGAGTTGAAACATGTTAGCAGCGCATACGTGATGTGCTAAACTGACGACTGGACGCCTCACTAGAAAGCTATACGACCTGGTAAGAATGATGGGATGGAGATGACAGCAACACACTATATTTGAGCTGGATAAAAAAACTAGAGATGGGGAACTAGCCGATGTGGCGTTGAGTGGCCTCGCAGCACAGTCTGGGTCAACGGGGCCCTGCATGGCGCCTAGACTCACCCTGGGGTTGTGACTGGGGTAGGGTGTCTTGGGGGCTGGTGTGTCGTGGGGACCGGCGACCACCCCATAGGCAGCTGTGGGGGAAGGTGACAGGACACTCACCCTGTGATAACCACCTCCGGGTAGCTGTTGCCGCCGGTGCCCCACGTTCCGCCGGTGATGGGCCATTCCTTCTCGCTGAAACCAGTCCTGGCGAGGGAACCGAGTACGCCCGGTCAGCAGGGATAGAGTAAACCAGCCGGCCATCCACCCACTGCCTTGGCGTTACCCTACACCAGTCACCGATCTAAGCCTCACATCGGCACTGATGGACAGACACATCATCACTCCATTTCCTTCTGACCAGACCCACAGCCCAGTCCCACACCCCTCCCTCTGAGCCGCACCCCTCCCTGTGGCCCAGCCCCACAGCCCTGTGAGGTCTCAGCCCGCCGCTGTATGAGGAAGTGGCGCTGGGCGCGGCGGTCCCGGGGGGCGGCCGGCGGCGGCGCGGCGACAGCACGTGCCCCAGTACCGCCGCGGGCAGTCAGTCAGTTCCGGCGGGCGGCCGAGCCGCGCTCCACGGCGACTCCAGGGAGCCGGGGCCGGCCCGGGCAGTCAGTCAACGGGCGGCCGGTCCGCGCTCCACGGCGACTCCAGGGAGCCGGGACCGGCCCGAGCAGTCAGTCAGTCCCGGCGGGCGGCCGAGCCGCGCTCCACAGCGACTCCAGGGAGCCGGGGCCGGCCCGAGCCGCCGCCGCCGCCAGTGACGCCATCAGACGGACGCCGCTGACGTCACCAGCGGTCAATGTTTAACCACTGACTGCTGCCCCGGCGCGGCGCCGAGCGGCGGCCGACACTGAAAGGTCGACGGGCGTCAGCAGACGTGCCGCTCAGTGTATAAATGGCCCCGCGGTAGGTGATAGCGCCGACCTCAACGGCTCAACTCTGACGTAAGTGGCAATCATCATTAATCGGCGGCAGTTCAGCCTTGTTATTCATCCATTCACCGAATCTAACTGACTTGATGACATCCAAAAGCGTCAAACTAGCGCAGTTGGGGCAGACGAACGGCATAAAGCACAATTTCGTTTAATTGTGTCTAGCACGCAGCGACGAGTTTCCCCCATTAGTATCCATAACATCTGACAGCGCGAGAGCCCACCGCGGTAAACACCTCCCAAGCCTGGAGACGTCAGGACGATCATCGGAGGCCTGAGTCAATGCTGTCAGCGTGGAGACGCAGTGAGACTCCTTTTGTGCGCGGACTTTTTCAAACGATACGCGACTCCCTGGTAACTGCTGGCTCAATGCTACGTGCCACATCTCTGTGATGTGAGGACTATGACAGTCGGTCCACTGCCCCATGACGCACTCCTATGACAGTCGACCAGTCTCTACCTGGCGACGGCCCGCTGCCCTCATATGACCGACAGCCGGCGGCGGTCCAGTCGGCCACTCGGCGCGTCCCGCAGTGAGTAGCCGCGGCCAGTGGCCGTCACAGTCCGTCAATACACAGACAGCCGGGCCCGGTCGGTCACACGAGCCGGTCCGGCCGCACGCAAACACCGACAGCGGAGAGAGGACGGGAGGGCAGAGAGACACGGAAGTGGGCGCGGAGGAGGGAAGAGAGCCGGGAGATACCCATGGGCTCTACCTCCCACATAGGGTGGGAGATAGAACGGGTAGCTAGACACATCGAGGGAAAGACAGAAACAAGGGAAAGAGGTAACAGATAGGCGATACCGTTTCCAAAGGACTGTAGAGGCCACACGACATTTATTCTGCCGAGAACTAAAAAGTGGCTTCTAAACACCTATAAAAAAACTAGCGGCGTTGTTCCAGAGCCAACCAACAGTTTCATGGAATCTTTCCATCCGGTTTAGCCTCACGCATCACCAGCCACCTTTTCCTTTCAGTACCTAACCAGCCGGTGGCAACACCTCAGTTGCCACCCTCCGCACATCTCAGCTGTTGTGCCAAAGCCTGAGCAGAGCACGGGCCGACTCCTACGACCCCTTACACACACACAGACCTGAGCTCCCATCTCAGCGCCTAAGTGGGACACGACGCCCACACACACCTGAGCGGTGCACGCGCCGACTCCTCCGACCCCTTGCACACACACAGATCTGATCTCCCATCTCAGCACCCAAGTGGGACACGCGCCAGCCCCCCCCCCCCCACCTGAGCTCCCCCCCCCACCTGAGCGCCGTGCCGATGACGTCACGTCAGTCCGGTCCGTCCGAAGGTCGATACAGCAGCAACAAATGCGAGCGACTAGCGTCACCTCCCCGGAGCTGCACAATGGCACAGGATGGACACTGGACAGCGGACGGGACAGGATGGACAGCGGACGGGACGGGACACCGGACACGGCGGAGCGGGACACCGGACAGCGGACGGGACGGGACACCAGACACGGCGGGATGGGACACCAGACACGGCGGACGGGACGGGACACCAGACAGCGGACGGGGCGGGACACCAGACAAGGTTGGACAGGACACCAGACACAGTTGGATGGGACTGTGACGAGTGCAATCAGCGCAGTGCTCCTTCGACACACTGAAATAAGCGGAAGAGCATGGAACACGGATGTGTGCCGTGGACACTTGAGAGAAAAGAACACGAGAAGTAGAGGCAGTGACCCCCTGGCAGTTCATTAGTCAGTTAGGACCAGTGGTTGGCCGGAGGGCTCCGGAACTGCTCTGAGGGCCGCCAGGAGGGATCCAGTATATCAGCTCCGAGTTTCTGACGGCTGTCTGTGTGAGGAGCCGCCAGCCTGTCACCGTCACTCCACCTCGGCTAACATCTCCAGCAGGCCAGTGGTGCCGCACCGGACAGTGTACCGCTGGTCCATGGAGGAGGCGCCCTGTCCGACAGCGTGGTCCCGTGTCGCACGCCGTCACCGCCGGACGAATCGATACCGACACGCACAGAGTACACGGCTCCCAGTCAGCAGTAGCACCAATCCCGTGAGTGGCGCCACACTATATGTAGAGATGGCGAGTACCGCAGCGCAAGTACCGCAGCTTTACCGAAAACAATCAGCAGTCAACGTAGGGAGGAAATGGGCCGTCTGTGGCTGTGGAATCCCTCCATGCTTAAGAACCTCAAGAAGTTAAGCAAGAACCCTCAGAAATCAGCTCGATTTTGCACTACAATAGACGTCGAGATAAGCCTGGATGTGTTCGGATTTTGTGTTCTTGTCTTATGGCAAAACATGATCTGCATATAACACGACCGGTGTAAACGCTGATAGCCCGCTCTGCAGTGTGCCAATTCACCGGCGATGGCGCCCCAGTTCCGCCAGTTAGGAGGGTGTCCGGGTATGTCCTGGCCCTCGGTACCAGTTTGGCGGCAGTTGCAGGCCACAGGACGGGTGTCCCGGCCGTCCTACAGTGGGACACTGACGGAGCGGTCCCGCCGGCCCGGAACGGGGCAGAGGCCGGAGGGAACCTCCCCTACAGCGCAGCGGGGGGCCGCTGGGCAGCCGCCGCCGTGTCGTTCGGACAACATGACGGCCCGGCTGGCCCATTCTCGCCGAATATGAGCCGCCAGCGTCTCGCCGTGTCCAGTCCACCCGCCTCTGAAGTGTAGCCAGACACACCAGTGCAGTGGTGGTCCGGGCCGACCCCCCAACGGGCCAGCCTGGCTGGGTACCGTGACCGTACCGTTCGTGTAATACACTTGGCGAATACGCGGCCCGGTCAGTACCGTGACCGTGCCGGCGGCCACAATACCCCGCGCCACGGGTCTGCCAGTACCGTGACCGTACCGGCGGCCACAATACCCCGCCACGGACCGCGCCAGTACCGTGACCGTACCGGCGGTCACCATACCCGGCCACGGACCGGGTCCGGTCCCGTGACCATGCCGGCGGCAACAATACCCCGCCACGGACCGGTCAGTACCGTGACCGTGCCGGCGGCCACAATACCCGGCCACGGGCCGGCCGCCGTTACCATTCAGCCGCGGCCAGAGATTAATCACCGGCGCGCCGGCCGCGACCTGATGGCGCCGGGTCACGCCGCGCCGGTGACCTCAGTGGCGCATTGAACAGCCGAGGTCAGCGGGGGGCGGCGTGGCTCCGCACGCCAGGAGCCGTAACAACCGCGGATACAGCTCTGCTGTGAAGGTGGAGAAGCGGCGTGGAACAGAGATATAGGAATATGAAGTCACCACATGTTGGCTCTTATTGCAGAGTCAGAGCAGAAAAGCGCAAAGTCTTTCTTCTCGGCTTTTCAAGCAAATGAAATGACTGAGCGAAATAAAGAGCGCAAACAAAAGCTAACGCTGCAAGATTACCGAAGCTCTGGCTCGAGAACAAAACGATGCTAATTCTATTCTGAACAACAAAATAAGGGAACGAGTTTTGTTTCGCTCGGTCCAAACAACGCCATAGAATACTGATGCAGTGCAGTTGAATCCCGGAGCCGGACGAAAAACCCACCCAGAGCTCATCTAAAAGCATCGAGCGTACGATCATCTGTGATTATCCAAATCACCGCACCGAAGAAAGTGATCATAGTGCATGTGCAAAGAGCGAACATTACCAGGCCATCTGTTTCTTATACCTGCGAAACGGCATCCACCAGGCGTTGAACAAACCATCTACAAACTTTGCACTGAAAACCCCGTCCGTACAGCTAGGCATATCAAGGCGGAACGGGATAAAGAACTGGTGGGCTAATTGAAGACAACGTCTCGCCTAACAGCTCAACGCTCGGAACGTTCCTCCTACCTACCAGCACTTATTTATCATGATATTACCGCCAAAACTGGCGGCCGGGCGGCAGTCCATGGCAGGCTTCATACGGCAGTGTGCGGTCAAATAAGCCAGCAGCTGTCGCCTCCCGCCCCTCCCCAGAGGTGGCAGTGTCAGGTCAGCCACCTCAATACGGCAGAACAGCCTCATTATCCATCAATGACCCCTCACAAGCAGACAATTACAGACGCTGCTCAGAGCCGGCTGACTGTAGCCCAGCAACCAATCAGCGATCGGCCGTCACTTCAGCAGCCAATCACACGAGCCGCTGTCACCACGGCAGCCAATCATACGCCCGGCTGCCACCCCAGGAGCCAATCGGCGGCCCCGACACAGTCAGTCGGCCAATCAGCGGCTCGGACAGGGCCGAGTCAGCCGGGCGGAGTCGCTGACTCGGCGCGACCCCGAGACGCGGGCATTGATCACAGCCATGGATGAAGTACTCCTGGATAGGACACTCCCTATTCCCCAACACTAGCGCCGGCGACCAAGCGGCCGCCCTGGTGGCGGAGCTCCGAAACATCGGCGGCGAGTGCGCCGGCGGCCGCTGCACCGGCTTGCGTGCTAAAAACGCGGTAATGGAGGGCGAAATTAGCGAACTTTAGCTCATAAGACACAATTTCGGACACTTTAAACATAATTTTTAGTCCTTTCTTATCATTATTATGGCTCCATTTAGTCACTATCACATACGGAATCATTACCTGATGCCCATAAACTGAGCCGGTATTCTTGACTTGCCGATGCAATTTATCATCAAATATCATCGTTCCTCGGCAGTCAAACAAGTTCCTATTGATGATTTAATACAAATATCAACTTATTTTCATGTTATAGCATAAAACTTAGCTTTATTCTAACATTAGCTCTTCGGCTGTAATCACGAACCCTCACTTGTCAGCAGAATTTAAGCAACTTCTTAAATCAAAACTGGGAAAAGAATATTTCTATGACATTCCTCAATTCCTGTTCTACCAGGTTCACAAAAATTTTCATCAAAATCGGTTATAGGTAAGTAATAAACGACAAAAGTATACCAAAAGACACGCTCCGCCCATAGCCCGCAATGCTAAAATGGCGCCAGCGCCCTCGCCGTCGGGAAATCCGCCGCCGCCGCCGGGTGGTCGGAAAATCGGCGGAGTGTCCCATCCAGGAATACCTAATCCATGTCACAGCGGAGAGCGACGGACAAGAGTCGACGGCGTCAAATGTCACCTTATCCATTCGTCTAGAAACAAAACAGCAACATACTACGTAGAATGCAGCGGAGTGATGCATCCGCTACAATAGCCAAACAACTAGCCAATTAGATTCACAGAAACTGTTGGCGACTTTCCACCTAGAGATTGCAGGAGGCTAAACAACAATTAATAGAAGCTAGTTAACCCTCGCACGACCAGGCCATTTCTCATAACACGAACGACCAGGGGGGGGGGGGGTTGTTACGACCCCCCCCCTGGCGTTTCGAAACGGAAGGTCGTAGAGCTTAGCGGAAAAAACCAACGGATTGCTCTCAACGAGATCTCGCGATTGGTGGTATATTTTTTGGTCCTAGGTCAACATTTGACCTACTTTTGACCGGTCAAAGGTCAAATTTTCGGAAAAATAGACTTTTTTCAACTTTCGGCGGCGATTGCGGCAAAACGGTGGGAGATATCGACTTGAAACCTTCACTATCGTGTTCCTTGATCAATTCTCTATCGTTTGGTATGTATTTCGTTTCCCTAGCTCTAAAAATGGCGCGTTGGGAGCGCCGGAAGTCGGCAAGGTCACAGTCGGCGGCAGAAATTCGAAAAATCAAAATTTAAATTTTTGAAATCTGATTGTATTTTTGGATTTGGGAGGTCCATTTGCTCCCTATAGAAGCTAATATTGCTGCATATTCCCATTGAGGTGACAAGAATTAGCAAAATAGTGGTTCGGGCGCTTTTCAAAAATAGTACCGGACGCTGTTCCTCTTGTGACGTCATAGCTCCGTGACCTGACCTGACCCGGTCAAATTTTTTATACCATATGATAGCCAATACTTGCCCCAACATGCATGGGAAGTTTCATCACGATCCATCAACCGATGTCCGTACCACCGGCAGGAAACTTCGGGCGTTGGCACTCAGTTTGTGAAAATCCGGCCGGAGGCTGTACCTCTTATGACGTCATAACTCCGTGACCTGACATGACCCGATCAATTTTTTTCGGCAAAAGATGCGCAAAGGTTGCCCCAGAGGGTATTGAAAATTTCAGCCCGCTACGACAAGCCGTTTAGCGTGCACTTCGAAAAAACCTCAGGGGGGGGGTTGATACACCCCCCCCCCCTAGGCGTTCTAGGGTTAATATACAGAGGTACGCACAGCTCAGGACTGCGACTCGCGCAAGGAAAAACTTGGCTCTGATACAAAGTTTGGGCAGAGTCTATTTCTCAAGCTGCAACATCGCATTGTGTTGATGCTCTTAACAGGTTTTCTTCGCAAAGTGAGCTCTTGTGTTTGAGACTCTATAGAGGCTAAAAAAATGGTAAAACCTTATACATAATAAACGCATCGTGAAACAGGCTGAAAGCGAAATCCCATAGAACTGCAGCGGAGTTGTTTTTCTTGGCAGCCGTTCCCTAATCCCCTCCTCGGCGGCTCGCAGTCCGATGGCGGGCGGCGGCCGCGGAGCCGGCTTAGCCTGAATACGCGGACGGGCTGGCAGCTGCTGGCACAAAGGCGCCACAATTAACTATGCATTGTCTCACCCGGCAGGGCGCCAGCTAGGAGCGCCGGTGGATGGGAGCCGGCCGCGCCCTCGGAGGGGCTCTGGGCCCCCACCTGCACCTCACGCAGGAGGGGGACACGGGTGGCCCTGCACCCCGCGCCGCCGCGTCTGCAGTTAAGGGTTATAACGTCACGTCCAAAGCGTCCTACATTCCATCCAGCTCCATAAGGCCCCAATGCTTCATAAAGCCTCCGGATATGGTGATGACTGGAGGCTATGGTTTGCCCACTCTACGCCAGACCCTCCTCGCCCCCTCCCATGTCTAGTAGTACGGACAGCCCCAGTCCTCGTCCGTCCGTGCACGCTGAGAGAAATCTCCGCACATGCGGACAGCCCCACGGCCCGTCCGTCGCCCCGTTCGCCGTCGCACCTGTTTTGTTTGGCGGTGCCCAGGTCGTACCTGTTTTGTTTGGCGGTGCCCAGGTCGTACCTGCTTTGTTTGGCGGTGCTCAGGTCGTACCTGTTTTGTTTGGCGGTGCTCAGGTCGTACCTGCTTTGTTTGGCGGTGCCCAGGTCGTACCTGTTTTGTTTGGCGGTGCCCAGGCCGTACCTGTTTTGTTTGGCGGTGCCCAGGCCGTACCTGTTTTGTTTGGCGGTGCCCAGGTCATACCTGTTTTGTTTGGCGGTGCCCAGGTCGTACCTGTTTTGTTTGGCGGTGCCCAGGTCGTACCTGTTTTGTTTAGCGGTGCCGACGCTGTAGAGTGCCGGCACCAGGTCGCCCGGACAGTCGGCCAGGTAGGTGCAGCTGGTGACCGTCGAGCCGTGCAGGTCCATCGGGTAGGGGTTCTCGAAGCACGGGTAGCCCGGCGACGTCAGGTCCACCACCACCAGGTCGTTCTGCAGCAGCACCACGATGCCGTACGGGTCCTGGAACTCTGCGGACCGACAGCGGCGGGATCGGTCAGTGGGAGCGGTGGTGAGGCCCACCCAGACAGAACGGACACAGCTCACAGCAGTGGTACCAGTCGGCGGCGCGGGATCGGTCAGAGATAGCAGTGGTACTAGCCGGACAGCGGTGCGGGCCCGGAGAGTATCGGCAGAGGTAGCAGCCGGCCAGGCACGACATAAGAACAGAGCGGACACAGCTCAGCAGTGGTAACAGCCGACGGTGGACCAGCTCACAGCAGGGGTAACAGCCGACGGTGGACCAGCTCACAGCAGGGGTAACAGCCGACCCACACGGGTACGGAGCCGACACAGCTTCCATGCGGCATAGGTCAAATACCACCGTCAGTCCAATGACAATTAGTCAGAACCGAAAACGTCCAGATACGCGTAGCCTAAGTGAGAGCAGCCAACGACGCTTTCGGGCTGGCCGGACCGGACGAAGGACTCCAGAGACGCCGATGCCATACCGCGCCGCGATAGAGGAGAGAGGACCGGCCGCCCGACCGCAGACAGAGGAACGGACGCCAGACGGACGGACGGGCGGGAAAGGGCATGTAAACAGCGCTGACGGCGCCCACACGCCGGTGGTCGTCAATACGTCAACAGACACGAGGGCTGGGACCGTGTATTGACAGCAGTAACAGGCGGACGGAGGAACGCCCACAGCTGGGTGGGTGTGGGAACTGGGGCAGGTCACAGTATAGACGGGGCCGAGACTCTGGCCGCCCACAGCCCGGCTGGTGTAGGGACTGGGGCAGGACAGAGGGCAGACTGGGACGGGGCACTGACCAATATCAAATATGTATGGTGTCCAGAAAAAAAAAGATACTACGGAAATTAAGTCGCATTCATTAACGCACGTGCCGATTTTTTTTCCAACTTCATGTGCTTATAGTGCAAGATTTGGCAAAACTCATGGGCACTGTAATGCGTCGTTGGAAAGTTGTCTGCCTGCCCTCCGAGAGGGTCAACATGACCATCAGTCACCTGCAGACCGTGCTAGTGCTGGAGCTGATCTGCCGGAAGGACGCTCACATTGAGTATCTGCTTTGAGGAGCTGCCGCGACTAACCAAAGGGTTTACATGCCATGTGGCACCTGTTGTCTGTTTTGCCATATTTTTGCGAATACAAGCATGTGCCATTTTAAAATGTGCGGTGTTTATTTTCGGAATTACAACAAAAAATAATAGTATCCGTTTTTTCTGGACACCCTGTATGAGTTCGGCGAGTTACACCGCAGACTTCCACCCACTCGTTGATTCCAATACAACCCTAGGAAAAAACGAGTTACAGCACAAACTGGGTCAAACACTGGCCGCCCACAGCCCTGCTGGTCAGGAGGCTTGGGCGAGTTACACTACAAGCTGGGACGGGACACAGACTGAAAGGTGGTGCTGGTGGGTGGGGGCTAAGGCGAGTCAGAGCAGTCTGGTTAGGAACACAAGAACGACACGAGAGCCCCACCCCCTAACTCAAACGCAGGCGAGCTGTTGAGGAAACACAAACAGAGAACTAGCAAATGGAACTTCGGCTCCCTACAGAACTAATTTGAAACCGTGTATCAAACTACAATGTTTGTCGAGTCGGACCCGTACTTCAAAAGCTACAGCAGTCAGCAAACACGCTTCCAAATCTCGAAATAGACTTTAGTTGCCTACGCTTACTAAAAAGCAAGGCAATAATCGTTGCAGCGATGTGAAGTCTTTTCAACTGCAGCTGAACCGTCCACCAGGCACGTCAAGAGTGTACGGACACCTTTCATGATCTGCCGTGACGTCCACACACTAAGCCGAAGCTCTTCATTTCATGTAATGATGATAATTTCTGCGGCTACTACTCTACTTTGAGAGTTCTTTGGAAGCTTAATTTGGTCGGGTGCGAACGACGTGATTCACCCGATTTTGCTTTAGAACATCGACTGCACATGCAGTTTAATTTAGATACAAACCCACGCATTTAAACACCCCATCATCAAATCCTTTCAACATTTTGATGAACGGTTTCGACCTAAAGGTCGTCCTCGCTGAAAGCAGTTCGTGATTGAGTTGATACCATTAATAGGTGGTTTGTGCTCGAATTACGTTGTTATCTGAAGCCAGACACTAACTCTAGTATGACCATACTGCTCCCTCCGACTCGCCGCTCGGGTAGGGGTATCAGTGTCTCCCCTCTCCCCCCCCCCCCCCCCCCGCCTCGCCGCTCGGGTAGGGGTATAAGTGTCTCCCCTCCCCAAGCCCCGACTCACCGCTGGGGTAGGGGGTGTCACCTCACTCACCGCTGGGGTAGGGGGTGTCTCCTCACTCACCGCTGGGGTAGGGGGTGTCTCCTCACTCACCGCTGGGGTAGAGCCACAGCGTCCCAAAATTTGTTGATTTGGGTGCGAAATGACATCCAGCTGAAAGTCATTTTCCACTCTCACCTCCAACTTTTCAGAACAATTTTCTACTCTCAACTTTACCGAGAAAAGCATTGTGAGGATGGCCATTTTGCATCGTACATTTTACTACTCTCGTATAGAAATTTATGGGACCTATCCTTTTATCACTCTTTTTGGGCCTTATCTGACCAGCAATTTTCCACTCACATCCCCCTTTTTGCTGAGAAATTTTCCCCTCCAACACCCAAGCCAGAATGCAATTTTGGGACACTGGGTAGGGGGCGTCTCCTCACTCACCGCTGGGGTAGGGGGCGTCTCCTCACTCACCGCTGGGGTAGGGGGTGTCTCCTCACTCACCGCTGGGGGTAGGGGGTGTCTCCTCACTCACCGCTGGGGTAGGGGGCGTCTCCTCACTCACCGCTGGGGTAGGGGGTGTCTCCTCACTCACCGCTGGGGTAGGGGATGTCTCCTCACTCACCGCTGGGTAGGGGGTGTCAGTCTCCTCACTCACCGCTGGGGTGGGGGTGTCAGTGTCTCCCCCGACTCACCGCTCAAGTAGGGCGTCTCCTCACTCACCGCTGGGGTAAGGGGTGTCTCCCCCGGACTCACCGCTCGGGTAGGGGTATCAGTGTCTCCCCTATCCCCCCCCCGACTCACCGCTCGAGTAGGGGGTGTCTACTCTCACTCACCGCTGGGGTAGGGGTATCAGTGTCGACTCACAGTAGACTCACCGACTCATGGCTGGGGTAGGGGTGGTCTCCTCACTCACCGCTGGGGTAGGGGGTGTCGACGAGCGCGATGAAGTCGACAACGTTGTGCTCCATCTCCAGTACTGTTGTGGTGCGGCCGTGCATCACGGTGACGCTCGGGGTCCGGCCGGCAGTGTCGTGGCCCAGGCCGCCCGTGAAGATCACGTACGGCTCACTGGCGGCGCACCGGGGAGCACCAGGTCAGACGGCGCACAGAGAGAGGTCACAAAGAGGTCACACCGGTCACACAGATCACCCGCAGGTCACACAGAGATTATCAACAAGCCACGGGTATAGAAGGGTCGCCAGCTTTAAAAGGTCTTCGGCAGTTCTTCAAAGAATACGACTGACTGTTCATCTCACAGGGCAATTCTGGACAAATATATAACACAAGTGACATGTGCCCCGCATCGCCTCAACGCCGAATGCATCAGACGACGTAGCTGGGATGTAACACTGGATAAATATTACATTGCTTTGTAACGTTAAGAGCAGTCAAACTTAAATAAAAACACTAACGAACCAAAGTCCCAGTATAATAACATAAGCTTTTCGTAAGCACCACAATATCATCTGAGTAATAGGATACTTTATATCAGAGACCAGTGCGACAGGCGTAAGTATCGTACATGGGACTGAACTGAGGTGCATCTGCTGGTAAAGCCGTGGGTTCGGCGGACTGCCACCGCAGAAATGGCGGAGCCGTGCCTACGCCTAGTGACTGCGGCCGAGTGGATGCACGGCATGTCGACAGGTGAGGCAACTGCTCTAGGTCAGACATTCCGCGCTAGTGGCAGGCTTGTGGGATGCAGAAGACACTACCGCATTTCCCTATAACCACGTCCACAGCCGTCACTGTCAAACAGCATACGACACGGCACTGGAGACTCAGACTCACATCACTCGCACGCTAACTCGAACTGAGGCACGCAGACGCGCAGGTAGGCCTATCGTATACAGTAAGTACTGTGCGGGGTGAGGGTGTTCCGAATTCGGCATCGCATTTCGGGTTCAGCCGGCGACTGTAAGCCAGTGTCTGTCGTGTTTGTCAAATACGGTCATTGTGATTTAAGGCTACAGGCGGTTGTAAATTTAGGTTACAAATTCTTAATGTGCCCGACATAGGTAAGGTTAAGTGTTGTATGCTGCGGGGGTGTAAATTGTAATCAGGCAGAAGTCATGCCATGTAAGAGCCGAGGATACAATATATCACAAGCTACCGATCGAATTTCGAACGGATACTCTACAGAAATCTTTATAAACGACGCTGCGCGAAGAGCGCAAAAATGCGAGCTGCGTCCAGTGAGGCGGTGAGCGGGAGGATCGAAACAGTGCCATCCGCAGGGACGGAGGGGGAGGGTGGGGAGAGAGAGAGGGAGCGAGAGAGAGAGAGAGAGAGAGAGAGAGAGAGAGAGAGAGAGAGAGAGAGAGAGAGAGAGAGAGAGAGAGAGAGAGAGAGAGAGAGAGAGAGAGAGAGAGAGAGAGAGAGAGAGAGAGAGAGAGAGAGAGAGAGAGAGGAGGGACAGGGAGGGTCGGGAAAGGCCGTCTGGTAGCTGCACAGTGCAAACAGCCTGTCCGCAGTGAGTGGGAAGTGGTGTTTGCCTTCCCGGACAGTGGGGGCCGACTGGCCACTGTCCGCAGAGAGGACTGTGTGTCGACAGGACGACTGACGGCTGGGAGTCAGGACCCACTGGCGTGTGTCCTCCGCTGTCCATGGAGAGGACAGTGCTGCTGTCGGGGACGACTGGCCACTGCCCATGGGGAGGACAGTGCTGCTGACGGGGCCGACTGGCCACTGTAAATGAGGAGGACAGTGTCGATGGGGACGGCCGACGGCCCGCTGACGGCTCCCAGAGGCACCCACGTCTGCTCTGCGTGTGCAGCTCGCCTATCCGTGTGTGCAGCTGCAAGTCGCTCGCCTATCCGTGTGTGCAGCTGCGTGTCGCTCGCCTATCTGTGTGAGCGCCCCCGCGTGTGCAGCTCGCCTATCCGCGTGTGCTGCCGCGTGTGGTGGATGCCTCTACGTGTCTGTCAATGCATTTGCGTTGTCTGCCTGGGTGACCCGCCTCTCCGTGCTGTTCTATCTGCATCCATCCCTCCGTGCGTGCTGTTGTGTAGCCCGCCTCTCCGTGCGCGCTGTTCTGTCTGTATCCGCCCCTCTGTCGTGCTCCTCTGTATGCGTGTGTGTGACTGGCTTGTTGTGACCGCGACTGGGTCACCAATAGAGCAGCAGTCAGCGAAACGTGACCTGTTCCGGCGCCGCGGTAAAACCGGCCGAGTCAGAGCTCCAGAGACGGCCCCCACTCGAGCCTAACTGAGAGACCAACAGAGCTACGCAGTACGCAGCCTCTCCGGGCGGTAAGTGTGTGTGTCCGGGTGTGTCAGTGTGTCAGTGTCGGCGCTCTGTTACCTGTGCCGGCCGCGGCTGGCTGCCGGCGGCTACACACCTGGGGCGGGCGGGCCGTGTGTGTCAGTGTGTGTCAGTATGTGTCAGTGTGTCAGTTCTGTTACCTGTGCCGGCCGCGGCTGGCTGCCGGCGGCTATATACCTGGGGCGGGCGGGCCGTGTGTGTCAGTGTCAGTGTCAGTGTGTCAGTGTGTCAGCTCTGTTACCTGTGCCGGCCGCGGCTGGCTGCCGGCGGCTATATACCTGGGGCGGGCGGGCCGTATGTCAGTGTGTAATGTGTATGTCAGTGTGTCAGTGTGTCAGCTCTGTTACCTGTGCCGGCCGCGGCTGACTGCCAGCGGCTATATACCTGGGGCGGGCAGTCAGTGTGTCAGTGTGTGTGTCAGTATGTGTCAGTGTGTGTCAGTGTCAGTGTGTCGGCGCTCTGTTACCTGTGCCGGCCGCGGCTGGCTGCCGGCGGCTATATACCTGGGGCGGGCGGGCCGTGTGTCAGTGTGTCAGTGTGTCATTGTGTCAGTATGTGTCAGTGTGTCAGCTCTGTTACCTGTGCCGGCCGCGGCTGGCTGCCGGCGGCTATATACCTGGGGCTGGCGGGCCGTGTGTCAGTATCTGTCCGTGTGTCGGCGCTCTGTTACCTGTGCCGGCCGCGGCTGGCTGCCGGCGGCTATATACCTGGGGCGGGCGGGCCATATGTCAGTGTGTCAGCTCTGTTACCTGTGCCGGCCGCGGCTGGCTGCCGGCGGCTATATACCTGGGGCGGGCGGGCCGTGTGTCAGTGTCAGTGTGTCAGTGTGTCAGTTCTGTTACCTGTGCCGGCCGCGGCTGACTGCCGGCGGCTATATACCTGGGGCGGGCAGTCAGTGTGTCAGTGTGTGTGTCAGTATGTGTCAGTGTGTGTCAGTGTCAGTGTGTCGGCGCTCTGTTACCTGTGCCGGCCGCGGCTGGCTGCCGGCGGCTATATACCTGGGGCGGGCGGACCGTGTGTCAGTGTGTGTCAGTGTGTGTCAGTGTGTCAGCTCTGTTACCTGTGCCGGCCGCGGCTGTCTGCCGGCGGCTATATACCTGGGGCGGGCGGGCCGTGTGTCAGTGTCAGTGTGTCAGTGTGTCAGTTCTGTTACCTGTGCCGGCCGCGGCTGACTGCCGGCGGCTATATACCTGGGGCGGGCGGGCCGTGTGTCAGTGTGTCAGTGTGTCAGCTCTGTTACCTGTGCCGGCCGCGGCTGGCTGCCGGCGGCTATATACCTGGGGCGGGCGGACCGTGTGTCAGTGTGTGTCAGTGTGTGTATGTCAGTATGTCAGTGTGTCAGTGTGTCAGTGTGTGTCAGTATGTGTGTCAGTTCTATTACCTGTGCCGGCCGCGGCTGGCTGCCGGCGGCTATATACCTGGGGCGGGCGGGCCGTGTATCAGTGTGTGTGTGTCAGTGCGTCAGTGTGTGTCAGTGTGTGTCGGTGTGTCAGCTCTGTTACCTGTGCCGGCCGCGGCTGGCTGCCGGCGGCTATATACCTGGGGCGGGCGGGCCATGTGTGTCAGTGTGTCAGTGTGTCAGTTCTGTTACCTGTGCCGGCCGCGGCTGGCTGCCGGCGGCTATATACCTGGGGCGGGCGGGCCGTGTGTCAGTGTGTCAGTGTGTCAGCTCTGTTACCTGTGCCGGCCGCGGCTGGCTGCCGGCGGCTATATACCTGGGGCGGGCGGGCCGTATGTCAGTGTGTGTCAGTGTGTCAGTGTGTCAGCTCTGTTACCTGTGCCGGCCGCGGCTGGCTGCCGGCAGCTATATACCTGGGGCGGGCGGGCCCTGTGTCAGTGTCAGTGTGTCAGTGTGTCAGTGTGTCAGCTCTGTTACCTGTGCCGGCCGCGGCTGGCTTCCGGCGGCTATATACCTGGGGCGGGCGGACCGTGTATCAGTGTGTGTCGGTGTGTGTCAGTGTGTCAGCTCTGTTACCTGTGCAGGCCGCGGCTGGCTGCCGGCGGCTATATACCTGGGGCGGGCGGGCCGTATGTCAGTGTGTAATGTGTATGTCAGTGTGTCAGTGTGTCAGCTCTGTTACCTGTGCCGGCCGCGGCTGACTGCCAGCGGCTATATACCTGGGGCGGGCAGTCAGTGTGTCAGTGTGTGTGTCAGTATGTGTCAGTGTGTGTCAGTGTGTGTCAGTGTCAGTGTGTCGGCGCTCTGTTACCTGTGCCGGCCGCGGCTGGCTGCCGGCGGCTATATACCTGGGGCGGGCGGGCCGTGTGTCAGTGTGTCAGTGTGTCATTGTGTCAGTATGTGTCAGTGTGTCAGCTCTGTTACCTGTGCCGGCCGCGGCTGGCTGCCGGCGGCTATATACCTGGGGCTGGCGGGCCGTGTGTCAGTATCTGTCCGTGTGTCGGCGCTCTGTTACCTGTGCCGGCGGCTATATACCTGGGGCGGGCGGGCCATATGTCAGTGTGTCAGCTCTGTTACCTGTGCCGGCCGCGGCTGGCTGCCGGCGGCTATATACCTGGGGCGGGCGGGCCGTGTGTCAGTGTCAGTGTGTCAGTGTGTCAGTTCTGTTACCTGTGCCGGCCGCGGCTGACTGCCGGCGGCTATATACCTGGGGCGGGCGGGCCGTGTGTCAGTGTGTGTCAGTGTGTGTATGTCAGTGTGTCAGTGTGTCAGTGTGTCAGTGTGTGTCAGTATGTGTGTCAGTTCTATTACCTGTGCCGGCCGCGGCTGGCTGCCGGCGGATATATACCTGGGGCGGGCGGACCGTGTGTCAGTGTGTGTCAGTGTGTGTATGTCAGTATGTCAGTGTGTCAGTGTGTCAGTGTGTGTCAGTATGTGTGTCAGTTCTATTACCTGTGCCGGCCGCGGCTGGCTGCCGGCGGCTATATACCTGGGGCGGGCGGGCCGTGTATCAGTGTGTGTGTGTCAGTGCGTCAGTGTGTGTCAGTGTGTGTCGGTGTGTCAGCTCTGTTACCTGTGCCGGCCGCGGCTGGCTGCCGGCGGCTATATACCTGGGGCGGGCGGGCCATGTGTGTCAGTGTGTCAGTTCTGTTACCTGTGCCGGCCGCGGCTGGCTGCCGGCGGCTATATACCTGGGGCGGGCGGGCCGTGTGTCAGTGTGTCAGTGTGTCAGCTCTGTTACCTGTGCCGGCCGCGGCTGGCTGCCGGCGGCTATATACCTGGGGCGGGCGGGCCGAGGACCCACGCAGAGCAGCAGCGAGCCGGGCCGCGGGAGGCTGCGGGATAGACGGAGGTCAGGACGTCAGGATAGGACCGGACGGGCCGCGGGAGGCTGTGGGATAGACGGAGGTCAGGACGTCAGGATAGGACCGGACGGGCCGCGGGAGGCTGTGGGATAGACGGAGGTCAGGACGTCAGGATAGGACCGGACGGGCCGCGGGAGGCTGTGGGATAGACGGAGGTCAGGACGTCAGGATAGGACCGGACGGGCCGCGAGAGGCTGCGGGATAGACGGAGGTCAGGATGTCAGGATAGGACCGGACGGGACCGGAGAGTGGCGGGCCGCGGGAGGCTGTGGGATAGACGGAGGTCAGGACGTCAGGATAGGACCGGACGGGCCGCGGGAGGCTGTGGGATAGACGGAGGTCAGGACGTCAGGATAGGACCGGACGGGCCGCGGGAGGCTGTGGGATAGACGGAGGTCAGGACGTCAGGATAGGACCGGACGGGCCGCGGGAGGCTGTGGGATAGACGGAGGTCAGGACGTCAGGATAGGACCGGACGGGCCGCGGGAGGCTGCGGGATAGACGGAGGTCAGGACGTCAGGATAGGACCGGACGGGCCGCGGGAGGCTGTGGGATAGACGGAGGTCAGGACGTCAGGATAGGACCGGACGGGCCGCGGGAGGCTGCGGGATAGACGGAGGTCAGGATGTCAGGATAGGACCGGACGGGACCGGAGAGTGGCGGGCCGCGGGAGGCTGTGGGATAGACGGAGGTCAGGACGTCAGGATAGGACCGGACGGGCCGCGGGAGGCTGTGGGATAGACGGAGGTCAGGACGTCAGGATAGGACCGGACGGGCCGCGGGAGGCTGTGGGATAGACGGAGGTCAGGACGTCAGGATAGGACCGGACGGGCCGCGGGAGGCTGTGGGATAGACGGAGGTCAGGACGTCAGGATAGGACCGGACGGGCCGCGGGAGGCTGTGGGATAGACGGAGGTCAGGACGTCAGGATAGGACCGGACGGGCCGCGGGAGGCTGTGGGATAGACGGAGGTCAGGACGTCAGGATAGGACCGGACGGGCCGCGGGAGGCTGTGGGATAGACGGAGGTCAGGACGTCAGGATAGGACCGGACGGGCCGCGGGAGGCTGCGGGATAGACGGAGGTCAGGATGTCAGGATAGGACCGGACGGGACCGGAGAGTGGCGGGCCGCGGGAGGCTGTGGGATAGACGGAGGTCAGGACGTCAGGATAGGACCGGACGGGCCGCGGGAGGCTGCGGGATAGACGGAGGTCAGGACGTCAGGATAGGACCGGACGGGCCGCGGGAGGCTGTGGGATAGACGGAGGTCAGGACGTCAGGATAGGACCGGACGGGCCGCGGGAGGCTGTGGGATAGACGGAGGTCAGGAGGTCAGGATAGGATGGACGGGACCGTGGACAGACGGCGAATGGAGATCAGGAGACGACCGAAGGGGCCGGGAGAGGACAGGGAAGGTGAAGGTGGCAGTCAAAGGTAAGGATCAGATCAGGTGCGCACTGCTGTAACTCCTCCCACTGTCCGGTAGCACAGATCGGTGCAGGTCTACCCTAGAACTACGGGACTATCCGCTCGCGGTCACTGTGTCATCATACAGGCACTACGGCAAGCGGGTGCGGTCGCCTAGGGCTCGTCTGGCTAGCGGTGGGGTGCAGGGTAGAGGGGGAGCTGGCAGCACCTTTCTTCCTCCTCGCGCCAGCCGGCGAGCGGGCTCAGAGACGCCAGCAGCCTGTGAACACGGAGTGGGTCACGGCGCCGGCCAGCTCCCACCCTCCGGGACACACAGTCGGGCCCGGCTGGTCGGCCATCCACGGGCGACAGCTTCAAATGTTACAGCAGAGCGGGTCTACCGACAGTAGACCGGGACTACAGCCGGCGGACTGCAGCCGTATGCACAAGATAATAATAATGAAAAAAAGGTTTAAGAACGGCTCAAAATGGTCTGCGCTTCATGTGTTCTTTCCTGAATTTAACTTCGAAATAAGCTGATCTGGTGAAACTTTGAAGTTCCCGTACATCGAAACAGCATTTCCAATGGCGACAGAAAAATAAATAAGGATATTAGATATTGTATAAATGCTACAAAATCCAATGGAAGCACTCATCGCCCGAGCAGGATTACCAGGTTTAAAAGAAACAGCTTCTTAAAACGGCAGCCTTTGATGACTAGGGACATCGCTCCGCTTCAATGAAAACTTTTAACGGATAAGACATTGCGATATGACAAAAGTAAAATAAATCATATTAACTTAATTGAAAAAGGAAAAAATACAAAGTTCTGTACAGAGCAAAGACTTTACCCTTCCAAAGTCAACGTGAGACAAATGCAAGCAAGCAAGCAAAGGGAAAGGTAGCTCATTCTATGGTAGCTCATTCTAATATTTTTGCAAAAGGACCGGGACAAAACTCCATCTAAGTAGTTAGCATGATGAATTGGTTTCAGAACGATGAATCTTTCCCGGGTGATGGATTACATTCGTGAGTCCATTACAAGATTACTAACACACTCTGCCGGGGCTGACTCAGTCGGTAACACTGGATGAGGTGCGCACAAAGGTACTGGTATTGGCTGCCTGCATACCAGAGCTGGTCTGAGCTCTTAGACCGACAGCAGGCCCCATTGTACTACTGGTGGAATGGAAAACAGCTTCACCAACAATCCAAAACTCGAGCAGAACAAATAACAAATACTTCATGTCTCGCGCTAAAAGCTAATTTTCACTTGTCCACTGCTGAGATTAACCTGTCAGTAACCACTCAGTTCCCGCTGGGCGAGTGATTGGGAGTGAGGACAGCACCATACTACAGTCCCTTCCCCATGGCATGCCCGCTCCCTTACCATGACCGTCCATCCGCCGGTCCGTTTGATCACCACTGGCGGTAACGGGTCGCCGCCCACACCCAACGGCGTCCGCCGAACAACGAGCGTCACCAGTTCGGCAGTGTCGTTACACCCACGGTGTTAAACCCCGCCGACTGGCCGGACAAGGACGGAGCGCACTGGACGGGACGGAGTGACGGTCCAGACTGGAACTCCAGACTGACAAATGGTGAGCGAGAGACAGAGCTGGACGGGACGGGAAGGGACGGGACGGGACGGGGCGGGACAGGACACAGGACGGGACGGGCTGCAGTGTCAGGCTGAAGAATGGTGACGGGAAGACGACTGGCCCACGAGTAGACGACTTTCAATCACTGGATACCTGGATAGCGACCAGCGGCGCCATTGCATGATTGGTAGCGGAGTGGCGGCACGAGAAAGAAAATTTATCACCGGAGCAGTGATGACATCCTGGTCCCTCCCTTCATCTTCCGTTCGCAGTGATTTCCTCCTCCTCTCTCCCCGCTATTACTACCCTTTATCCGCGGTGACTCCTTTCACTCTCCGCGGTGACTCGCATCCTCTCCCCGCGGTGGCCGCTCCCAGCTCTCCCCGCGGTGGCCCGCTGCTCTCCCCACAGCGGGCCGCTCCCCGCCCTGTGCCGGCGCTGACCGCTCCCCGCTCTCCCCCCAATGCAATGGCCCGCTCCCCGCCCTCTCCCGGCGCCGGCCGCTCCCCGCTCTGTGCCAGCGCTGGCCGCTCCCTGCTCTCCCTGCGGTGACTCCCATCCTCTCCCCGCGGTGACCCGCTCCCCGCTCTGTGCCAACGCTGACCGCTCCCCGCTCTCCCCCCGGTGCCTCCCTCCTCTCTCCACGGTGGACCGCTCCCTCCTCTCCCGGCGCCGGCCGCTCCCCGCTCTGTGCCAGCGCTGACCGCTCCCTGCTCTCCTCGCGGCGCCTCCCATCCCTGCTCTCCCCACGGTGACCGCTCCCCGCTCTGTGCCGGCGCCGGCCGCTCATAACCCGGTGCCGATGAGCCTCAACACCATGAGCGGCACGGCCCAAATGAGAAAAGTTGCCCGCCGCCGGCCAAAGTCGGGCCACAGTGGGCGGCGCGAGCACCTGCGAGTTTCCAGCGCGCCCGGCCCTGCCGCCCGACCCTCATTAGAGCGTCGGAAGCGCCGTTCTCGACGGACATCAGCTGTGCTTTCAGCGGGCGGCGCCGAACGGCCGCCGGCGCCTCGATTATGGTCCTGGCGTCTCGATGGGCCGGACGGTCGGCCAACTTTGAGAGCGGGTCGAACGGATGTGCTGAGTTCACAGGGCGGCTCGGTGCTGCTCCTAGCGGCTCGGCCGTGGGAAGGGGACATTAGCCGGCCGGTACAAAGTGCGCCGCGGGGTCGGCCGGACCGGGACGGTCGGACGGCCGGGTCACGGGCGCTGAGCCGGCGCTAACGCCCGGCAGAGCTGCCATCATCGGGCCCAATCACGGCTCGGTCGGCGGGTATACGGCGCCAGCGGCGGCCCGGACCGGCCGGGATCAGGGCCGCCTCAGCACCGGACGCCAGTGACGGCCCGGACCGGCCGGGATCAGGGCCGCCTCAGCACCGGACGCCAGTGGCGGCCCGGACCGGCCGGGATCAGGGCCGCCTCAGCACCGGACGCCAGTGGCGGCTCGGACCGGCCGGGATCAGAGCCACCTCAGCACCGGACGCCAGTGGCGGCCCGGACCGGCCGGGATCAGAGCCGCCTCAGCACCGGACGCCAGTGGCGGCCCGGACCGGCCGGGATCAGAGCCACCTCAGCACCGGCCGTCGGCGGAAAGCCGACAGGCCGCGGTCACCGTCATACACCACGGGGCGCCGGAGATGGAAACACTGAGCCGGGTTCGCTCTGTGTAAGGACACAAAACAGAGTAAAGCTACATGAGCCCATGAGGAGCGGTCAAAAAGGCCGGATCGGCGCACTCACCCCGCCCTGGTGGAGAGCCAGGAAACCTTCTGGATGGCCTTGCAGGGCTCCTGCTGGCCGTTTTCCCGTGTCTTGGCTGCAAAAAAACACATGGACACGGTCACAGAGCTATCCACAACCGAGGGCTGCAGGCTCTCGAGCATCAACCGAGCCCGTAAATTGTCCAAGAACTACGAGACTCAAAGAAAGCACCTGGCATCTCAGCCCTAGTTAGGACAACGAACGCGAAACTCGAATGGCATTCAACTCCTTCGCCGTTTAAATCCCGTGACAAAGGTAAATATTTGTCAACATCCCATTAGCTATTTCAACCTAATATACAATTCACCATCTACAGTTCACGTCGACCAGCCCACTACTAAACGTTGCAGGCGATGGCATGCTGAAAATAATGCTGCGGATGTTTTACCTATTCCCTGAAAATACGGGCTAATATTCATTGATATATACATGTGCTATGAAATGTGATGGCAAACTGAGAAACAACTGAAAGTGACACGTCCCGCAGTTCAAGCGATATCCGTGAAGAGGGGGAGGGGCGAATTTGGCTTTTGGGAGTCCCAGTTTGCCCAACGCTTCGAGAAAGGCAAACATTGGTGGTCTCGGAAACGAATATTATAGACGTCAAAATGGTCTCAAATACGCCTTTTGTGCATCGCAAGCGCAATATATGGCACATTCATTAATGTCAGGACGATTTCTCAGTTTCGGGAAGTGAAAGACGACGGAGTAATTACTAGATCGTGCCTAGCGACCCGTGGTCGTTCGAGCACATGTCCGTCGAATATGAGACAGCTTCAGCGGCGAGCAAAACTTGGCACACAATGGGCGGCCGCTTATTGAAACGCCAGCGCTGGGCGCGGCACGCTTTCATTCCGCGAGCGACTAGGCTGGCTGTTGTTATTCTCCGAATCGGCGCCCAATTTGTTGTATTCGAGCGGGGTAGCTGGGCACGAAGTCCTATTTAGATGGCCTGTCGCCGCCCTGTCGACTGTGTTCAGTCAGGCGGCCTCAGTGCTGCTCGAATGGGTGTGTGCTTTCGGACGAAGAAAGGGGAGAGAGAACGATAGAGCGAGAGCGAGAGAGAGGGGGAGGAACAGGAGAAGAGAGAGAGAGAGAGAGAGAGAGAGAGAGAGAGAGAGAGAGAGAGAGAGAGAGAGAGAGAGAGAGAGAGAGAGAGAGAGAGAGAGAGAGAGAGAGAGAGAGAGAGAGAGAGAGAATCACGCATATCGGTCCAAACTGATCTCCACAGCACGTTGCGTTGCGGGGTGGGCGGCGCCGCTGCGTTTCCTATCTGCCCGGCACTCCGCGGCGTTTGCAATCTACGGGACGTTTGCTATCTGCCGGCTCGCCGCGGCGTTTGCTATCTGCGGCCGGTCGGCGCCCGGAGACAGCGGCCGGCCGCAGAGGTGATAACCTGCCGGAGCCGTTCCAGGAGGCCGCTAACACCCCTTTCCGACGGTTTGGCCGCCGGTGCCGGCTAAGCCTCCGTTATCCAGCGGTGATGAGGCTGTCGCGGCGGCGGCGACCGGCGCCGGAATGGCCGCTGTCCGGCGGCGCGGCGCCCACAGACGGCCGCTGTCCCCGCGGCTCGGTTCGGATCGCCGCCCGCCGCTGCAGCTGCGAGAAAACCCTACCGTCGAGGGCGGCAGACCACCAGCGGAGAACAACACTATCGCTCCGGGTCGGAGCGGTCTCCCAGCAGACTCAACACACATCACACTGAGCTGTGAAGGCTTTTGGCAGAACTGGCTGAAGTTCGGGTAGGATATACAACAATTAAATGCAAAATGGTTTTGACGCATTTCATTCCACCGTAAATTGACCTTCCTGGGAGTAAGTTGGTCAACTCAGACACACAGTTGCCAATAGCAGTACCATCTGTTACCAGCTGTAGGAAGTACGGCAGTTTATAAGATTGGCCCCCGGACGGCGGCGGACGAACGACGGCGGTCCATCAGGGCGGCGCGGCGCCGGCGGCCATTCCGGCCGGGGGACCGGCGCCCGCGGCGTTTAGTGGTCGTTGTTAACGCGCCATCGGTTTGACGGCCTCCCTAACCGTAGCTCTCTGCTGACGTTTACGTGCCGCGTGACTGCGTTATATCGTCCCAACAGACGACACGGGGAGCCAGCTCCCATGGGATGGGCCGGGGCAGGCTGGACCGACCGGAACCAAGTGCCTGACGGGACCCACGTGGGGCTATGGCAGACTGAGACCATGTGGGGCTAAAGCAGACTGGACCGGCCAGGCCCTGTGGAGGGCATGTACACACTGCACAGCTTTCTGTGGAGTGGCTCCAGACTAGCGACACAGCGCCCAATCTAGACTTATTAGTCTGATAATACCTAGCCACGCATAGAGATACATCACCCTGATTCAGAAGGCTCGCAACCAGCACGTCAGGCTTGAACCGCCAATGCCATTGTTCGTAAGCTATTTTATCTCAAACGTGTCATTTGACACACGCTGTTCGTTTAATGGTCCAAGTTATGACATGTGTCATATACCCGAAATGGCCCTGTCACTCAGAATTCTAAATCGAGCCAACATTGTTAGTAGGTGCCTCAAACTTTCGAAGCCATCAACCTGGCACATTTCACATCCAAGGAAGAATAAAACAGCCTACAGCCATTTTAGGTCGGAGCAATCAGTGTCCTGACACACCATTCCACGCGGCCTTTCGTTTAATCACCTATCTTCAGCTACAAATGGCAATTAACTGATACAACAATAGAGCAAATCGCTGCAAGAAGCATTGGAATAAAGGTCGAATGCCGTTTGTTACGAACAATAAAGGACAGACTAGAAGCACAGCATTGGCTAGCGCCCGGGAACGTCAAATTACAGCATTCCACTCTCAGAGACCCTAACTACTCATTCGATGCTTCTTGCCGAAAGCAGGCTACCTCGGTGGGATTGGAACCCCCGGCTCCGGCCCGCTGTACCCGGCGCGCTCTCACCGTGCGGGAACTGGGTGGCCACCGGCCGCTGCGGCGTCTTGACGCTCCACGTACAGAGTGAGCCGTCGGCGTGGGAGGACATGAACTGTTTGCCGTCGGAGAGCCAGCAGACGGAGCGGAGCGGCTCGGCCGACTGCCACCGCACGTCGGCGGCCTTGGTGCGCAGGTCCCAGAGCACCAGCAGACCCGTCTCGAACCCGATCAGTAGCTGCCAGAGGCATCACAGCGTCATACAGACACATCACACAGACACATCACGCAGGTCCCAGAGCACCAGCAGGCCCGTCTCGAACCCGATCAGCAGCTGCCAGCCGCATTACAGCGTCACACAGACACATCACACAGGTCCCAGAGCACCAGCAGGCCCGTCTCGAACCCAATCAGCAGCTACCAGAGGCAGCACAGCGTCACACAACGTCACACAGACACATCACACAGGTCCCAGAGCACCAGCAGGCCCGTCTCGAACCCGATCAGCAGCTGCCAGAGGCAGCACAGCGTCACACAGACACATCACACAGGTCCCAGAGCACCAGCAGGCCCGTCTCGAACCCGATCAGCAGCTGCCAGCCGCATTACAGCGTCACACAGCGTCACACAGCGTCACACACGCGCCACAGCTTCACAGAGCTACGACATCATACAGTTGACACAGCGACATTAGGGAGTCGCACAACGTGACAAATACGTTCAGCGTCACAAAATTGCAAAGCGTCACATAACGTTGCAGCGTCAAAAAGACACGTCACGCAGGTGGCCGGCAGACGGGCGCGCCGGGCGGGCGGCACGCGCTGTGGCGACTGGATAATCAGTGTGAGTGCAGTACAGTGTGCGGCCGCGAGACCTGGAGACACGGCGATGCGGCCAGGGCAGGCGACAGCGAGAGAAGGACAGACACTCAGACAGCGTATAAATGCGCCGGGGGACTGAAAGTTGGTTTATGACAAAACGAGGAGGCGTTTTAAATGGTAAAAATGCCTTCATGGTAAGAGTGACTAATACAAATGGGACGAAATGGGGTTACCATTAAGCTATGTTCCATCATATCGTGTAAAACATTGTTCAAACACAGACGGCTCACAGAATCACGCCCCAGCCCGGCGCGGCGGGGTTTGGGACGGGGTGCGGCGCCGTCCGAGTCCGCCACAGGTGACGGCCGGCCCGTCCCCGTTGCAGGCGCGCCAAGTGTGCGGCGGCGGCTGACGGACACAGGTGGCCGAGCGGGCAGGACGGGACGGGACCGGCTGGGTCCGAGAGGAGCGGGACAGGGGCGCACACAGGTGGCCGAGCGGGCAGGACGGGACGGGTCGGGTCGGGCTGGGAGCGGCGGAGGAGGGCCGGCTCCGATGCAGCCCCGGGCCCGGCAGCCAGCCTCTGATCCGAGCCCGGCCGGCCGGGCCGCGCAGCTGCCGGTGATTGGTGACCCGTCCCGGCGGCGGACAGGGCGAGGTGGGGCGGGGTGGGGTGACACACACACACGCAGCAGGCACAAGGCAAGGTGCACTGCTCGGACACGGCCTCGCTACTGACAGACGGTACACAGCGGGTTATCACACAACACAAAGGATCACGGAATGAGTTCGTGATTGACATCGACACGTAACAGGTGCTCCAACAAGATATACTCCGGTATACGACCTTGTCAGACACACGTCAAAGCCAGCATATGCTTTGCACCAGTCGATGAACAAATTGAGCTATCTTAACCAGGTAAGACCAGACCATAAAACACGAGACCAGACGAGGTCGGATAAGAAAAAAAAAAACACCCAGCCAGGACAGACCACGGCAACTCACACCAGGTCAGGTAACATTACAACGCAGCACACCAGACCCGTTGGGACCGGACGGCGCCGTCTCGGTCCGCCAGTCCTCCAGACCCCACCACCCCTAGTCGCCACGTCACCGTCACGTCAAGTCACGTCACGTTACCGGTCACGTCCCGTCTCACGTCCTCACCTTGTTGCTGTCCACGGGGTTGTCGACCAGACAGGTGACCGGGCCCGGGTGGTTTTTCCTCGACCTACGGCACAGACAGGGAGCAGGGCGCGTGTCAGCATCACCACCATCCGGTACGGAGCGCGGCGGGGTGCCTCAATGGACGCCCACCACATGGGCGAGCGCCGACAGCGGGTACCGGCCCCCCGGTACCGGTACTTGCACAGGGCCACATACACCAACAACGGGACCCATTCTGCCACGTATCAGGCACAGCCGACGAAACCGACTGTGGTTGGGTCCGGTCTCTAAACTAGTGTTCTGTTAACCCATAATGACCAGTAGCACGAAACTGGTGAGAATTAGGCAGCGCGGAGGAGCCGCGTGGGAGACTAATGAGCCTATTTTCTGACCCATGACCGATGCGGAGCTGAGATAAAGCTGAGCCGCCGCTTAGAACGACAGTCGAATTACGACCCTGATGGAATTGAGAGAGCTAAGGTCAGAGCAGAGACAGAACCGACACAAATTCAGTCAGAGATGGGGATGAATTTAGCCAGAGTACAGACGGCGCTTGGACGAAGCTGAGCCAGGTCAGAGTCAGGGCTGAGTCAGGGCTGAGACAGAGCTGAGACAAGTCGCAGCTGGCGATGAATTTAGACAAAGTAGAGAAAACGCTCTGACGGAGCTCAGCGGGTCAGAATCAGGGCTGAGTCAGCACTGTCGGAATAGTCAGGCTGGGTCAACTGAGTCGGACAATGTGAGTCTAAGCTGAGCCATGTTATGGTCAGGACTGGGTCAGCTGGGCCGGCCAGGTGTCCGCCGGGTGCGGCTCGCCGGCCGGCCTACCGCTCCATCACCCCTGCAGCCGGCCGCCCGGGACACAGCTCGGTTAATTAACGTGCCACGGCCGCTACCACCTGACGCAAGAGGTCGCGCCGCGCGGCGGCCTGAGGTCAGAACAGGTCGCGTGAGAAAGGTCAGCCAGAGGCTAGAACAGACCGCATGGCACAGCAGAGGGGATCACCGCGCGACACAGCGGCCCAGTCAGGGAGGATTGTGGGTTAGACCAGGGGTTGTAGGGATTGGACACAGACATAGATAGCCATCAAGTCTTCGTCCACAATGGAAAAAAAAAACATTATGAGCAACGAGAAGAAGCTGAATGATTATGGCAGCGAGTCAACATGTATCGGGGCATTCATATAAAAAGATGGCTTATGATCGCCTATGTTTAGTCCCCCGTAAAACAGTGCAGCTTTGCTTCAATTGGTTTTTATAAGGTACTGGTGCTTGTGTTCATACGCTGTTTGTTACATCCCACATCCTGCACACGTTCAATGTCACCATGACGTGGAGCAGAACGGCAGCCCTGGCGCCGAGTTAGCGGCACAGAATGGATGTGCGCCGCCACCAACCAGGCACCGCATAAGTCACAATGGCCCAGTTGGCCGCTGCGTTGTGATTACCCGTGTCGGGCCGGCGGAGCTCCATTACGGGCAAATGGTGGCGATTTTCCGCCGGCCGAGGGCCGCTCGGTCAGCGGGCGGAGGTCAGAGGTCAGCGCGCCCGCCCAGATTACACCGATCCACCATGCGCCGCGGTCACCGCGCCCGCCAAAGGTCAGCGTGCGTCAGCCGCAGGTCCGAAACGGACCCATCTGTCAGCGACACCGGCCTAGCGGCGCACCCGGCCGAGAGGCAGAGCTGCCGCCGTCACACCCCGCCTCACCCACACCAGGCAGCACCCCTCCCCTCAAAATGTCCCTGCGGAGCGGCACCGGCTCAGTGCAGCGGCGCACCGGGCAGAGCTGCCACCTCCCTCACCCAGCCACACCAGCACCCCTCCCCTCACGGGTGTCCCCGCGGAGCTGGCCGGAACGGCGGCAGCACGCACAAAAACGTCCGAATTATTATAGGGGATTTGCGGCGGCGGCGGTCAGGTCGTTAGAGGTGCCATTATCGCCGTGGTGCCGCCGGTCGGGGCACAGACCGGCGCGGAGCGGCGCGCCGCGGCGCCGACGGAGTAAGACGGATGGAGGACGCGTGTCAGCGTCAGCAGCTACAGCTGCGGCGGCCGGGCATACAGAACGGCGCGGGTGCCGGCCTTAGCAGCTACCGCGACAGCTACCGCCTCAGCAGCTACCGCGACAGCAGCTACCGCGACAGCAGCTACCGCCTCAGCAACTCCTGCGACCGCAGCTACCGCGACAGCAGCTCCCGCCTCAGCAGCTACCGCGACAGCAGCTCCCGCGACAGCAACTACCGCCTCAGCAGCTACCGCGACAGCAGCTCCCGCGACAGCAGCTCCCGCGACAGCAACTACCGCCTCAGCAGCTACCGCGACAGCAGCTCCCGCGACAGCAGCATACCAGAGCGGTACGCAATACGGATGGAGGCCTCAGCAGCTACCGCTACTACAGCCACCGCCTCAGCAGCCGGATGACACACAGAACGGCACGGGTGGAGACCCCAGCGTCGGGAACGGCTGTGGATGGTGTGGCCTGGTCTGCATACCATAATAGAGCCTCCAGATCCTGACATTTGTCTGATAAATTCATATGTGGACATTCGAGGCCCCATACTGCCATGTTCACTGGTCATGTATGTGCTAGTGAAGAAGAATGTGTATTAGAATCTTGTGGCCGCCGAGCCACTGCGGCGCCGCCGCCGCCCCGTCCAGGCTCGGGATGAGTTATATGGCATTGTGCGGGGCGGGGCCGGGAGGAGACGGCCGGCGGCACGCGCAGCGCAATTGTAAATTTAAGATATGTCATTTAAGGCACGTAGGCCGCCAAGCTGGCGCCTTCCGTCACCTCGTCGCTGCTGTGCAAGTTCGCACTCGTTTTGGGCGTGTTCTAGACGTTTCGTAGCCTGTTGAATAAAAGGTGGGTCACGTACGACCCCCGGCCAGTCTGGGCCGGCGCGCGACGGAGGCAGCTGGCAATACAACGGCAATGTGGACATAAGGAGTTTACTACAAGCTATTTCGGCCTTGGAAGACTGCCGTGATGGGGAACGAGAAGGAGACCTGTGATGGTTCGGACGCTGCGGCTGATCTCCGCTTAATCCCGGAGTTTGACGGTGTGTCGCAGCCCGTGTGCGAGTGGCTGGACAAGGTCGAACTTGTGTGTCAGCTGCGCGGCATCAAGGGACTGCACGTCGTCGTCCCGCTGAGACTCACTGGTGGTGCGTTCGCGGTATATCAACAGCTCGGAGAAGATGAGAAGAAGAAGTACGAGGACATCAAAAGGGCCCTGACATCGGCGTTTGCTTCGGATCGGTTTGAAGCCTACGACCAATTTGAACGTAGAAGGCTGCGTCCAGGTGAGACGGTGGACGTGTTCGTCTCTGAGCTGCGCCGGCTGGCTGGCTTGTTCGGAGGTATGCCGGACGACAGCCTGGCCTGTGCCTTCGTGGCCAAACTGCCAGATTCAGCACGCCGTGCGCTCCGGGCTGGATCACGGATGGAGGACATGCCGTTTAGCCAGCTAATCGGTCGCGCTCGGGCCGTGCTAGCCGACGAGGAAACAAACACCGCGGCCGCCGCCGCTGGCACAAGGACTGGAGCACTCCCGGCCACAATGAAATGCTACTCGTGCGGGCAACCGAACCATATCGCCCGCGACTGCACGGCAGGCCGCGGACAGCGGGGCCGTGGAGGCCCCCGTGGTGGACGGAGCCTCGTGAGGTGCTACAACTGCAACCGGCAGGGGCACATCGCCTCTGCGTGTCCGGAAAACGACGCGGGAGGGGAGAGATCAGCGCCAGCCTCCTCTCCTGTCGACCAGTGAACGGGGCGCTGCCAGTCGCGCAGCTGTCGGTGGACGGAGCGAGCTGCAAAGCGCTGGTTGATACAGGATGCAGCCAGTGTGTAGCTCACGTGTCAGTCTGTCGGAGGTGGAACCGACGCCCGGTGAGCGTGATGACAGTGAGTGGAGGGCGTTATTGGTGTGAGGGGTCAGGCGTGGCACGCGTGCAGCTGCGGTCCGGTGAATCAGTGTCCGTAGATGTGCTCGTCGTAGCACGTAAGCCACTGGGGTTTGAGTTCATCCTCGGGATGAATGGTATCAGAGCACTGGGTGGCGCTACAGTGAGTTCGGATGACCGAGTCAGATTCGGAGTTGAGGCAGCGGTGTCTCATATAGCGGCGTCAGTGGCCTCACCCGGTGACCGGGTCAGCTGTGATGGTGAGAGGACTGGGGTGTCGCGTGCAGTGGCAGCGACTGCACGGGTGAGTCATGATCAGGCGAGCAGTGAGGCGGCCCCAGCGTCAGGTGCAGCGGCGGCAGCTGCAGCAGTGAATCGAGCTGACAGCAGTAAGGGGGATCCGGTGTTGGGTGCGGCGGCGGCCGCCGCACCGGCTAATCGAGCCGACGAGAAGGACTTTGTGGTGAGCTTTGACGAGACAGAAAAGAAGTGGTTGGTGGAGTGGAAATGGTGTGGAGGAAAGGAGCCCGAGCAGCTGCACAATACAGCAGAGGAGTACGCGATTCCAACAGAAGCCCGACACGAATACGAGCGAGAACTCTCCAAGTGGGTGGCGAATCAATGGCTCGTCCCTTATGATGAGAGCGTGCACGGGAGGGTCAAAGGCACGATCCCGCTCATGGCGGTCATCCAACCGAAGAAGGACAAAGTGCGTCCCGTCATGGATTTCAGGGAGTTAAATACGCACCTGGACCCGCATACAGCTGACGCGGATGTTTGCAGTGAAAAAATCCGTGAGTGGCGTCGGTGTGGACGAAACGTGTCTCTCCTAGATCTGCGAGACGCTTACCTGCAGATCCACGTGCACGCATCGCTGTGGCCGTATCAGACTGTAGTGTTCCAGGGCAGACGGTGGTGTCTGAGCAGACTTGGCTTTGGGCTCAGTCTCGCACCGATGGTGATGAGAAAGGTGCTGGAAATGGCCCTGAAACGTGACCCGAGGGTGCACACCGCTACGTCACCTTACGTGGACGACATACTCGTAAATGAAAACATCGCTACTGCATTGGAGGTGAAGGGTCATCTGGAGGCGCTCGGTCTGACCTGCAAATCCCCGGAGAAGGTGTCAGAAGGTGCTCGTGTCCTGGGCATTCGA